TGTTTCAGCAGTGAGATGTCCCGACTACAAAATATCAAGCTGCATTCATGTGTATTTATTGGAGGAACAAATTAAGATGATAACTACATAACATGAGAAAACTCAAGGATAAACAGATATCCATATGGTACAGTTCCCATTTGTATGCTTACAGTAAAGTGAACTGTTTAGAAAACGATTGGGTATACTCTAAATACTCTGGTAATTACATGATGTACCATCTGCTTAAAAAAAACTGCTACATTTCATTCCACTCCTTTGGGAAGGGATTTCTTTTTCTTCCTCATACTCTTATACTATCTCTCCTGAAATCTTTTTCGATGAATTTCTTTCCCTTCGTTTTACACTTTAGGGAGGAAATATGTTTCTTAACAGAATAATCTTAAAGGTCAATGATAAAATTGTTGAAGACTCTGCAACAGAAAGAAATAAGATACAAATGGCATTTCCTGATCATACCATATCTAGTTGCTTAGCAAACCACTGATTTAACTCCTTTATGCAGGATGAATCTCCAACCAAGTAAGGATGGAAGTCAGAGTAAGCTAAGTAGATGCCTTCCTCTGCATGTATAAATAATGAAAAAAATCTCAGCAAAAGGAAGCATCCAACTAGGAAAAGTTACCCTCTACTCTTCCGTTCTCCTAAGTTTAGACATGCATTATCTCAGGCTCCTATATCTACTTGTTATTTGACATAGTTTTTGAGAACCAACAAAGGCTCCAGCAGAAACAGCCATTTATTGCCAGGAAAAGAACCAAATACACACTAAACTTACAGAGCCAAAAAGCAATCGATGCAGTAGGCCAATAATATTAAAAGCAAAACATGTAAACTTAGAGGCTTCCAAAATGGGAAAAAGGGAAGGAGGAAAGGATTATAAACTAGGCAGAGGTCAGTCTCCATTAGCCTAAGTAAAATACAAACCAGACATCATTATGAAAAGAGCATAACAACATATAATTTAAGATCCCTGATGGAAAAGAACAAGAATGAAAAAGTAAACAGTACCATCTCCAGAATGATATCACGCCAGCTCTTGTGCTGTAGATGCTATCCTTACAAGAACTGCATTCATCTAAATTACAACAAAAATGCCAGTAGTTCTTCAATGTTTAAGCAGATAAACACTTTCCTCCACAAAGAAAGGAATAAAAAAAACAAAGGAAAATGATGGCTTTTAACATTAAATTCTGGCTTCATTTATATTTATACTATGTGCTGCAAAATCATGTCATACAGCATAAAAAACAACTCAGAGATATATCATTCCACCTCAGCTTGATCAAATTTGAAAATAATATGTTTCAAATATTATAGCAATAAAAGTAATTAGAGATTGCTTAGATTTATATACCTGCAAGTTCCTTCCTGAGAGGCTATCATCAATGGTTGTAAGGTGTCCATTAACAGTAGATGTTGCTGCAACCCGTGTTCGTCTGCCTTGGATCAAAGCTGAAGCCTAACCGGTGAGCATATCAAATTGAGACTGCAAATGCCTAAGTTGTTTCTGCAACTCTAAGGCTTCAGCTTTATATGGTACGGTGGCATCCCTAAAGACCAAAAGAATTACGTCAGCATTGAAAGAACCATGCACAGTGAAGCAATGAAAAAGTAACGGGAACAAATCTTTTGCGTCCAGGAGTACACATATAGAATCCTCTCTGAAAAAGTTATATCAATAAAGATGCATTCAGGCTATCCAAAAAGTATCAGACCAACACCACGCACTCACTAAATATTTTCAAGGGTTATCAAGCTTAAGCTCCAGCTGGTGTTATGATTAACCTCTTAAGGAAACAGCAACTATGACAAAATTTCAAGTATGTTTGAGGTAAGAGAGTAAAAGTATTAGAATACCTAATATCTTTCCATCCTTCTTCAACTCCGAAAACTGCCTCCTGGTTATCCCTCCTCGACGAAAAGGCCGAAATGCTATCATAAGCAAATTCCAAGTCTTCCCCCTATTTAATTAAACAAACAAAACACTGGCATTAATGCTCTATCCCAAAATTTGCAGCCGAAGAACACAAGACAATACAAAAAAATTACCTCCAAGAGCTTTCCTTCTTGTACAAATTGTTCATATCTGCACACATTTAAATTGATCCCGTCAATGGTAACCTAAATTCAGGGTTTAATCAATCGATTTTTTTTTTTTTACAATGCAAAAACGAAAAGGACAGAGAGGGAGGGATGAAGCTGACTGGGAGAGTTTGGAGAGGGAGAGGACGTTGGAGGGACGGAGGGAGGAGCAGATCCAATCGAGTATGGGGAGAGCGTCGTCGTATTGAAAAGGCCACTCGAAGCTATCAGGGTCCAATTTTTCCGCCCCTTCGTACCCCAATTCCCTAGCAATGCGCAGAGCCTGGCCCCACTCATTTTCACTCTCTCAGATCTTTCTCTTCGTTCCAAAATTTTCAAATTTCTTGCTTTCGTTTTTAAGTCTTGTACAAGAAACTGAGAGAGGTATGGAGGATGTTTGGCGGCGCTGATACAAATACATAGATAATACTCACTCCCTCGTCCCAAATTGTTTGGGTGTCATTCACTATTATTTTTGGACTTTCCTTGACCGGAGGAATCTAAATCAATCTAAATATTAGTAGTAATAATAAGTAACCAAAATCTCTACTGTTTTTCTTTTGTTTTTCAGAACCCTAGATTTGCGCTTTACTCAATTGTAATTTTTTGAATTTGGATTGATAAAAAGCAAAGGATGCAGAGCTGTAAACGGAAGCAGTGCTATGACTAAAATTAAAGGTTCAAGAAGATGGCTGTCTGGTAAGATCTGAGTTCAGTTAATTAAACAATCATCCAAAGATACAAAAATTTTGAGAGTTTTGGACTGTTTGGTGTTTGGCGGTAAAGATTACTCCATTTGTTTTCTTTGCGTTTTAACACTACGTTTGAATTGACGAAAGGGTAAGGAAAGGGAAAAAAAAAATAAAAGAAAGTAATAAAAACAAAATAAATTTTTAATTTAAAAAAATTAAAGAGGTGAAAATTTAAATTTTTTTGTATTTTTTTATTTTTTTAATATCTCAATTTGAAGAAAAAATTAAGGAAAGAAATATTAAAAAAAATTATTTTTATAAAAAAAATTATTATATCTATATTTTTATTATAATATTATATTTGATTATAAAACTAATAATTCTTATAAAAATAAAATTTTTTATAAATATTTTATATAACATCACAGTTTATAAATATTTTATAATTTTTTAAATTTTAATAACAAAACAAACCAAATTATTATAAAAAAATAAAAAATTAAATTAAATACAAAATAAAAATAAATCAACAACTAACTAATATATTTTACCGTATTAAACATATTTAATTTTGTTTAAAAATATTTGTTTATACAAATTAATAGTACAAATATATATATTTATATATTATATGTTATTTTATAAAAAAATATAATTAAAAAAATATTATAATGAATTATTTTTTATCTTTTTTATTATTTATCGAAACAATAATTGTTATAATTTTTTTTTTTATTAATTTTAACTATCAAATGAGTACATGTCTTGTTTCTTTTCTTTTAAAATTTTTCTTTTCTTTTTATTTCCTTTCATTTCTTTTATTTATATGTATCTAAATATAACATCAAACATAAAATGTCTCAACTCAATATTCTCCTCATAGTTATTCAGTTTTAATTGGAAGATTAATGAAGTAAATTTTGGTGAAATTAAAAATAATAATAGTTATGAAATTAGTTATTATAATTGTGATATTGAATAATGTAATAATAAAATTAAAATTAATTATAAAATTTGTGTCTGTATGAAAAAGAATGAACAAATAAAATATAAAGATTAAAAGTAATAATCTAAAAATAAAAATTATTTTAATAAATATTTTAATTTTATTTAACATTTAAAATATTAAAAAATTAATAATTTAAAATAAAATAATTGAGTATAAATATAATTTTATTTTTTATTTTTTATTAAAACTATTTTAATCTTAATAATTTAAGTGTATGGATAAAATTAGATTAAAAGAATATTGTTGAGATAAAAATGTAAAATTGAGGTGCAGTGAATTATTAATTATTTTTATTTTAAGTTAAATAAATATAATTATATATGAAGTTAATTATTTATGAAATTATAATATTTATGAACCCAAATAATTATGAATGAATATAGTTAATGTTTATTGTCATTTAAGTTTAATACTTTGAATTTATATTCATATTTATTGAATAATATAAATATTACTGAATCAAATCCAGATTATTCATGTCAATATATTGATTTGGTGTATTTATTTAAATTCTTCATACATAAATAATAATTATGATTATATTTTATATATATTTAAAAGTTATATCTTTTTACTAGCTTAATAGCAAGAAGGAAGCTTTAGAACTCTAAATTCTTAAGTTAAAGTTATACCGTGTGTGAGATTAGTTTGATTTTATATTAGATTTATTTAGTTATATTTAATTTATTAATTGATTATTCAATGATATAATATTTGATTATAATTATAATTTTTCATGTATTTATAACTTCATAAAAAAATTATACTTTTTATTTTTATAATTTTCAATACTACGTAAAAATATAAGTTTTTGGTTTTGATTCTTTTGAATCATTAAAATTAAATTTATATTATTTATTTATGCATCAAGAGTTCAAATTGAATGAATTTGTTGACATTAAATACTACTTTTATTAATTATTTACAAGTTTTCATTAAAAAGTATTAAAAGTTACAAGTTAGTTTTCTTTTTTTATATATGTATTATTTATTTATACTGATAATAAAATTTTTGTACATTTTTATTAAATATTTACTGTAAAATAACTTTTATCAAATAAAATTACCTAAGTGAAGCGTGATAACAATATAGTAAAAAAAAAAAAAACAACCACAAAGAATAAAGACACGTCAGCATGTCTACGCGTTTAAATCAAGCACAATTTTAACAAAGTTCGGGGATTTGATTAGACAAGAACCACCGATCTCAAGGCACCTCTGAGATCCAACGGTATGACGAGGTTTCTCCAACACTTCGCTTGGAAGCACTAAAAAGAAAACTCCCACACTTGCTTCCCGCCCATAAAATATACTAGTGCTAGCGTATTCGTACAGTTGACAAAAAACCAAGCAGACAAAAGTTTCAAAGCAAAAAGAGATGTGCGGAAGAGCTCGTTGTACTCTTCGCGCCGATGACATCCTCATAGCTTCCCATCGCAACGACGGCCCAGTCCGCCAAGTTAACATGGACCGGTAAAATTATTCTGTTTTGACTTTTTTCCCCTTACTTTTTAGCGCGTGTATTTGATTTTGTCGATTTTGGAATTTGATTTAAAAATCATATAGGTACCGTCCGTCGTATAATGTTGGCCCGGGAATGAACCTGCCGGTTGTTCGACGGGACGATGGATCTAATTCCGACGGAGTCGTTCTTCACTGCATGAAATGGGGACTAATTCCGAGTTTTACTAAGAAAACTGATAAGCCTGACTTTTACAAGATGGTAATCTTCTGATTTAAGCTTCCTTTATTCCAAATTTTGAACTTTGCATAGTCTTTCAATTTAAATCCATTTTGCTTAGATTACCAGCTTTTGTTATTTTCCTTTTGCTTTCACAAAAAAAAAAAAAGTAAAGCAAATAAAATTTTCTAGGAATTAAAATTAACAATTACATTTCATAATTGTGAAAATGCGTAATTTTCTTTGTGAAAATAATCATGATTGAATGTATGTTATTTATCGGTACTAATGATAAAACCAGAAAATTAAAACCTAATTACACCCTCTCCCTTTACATCCGAGAGAAGCAAAGGGAGTAAAGCATTTGGAGAATCGATTTACCAACCCACAACAGTCCTTCACTAGTGTATGAAAAAGATGTGAATCTGGCAATGAATCAATGATTGTATGTTATATTTTTAATCAAATATGATTCTACTTTTAGCTTTTAATAACTTTTGAACAAGTGAAAACAAATATTAGCTTTAATTTATAAAAGCAACAATCAAACAGCGCTTTAAAAACATATCTGCATTTGGTTCAATGTATGTAAATTGTAGCTTTAAGTTCATTTTGTCTTTAAAACTCCATCATAGATCCAAAATTTCTACCAGCTTTATCTAAACGTTGTTCTATATACCTTTTTGCATCACAATGTGGGAAGTTCTTTTTTTTTTTCTGTATCATGTTTTGCAAATCTACAGTTCAATGCTCGATCTGAGTCAGTACGTGAAAAAGCTTCTTTTCGTCGTCTCCTTCCTAAAAGCCGGTGTTTAGTGGCAGTTGAAGGGTATGGATGGTACATTGTCTCTTTATGAAATTCATACATTCTCTTTATGTTGCTGTATTTATTCTTATGCTCTGTAAAATCAAATTTTGAAGCCTTTTGATTTCTCTGTGAAGATGCTATAGTTGAAGCCTGAATACTGCAACTCATTATGTGCTTTTGAAGCAATGTTTCCCTAAGTGCACCAAAACTGAACTGAGAATCATTATGATATGTTGGAGGATAGAATTTCTGTTTCTTTTGATGTCTTCCATGGGCTTGTAGAGGAGATTAAACTCCTTCAGTGTTATTGTTAGAAATTATAGTAATTAATTCTTGTTACCTGTTTTCTAATCTGAGAAAATCAAAATTTTATTTGATTTTATTCCTTATGTAAGACTGTACAAATCGAAACTTATTCCAAAAGGGAGTTAGCAATCATAGGTTGAATGCTTTCTTTTGCTGCGTGTCATTTTTTTTGCCCTTTTTGGCCAGACTGAGACTGTTTGTGTGTTGTTGGAGTTAAATTTAAACAATCTCTTGCTGAACAAAGATCTTTGGTGTTTTTGTCTTCGTTTTAAAGGCTGGTCTATTTTTTTGTAAAGCCTCTGGTCTTGTATTTGTATAGGCTATCTTACCAGGAGCACATACTCTTTCATCCTTATTGTGTCATTATCTCCATAGTTTCTATGTTGTTTATATCTTCAGATTCTATGAGTGGAAGAAAGATGGGTCGAAAAAACAGCCTTACTACATTTATTTCAAGGATGGTAGGCCTCTAGTGTTTGCTGCTCTTTATGATTCTTGGGAGAACTCAGAAGGTGAACCCCTTTCGCATGTGTTTTAGGCTGTTTAATTTCAGTAACTAATTTTATGGGTCCTTTATTCATTCAGGTCAGGCAATGATTTATTTTTGGGTTGCACCTGCTTTAAATCTTATTACTTGATGAAATAATATACCTCTTCTGTTAAGATCCAAGCTGTGGTCATTCTTTTAAAAATTATAATTCATTTCAGTGAATAACATTAGTGTATTTCTACCTACAGGTGAGAAACTTTACACTTTCACTATTCTTACTACTTCCTCCTCATCAGCTTTGCAGTGGCTTCATGGTAAGTCATATTTCTTTGAATTTATTTTATGCTTATTGAGTATATGGTCCTAAATAGATTAGAGCACAATCTTGCATTATGATCCATGTCGGTAAACCCTTTATAATGAGAATCTTAGTTTGTTATATTCAGCATTGCAATATTCCTAAACTGTGACTGATATAGGCATAGGTTCTGTTTCATTTTAATAAATACTATGAGATCAATTTTCTTCTTTTACAAGTAAAATTTTCCATGTGAGGCTTTGTCACACTGAGCTCAAAGCTGTGAAGTCAAAGAAAGGGAAAAAGGAGTAACTGGTTGATAACTATCTGTGTTTTTTACTCAATTTTTTTCTGAAGCAATATATAAACATCAATGTTGATCTGACTTATTACTACTTAAAAACTAAATGAACTTTATTTCAAAAAAAAAAAAAAAGAACTTTTTGCAAAAAAGAAATATAATTATTCATAATAGCAGATTCAATTGCCCTTAAATAACTACTCTAATTAAATTGGGCAGTTACTATTTAACTGGAAAAGATGGGGAAAAGGAGTAGATATAAAATTGAGAAAGAGGGGATGATGTTAGAACTACAGAAACTACAGAAGTGACGTGGAAACTTATGCGATTATATCCATGATTTTTGTTTTTCTTATTTGTACCAATATTAAATTGGGAATGTTGATGGCAAAATTCATTGGTGAAAACCATGAGAGAGTCCTTTTCTCTGTTTTGTAGGAAGGAAAGAAAAGTTCAGTTCTAATGGTTGAGTGCAAAACAGCACATGTATGAATGGCAACCTACTAAGGAAAGAAAAAGTTCAATTCTAATGGTTGAGTACAAAACAACATATGTTATGAATGGCAACCATTAGATTAAAAATTTGCAATCCACAAAACATAGCTTAGTAAATAGTAAATGTATGAATATCCATGAATTACAAATTTTTTCAAGTATTGTTAACATTAGGATAAGCAATCAATGAGAAAAATTTTTTTTTTTAAATTATGAGAAGTATTATTAAGTCAAAGGAACATTTTGTTTTCTTTCTATTTGTACATATTTTATCTCATTTAGCTACCATTTCTTTATCATGTCTAGATTTTCACTTGGATGTAACTGTCACCTGACTCAGCCACAATAATGTGACAATTGTAAGTTATGTTAATGACATGATTAAAAAAAGGCTCAAGATCATGATTATTATCTGATAATAAGAATGACTTTAAATATGATTTAATTGTCTTGGGAATCATAAATACTTGAGTTTGCATATGTCAGTCTATTTTGACGCTATGTCTGGGAATCATTAATACTTAAATTTGCATACATGAGTCTATTTGACGCCATGGAGCTGATATATGCCACTAGGCACTAATCGAGGAAAATGTTGTCAGTTTTCTATAGATGCAGATTACTATTGCCAGTGTTTTGGCCTTGTTTTGTATCTCTTTCCTTTCATTATCTCCAGCACGTAAAAGATTGGCCTTGTTCTCTATCTGTTCCCCCATTCCTCATGATCTTCTGGCTCATAAAAGAGGAAGATGTTCTTGAATAATTTGAGTTTCAATTAATGTCTCTGCAGACAGGATGCCGGTAATTTTAGGTGACAAGGGATCAACAGATACATGGCTAAATGCTTCTAAATTTGATACTCTGCTTAAACCATATGAAAATCCAGATTTGGTAAGAGCTTTACGAATCTGAGAAATTACAAGGATATATCTGCCTTTTAGATATGTTGAATGATAATGAAGTTGTGAGTTTGTTTTTCTAATATGCTAAAATTTGACTCAGGTGTGTTATCCAGTGACTCCTGCAATTGGTAAGCTGTCTTTTGAAGGACCAGAGTGTGTTAAAGAGGTAGGGCACGTAGGAATTATGTAATGTGGTATCATAGGCTAGGGATTCATCAGCTACTCCAGATCATAGGTCTAGATAAACCATAAATAATGAGTTTCCTGAAGCCCTTGGTCACAGTAATCATGTTAAACGGTTGGAAGATTTAGCCAGTAGCTTTGCATCTCCCGTGACTCCTTGGATTCATTGCCTTGTTCTGCAAAGCTTGGTTGAGAAATTACTATGTACTTGATTGAAAAGAACCGAAAAGGTTGCATTAACTAGAAAATCCTCATTTCGTGGTTGAACTCCAAGGAATCCACTAATTACCTCTTCAACTGTGTTTGGTAGGTACCATTGAAGACACAGGAAAAGAATTCAATCTCAAAGTTTTTCTCAACACGGGAAGTTAAAAAGGAACAAGAATCAAACATGGAGAAAATTTTGTGTAATGAATCTGTCAAAACAAATTTGTTGAAGAACCCAAAGGAGGAACCTAACAGTACAGATGATGAAGGAAATACATCCTCAACTGATAAGAGGGACTATGATTCAAAATCTAGTGTTCCCGTCCCATCTCTCGGGGATGTGGAAAAGAGCCAAACAAAGAGGGACTACGAGGAGTTTTTAGCTGATACAAAGCCATCTAAAGATGAAATCGAAACAAGTCCAGCCAGGAAAAAGGTAAACATCAAGGGTGGTGGTAATAAGCAACCCACACTATTTTCATACTTCGGGAAAATGTAGTTTCTTCCACGATGGTGCATTTGGTTAGTTCAAGGAACAAATTAACTATATGGCAGCTGCATGTGTAGGCAGGATCTAAAAGTAGGATTTTGTGGCAAATACAAATCTGCATTTTAAGCATGCTGAACTCTTTGTTTGACGACAAGAAAACCTTCAAATTCCGTCTAAATAGTAAATTCCCATTACAAAAACCGAATCTGCTTTTCGAATTCTAACAATTCTAGAGTTCAATAAAAAGAAGAGTCATATTGCATTCCTCCATATAAATTCATTAAAAGAGAACAAAAACAGAGCATTCTATATCTGCACCATATTCATGAATTATGATAAGCTAATACTAAAACTTGAATTATGATTTCTTGCTCTCCTTGCGGCTCAAGCAATCAATACATTCGTCCACTGTGTTTGAGACGCCGGCCGAGAATCCCCAACACGGTGAAAGCCAGAAGTGGACTAACGTCTAAGGTATCGAAAATCGGCGGAATTATGTTCCTGAACAGGTTCAAATAAGGAGCACAGAGATCCCTAATTGCCGGAAGGGGCTGCTGGTCCCAAGGAATGTTAGGGAACCAACTGAGCAAAACCCTAACGATCAAAACCGCACTGTAAATTTTAAGCCACTTAGCTAAACCTGCCGCCGCCGCCACCGTCAATGGGGTGTTGAGATATCTGCTTGGGTGGTCCTTCAAGGAAGCGAAGAAGAGTAGGCCTATGGTGGAAAGTGCGTTAGGGTTCTGAGAGATCGTTTTGAGAGTAAAATTTTGGATAATTTTGGTGAGGATAATGGTGGCGGAGAGGGCTAAGGAGAAGGACTGAGTTGGGATTTGGGGGGATTTGCAAGGTATTGTTGGGGATGGAGAAACGGAAGCTAAAGTGGTAAATTTGAGGGTTTTCGTGTTGGGCTTTGAGGGTATAATGGGAAGAAACGGGGGAAGGAAACTGGGTTTGGAGGTGAAGGTTCGGGAATTAGAGTTTCGTGAAGGGAGGTAGATTGAAGCTCGGAGAAGGAGGGTTTGGCTGAGTAACAACATGTTTGGTAAGTCATTTTTTTTTCTGGAGAAACAGACGGAAAGAGAAAGAAGGGCTTGAGATTACGAGGAAGGGAAGTGTTGTCACTGCCGAAGACTTATATTATCCATTTTATTCTGAGTAGACTTTCGAGTTAGAAAACTTTCGTTTTCCGTTGACTATCTTACGAACACTGTAAAATTAACTATTTTTATTCTCTAGGGTGATTTATTTTTAATTTTATTCGCGCAACGTAGAGATTTTTCTTTCTTAAAATAAAAATAAAAATAAATAAATAATAAAACATATGAAAAAACACAAATTTAAAAATCTTTCTTGCTTTTTTCCCTGCGGTCAGCTTATTTTATTTTTTTAGTAACAATTTGTATTTTTTTTGGTATTCTAATTTATTATCATGTGCGTCACACCCGAAAGTTTATCTATATAAAAAATTACAATGTAAAAATAAATTACATATTGGTATTATATAAACAATTAAAATTAAAATACATATTAATTGAATTTTATATTAATATGTAAAATTAGTTTCATATATAAAATATATTAAATTAATACAAAACTATTTTTACTAAGAATACCAATGAATAAAATATGAGGGTGTTGAAATTTTTTTTATTTTTATTTATAGTTTTATGTATTGTACACATTTCTTTACCCATATACAAATAATATTTCAAATTTATCTTCATTCTCATCTTGTCAATATTTAATGGGTACAAGTTATTTTTTTATTCATAATTTTTTAAAAAATTAATTTTTTTAAATTTTTATTTAAACATTTCTATAAAATTTTTATAAATATATATTTTTAAATATCAATTTTAATTAATCTAAAATAAATTTTATATATTATTAAATAAAAAATTAATTTATTAAATATATATAAATATATTTAATATAAATATGGGTATGAGATGAATACTATATTATCTTCGTACCCATATTCGATAAAAAATTTAAAATTATATATATCTTTATCCCCATCATCAAGATTTAATACCCATCTTCACAATAAAAAAAATTTTTTTCATCAAGTTTGGATAAAATTGATATTTCTAATATTTTTATTTTAAAATTAATAAAAAATAAAACTTTAAAAATAAAGTAATTCAATGTAAAATTTAATTATTTTTTATTATCAAATAAATCCATTTTAATAAAAGTCATTCAATTCAATTAAAATTTTTAATTTTAAATTTAATAAACTTTATTAATAATAAAAATATTCAAAATGAAAAATTATAAATATCGTGAATAATAATGGTCATTTTGTTAGTTCAAAAGTTTTTAGTATCCGTGTTTATATATATTATAGAAAAATAATTATAAAATATAAATATATAAGCTTAAGTAATAAGTGGTTTTAACCATTTAATTTCATATCATAAAATATTTACTTTATTTTGTGAAATTAAGATATTTCATACAAAAAAACTTAATTACAAAGTGAAAATTTTTATTATAATAAATTAAAATATGAAAGATGTATAACTATTTTTTAATATACCTATAAAAATTGCTAATTAAAAGAGATACAAATGGATTTGAATGATTGATTTACTATAATTTGAACCCAAAAATCCCTCATAACTTCGAAATCGAGAAACCATGATTATAAACAAAAAGTAAACCATGCATGTGATATGACTGAATTGGTTCAGAGAAAACAAAATTTTTATTTGAACAATTTACCATATTTATCGTGTAAATTACTTGGATAACCTCTTACTTGTCACCTAAAAAACAGAGTACATATATTTCATTTCCAAGCCCAAATGCATGTTTTGAACAAAACTCAAGAATCGTTTACCATTAAAAAGAATTGCATCAAAGTGGTTTTGTTGCCAAGCCATTGAAATGAATGATGAAGAAGAAACTGGCATCGTTTCTTTTAAACCTTTTTCAATTCCCCTGCTCTAAGATGTATCTCAATCTGGGATTCACTTTCAGATAATGACAGTGGCAAGTTGGAGCACTTGAATTTTGGCGTTGCTCAAATATTTCAGCTCTCCAATGCACAAATTAAATGGTTCGTGCAATGGAAGTTGATGGTTTTTATGGTCAAGTACTGGGGTTGACACTGGGAAAGGAACAAAGTCAAGAGCCTGGGGACAAAGTAATCTCATGAGCAATCTTCCTAAAAGCTAACTTACAAATCTTTTCAGTCAAATTCCAATCTATGTTTTTAGCTCAATTCACTTAAGTTGACTAACTACATAATTGACAATCATCAACAAACATTAGAATAGAAATAGGACCAAAAATGTAAACGAGTGAGAGGGAGGAAGAATTTGCTATGTTTCAGTTTCTGTGTCAAGCATTTTTGGAAGGATTTTCAATCTTCAACATATCATATGCGAGCTGCAGGCCTCATGATTTGGTCAAGATTGGCAACGCTTGATTGAATTTGTTTTTACCAGATGAGTACATGATTAACAGAAGAAAAGAAAAATAAAACCAAATTAACCAAAGAAAAAAAAAGGAAAGAAAGTGACCAAATTATATCAACACAAGGGAAATAATTGAGGGCGTAAGAAGGGCAAGTACATAAAATAAGCCTCTATCAACTTTTCCTTCGGTGTGATTTCCATGATGATCTTCTTCAGCATTTTCAGAGGACCTACCATGACCCCCCATTGAACCACTGGACGTGACCCTAGGCAGAACCCTCGTCGCTTAGTCTTGTTCCCCAGCCGTATGGTGCTTCCCTTCCTCCTCCGCAGCCGCCTCCGCCCCCGGCACCACCCCACCAACAGTGTTGAATTTGGAAACATTGGTATGGTTATGGAACCTCTCTTCAGCATCCTTTCAAAAAAAACCGTTGTGCTAAGTGTGTCTAGTCAATTTGCCCTTAATTTCTTATATACTGACTGTAAAGATAGAGCGAGGTTTAGTAATCATGATGGTCATAATGGCAGCAATTATAACAATCATGATGCTGAAGCCCTGATGCTAAAAAGTAGAATAAAAAATTGTCTTTAGGGAGGGTTTTTATTCTATTCTTTAATCTTGAGGCTTGTGGTAGTAATGATTAGAAGAGATGGGGGCTCCTGATCAAGCTTCAAAAGAGTTCAAAGAAAACTAGTAGGTGAGAGGTATCAATCACCAAGGAATCAATCATGCCTTATCACACGTTTGTCCAGGAAAAATAAAAGAGACAGGGTCTTCTTATTCTCTAGTTTCCTCTTTGTTGAACTTTCACTTGAGGTGGTTAGAACTTTAACCTTTTGTCATCATTTTTTATCAATCTTTCCAATTGGGCTTCTTCCCAGGGCTGGGGAGTGGGCTTTAGATTATTTTGGATCCCCAGAGCAGGTAGCTGTTGGATGCTGCTGCCAATTCTAAAGTACTGGATTTTTAAAACCTTGTATAACAATGTTTTGTCCCAGGCGCTTGTGCGACTCTACTTGGGTCATTTTCTTGTCATTCGTAATTTAGAGTGGCCTGATGACGAGAAAAAGATAAGAAAATCAGGAAATAAAAAATCACTGTAAAGTTGATTTCAAATACACATACGGGGTCGTTTGCAAAATCAAAAGAATATAATGAGTAATTTTGTAAACCAAATGAACAATTCAGTGATAACCACGACTTCTGTTCAAACAACTAAAGTCTAAAAAGGAAGACATAACTTCGAATCATCATATTCAAGAATAAGAATCAAAAGAAAATGAAGGGAAGAAACAAACTTCATTCTCGTCTCGACCTTAATTTCAAGACTCAATTCCGTGGAAAAATTATGAAACATTTAAAAAGTACGCATAAATATATGTTAGAACACTGAACAAGCAACAAATTTTGATTTGATAAATTGGTTAATAATACAGTGTCAGATTTAATTAACTGTCATGAGAGTTAATAAACTCATGACCACCAAATCCAATCATAAAACGTTGACTCTAGCACGGCGGATGAACTCACACCAAAGTCCCAAGTGGAGCCTATGAGCTTGAATTAACACATTCATTTTGTGGATAGACTAATGTGAGAAGAATTTTCCTCCGTTTCACACCATGTCACCATTCATCGAATAGAAAGATGAATACTTGGCTTTCACTTGATGTTATCGTTTAGAAACACAGCCATGAAAATAATTAATATAGCGTGGAAAACCAAATGCTTGAAGATAGAATCATATAAACCTTATCTCCTTTTATCTTTTTCCCAATTCTGGAATAAGAAATTTCTTGCGTGGAAGTGAAGTGTTGTTTGACGTATGACATGTTTGTACTCATTCAGCTTGAGCCGTTTTCTATGTAACAAAAATATCCTCGGACAAGTAGCTGTGACTTCTTATGTAAGCACCTGGTTTTGTTAATAATTATTATCTACTGCACACATTCTTTGGGGCTTTTTTTTTTTTTTTTTTTTGGGGGGGGGGGGGGGGGGTGGGGAGGAGTACTACTTCAATCCTGTTGCCAAAACACTCAGGCTCTTCAAGCATGTTTAAAGTGAATGGCAACCTTTGGTAAAAGCAATGAAAGCCAATCCAAGGTAAGGCACATTGGCCGTCCATTCAAATCTTTTCCTTGAAGGGTCAAAGGGTTCAAGGTTTTAAGGCTCAAAAACAATTGTCAGTGGGCTATATTACCCACTCTTTAATTATAGCCTTTTTCTTTAAAAAAAATCCCTTTTATTTAAATAAAAAAGGGAAAAAAAAGGGGTGATTGACGATTCATTTTACACGTAAAACACTAATTTAATGATAAAACAAACGCAACCATGACGTGATAAAAAATCCCTCTTGGCTACCAACCATTCTTTCAACTCTTTAATTCTCAAATAAAATATGAATCGGGACGAAAGAAGAGTACAGTAAGCCCAAAGCAGCGGATACAGAAAAGGCAAACTTTTTTTTTATCATATCTCTATATATCCGTCATAAGGATTCGATTCAGCTGCTGAAACAGTAACAAAATCTATGGGAATAGATGCCAAACACACTACCACCTATACTACTACCATTCTCCACGCATTGTTCCTCATCTTAGCTTACCATAGATGGATCATCAATCAGTCTCTGCAGTGCCATCATTGTTGTTGGTGTATTTCTTTGAAGCCGGGTACTTGATAGCATTGAGTTCAACTTTGCGCAGAGCAGCTTTCCCCAGATCAATGCCACATATATCAGAAAGCCTGACAAGGTAGAGTAGAACATCAGAGAGCTCTTCACCAAGGTGCGCTTTTTCTTCTTCTTTCCAATCAGGCAATCCTTTTGGGACCTCTCCCTTCCACTGAAATATCTCAGACAGTTCTCCCACTTCACCCACCTATATGTGTCATCACAAAATATTCAAAACAAAAAAATAAAAGTTACACTGTATATCACAGTTTAGCCGTTTCAGTGAACAAGAATCATGAAACATTTAAAAGCATGTCTAATTACCGTCCGTTAATGAATATTCCTCTGTCCCAAAAAATTTGTCACGCAAGAAAAAGGTAATAATTTCTTGTGCTTGACAACAAAAAGAGGGTTGAGGGTTGGGGGGATTGGGGGAAGCAAGGCCCACTTACAAAGGTTCAACCAAGTTTTGTACACAGACAGACCAAAAGCAATTAATATTTCTTTTAATCCAACTGGTTTAAGCTGTATTTTGTTTGGTCAAATCTCCCCATATAGAAAAGCGACAAAAAACTAGAACAGCAACAAATATAATCTATACTGGTCAAACCTGACCTTCAATCTTTCTTGTCTCACAGAAATATAGAGAAAAATTATCATGAAAAGCTAATGTTCAAAGACAAACTTTAAAAATAAACAAAAAAAAAAGCATAAGAAACGATAAGGAGAACGAGAAAAGATAATACATAGAGAGGAGTAATCCTAATGAAGTTTTGCTTTGGGATAGCCTATATAGAGGGATAAACATACCAGGGCCAAAAGCAGATTTCTAGGGCTGTGAAATTGATCCCAGTCCCTTTCCTTGGCAAAGTTAGCCATTTTCTGTTTAAGAAGATCAAGACTCACACTTTGATCACCTTCCTCAACTCCTGTCATCTTTCTAAGTGGCTATAGTTAGCCCCTTTTGTCTAAATGGAAAAGAAAAAGATGCTAGAGGAGAAAGAAAGGAATAAGAAAAGATGGATGAAGCTTGAAACTTTAGAGAGATATATAAGAGTAGAGAGAGACGACCAAGCGCAGTTTATTGGAAGGAAGCTACAAACCTATAAAAATGAGTGGGAAAGGAAGCCTAGAAGACAAACGGATGTTCTAATGTGGAAAGAAGTTTTAGTGAATTTAATTCTTAGGTTGTCTTTTCTCCTAATTCGGTAAAACTATAGGCTTCGTATACATTTATCTCTCTACTCATACAATGTACAGATACAAGAGTAATTTAGCTGGGGAGGGCACGTACAGCAGCCTTACATGCTGTTGACATCCCAGATGCCACGTGCTAGAAGCACACATGGATTCTCCCCTCCATCCTTGGGCAGCCTCAACTCTTTGTATGGACCACATGCTTACTGTTCTTCTTCCTCTTCTTATTCATTACTTTCATGGCTTGTTTTTTTTGGCAGGAAATTAAACTGGTGTTCCTTTCCTTCCTGGCACTGGGAATTTCTGCCCCTCCATAGCTCCAGGAACAAGGTCAGATGTCAAGAATCAACTCTGGAGTGAACCTGGGCAGAATTGAATTTATTGCCTTCTGTTTCTCTTTGGCCAAATTGATAGAGAAATAATTAACTTTCCTGACATACCATAATATCCAATCCTATTTAAGAATGTAATCCGACAGGGGTTGAGTGGGTGCCAGCTCCACCTGTTAATTATAGGGTAATTTCCATTTCCATTACACCAATGACTGAATGAGAGAAAGAAACACAATAATACCAAGTACAAGTTATGAGTTTACAATCAAGCAAACTATAATTATCAATTATATCCTAAAGTTTTAAAAAATTTTAAACTATTTTTTAATTAATTTTTTAATTTATTAGGTATAAAAATTCAATAAATTATGTATTTATCAAAAATAAATATTCAAAATTTGAAAATTGAGATAAAAAATAATTAAATAATTTTACTTAAAAAATGAATATAAAAAAATATGGAGAATTTTTTTAACTTCCCATAATGAAAAAAAATCACTTTATTTAAAATTGCTAGGTAATCATGATGCCAACTAAGTTCCCATAAGCTTTCAATTGGGCTTTTTTTTTTTAATCGGATTGTTTTATATTATTTATTTATTTATGCAACATAGTTTTTTGTTTTATAAAATGATTAAAAGGGGAGCTTCTAAACAAATACCATGATAGATTTTTTATTTTTGGACTTCTTGCACATGCCAATATGTATATTTATTACATTAATTATTCTGATTAGAAAAAAAATTGCAGTTTGCTTGATAAATTTGTCTTCACTTTCTTTTTAAATGCCAAAAAGGACAAAAAAATTCTTGTTACAGCGGGATTGCAAATGTTAGAAAGTTCGGTGAAACATTAATTTCACATTATCGTTTGTAGCAAGAATCTTTCATTTTCAAGAAACATGATTTACCGAATACTTTACATTGTAAGATTTCTTTTACCATATGAAATACTATAACATTTAACATTTAATACGGAGTTTGGCAGCCAATTCCGTATCTAAGCAGTTTTTCTTTCATGGTAAATGAGAGGCAAACTCTTAGAAGATGCGACAGTCCTGACTGAGAAGACCAGACCTTGTGGAACTGACGGGGGGCCACCGCAAAACAGGGTAAATTTTTTCTTCTTCTTCTTCTTTTCTTTTTTTAACCGTCTCTATTTGGTATATCTTTAATCATTTAGGGTTAGATTTATTTTATGATGGACGGTAAATTAGGAGGGCAATATGTATTTAACTAATTAAGCCGAAGTAAAGGCTACAATAAGTAAAAGTTGACCCTAAAAACTTGAGCCATTATTCTGGACTTTTGTGAGCATTCCCACTACCCATCTGTATTCTTATGACGAAGGTGATTTGAATCCATATAGGAGAGTGAGTTTTAGGAGCAAAAGTAGCCTTTATCTTGTCCTTGGAAATTTGCCAAATGGATGTTACCAGGAACTCACTTTCAAGTCTCACATTTTCTTTAAAAATTTCTGAAAAGTATGTCATCATTATAAAATTGAAACAAAAGTTTTGTTTTCATGCAAAATTTAGTTCCTGCAGGGTTATAGAATGAGAAAGGAGTCACATGATGATGTTAGGTTTTGTCAGCCTCAAATTAGAATCTCTCATGTAGCTAGAACAGACAAACAAATCTGTGTACCTTATGTTAATTTACTTGATTTGCAAGTTACAATGACTTTATTCCTTTCGGTGATAACAGTTTGATCAGACAGTGAAGGGAAGGTTTTAATCCGCGTCAGACTTCTGACATTTCTTTACAAAGTCTATATGGCTAACTTTGTAAAGCTATAGGCCAAGGCTCAAAAGGTCACTGTAGATTTCATGGAATGACGAAGGAGTCTTGTCTTGATACCAGGAAATAAATGACCAGCTTAGAATTCAGAAACAGGTGTCTTATGAGGTTTTTTTTCGTCTGCTATATTTGTCATATTGTGTTTTGGGTGAAATATTGAAGATTTCCATTCTATCCGAATCTTGAGTCATCGGACTCATAGCCTCGGACCCAGTTTTGTTTGATATATATCAATATAGTTTTAAACTTATTATCTGTTTGTATATTTGTGTTTAGATAGATTCTGTCGTTGCTGCATATCTGCTTTATATATTGTTTAACTGAAGCCTCACTCTAGGCATGTCAATTTTGAATGAATATATATACACTTCAGCTGTCTATTTTTAGGTGTTACGAATGAGATTTTCTTTATTAAATCCTGCAAACCATAGCCCTTAGGCCCAGAAAAAATGATAATTATTGTGTACAATTATCAAGTTGTGTTTAGAATATTATGTTTGTAACAGAGGGAAAGAAAGAGAGAGAGTTTCGCCTTCCTACTGGGCATTGTCCGTAAATCTGGGCGGACAAACAACTGTGATGGCGGGCCCTGCCTGACTTCTAGCCAATATTTCTTGTTCACCGTTCATATAAAAAAAAACCAAAAAGAATTTCTTTGGCATAAATAATTAATGTGAGAGTGTAATTCTTAATTTCAGTTGGAGCATCTTCAACAAGGTTACAGATAATGCAGAGAGCTGGTTTTTTTTTTTTTTTTTCAAATAAACCAACTCAAATGAGCTTGAAAATAAATTAGTAAGTCTACTTGACCTATGATTGAGCTTGTAATTTTCGAAATTGTATACATAACTTGAGTTTGGCAGACCAATGGTTTAAGACAAAATGAAATAAAAGAACCAAAACATAGGCACTGGGATTAGCAGCAATCCAATCTTCCAAGACAAAGAATTTGTGGTGCTTTTGCCGTTGTGCTTGAAAATGTCATGTATAACTTACTATTCCCAACGCGGGAGTGGTGCGGACAGCATGGCGCAGCTGCTTCAATTAATTAATCAGCCTAAAGCTACTCTAATGATGCCTTCGATATATATTTATGCTTTTAGATAAGTAGGGAAAGATTAACTCTATACTTTCTTTTAATACTATTAGGGATATGTCCAAATTTTGTTTGAACCCAACTCTAGCGATTTTAAAACGCACTCCTCAATTTCTGTATGATACATTCAGGATTTGATTTTTAGAGTGCTCTTTATTATTAGAAGGTAGATATCAATAACTAATCTCAAGTCATCCATCTATAAGATTTCCTTATCTTCGATTGATTTTAAACAAAATTTTCTTCTGAATATCTTATCTTTTTAACAATAGAACAAAACCTACCAAGTTGCATAAAACCAATCAGTCTCGCGCACTCATCTCATTTCCTACATTTGTTTATTTGCCTAGTATCACGGGTCTTGGCACCCTTAAAGATTAACATTTTTTTTTTCATATCTAGGGAGAATCCTGTTGCTTTGCCATGATAAAATCAGGTTCTCTATATATTTTAAAGCATAACCCTTTTTTTCAACATAGTTGGTTTGATCGAACGGATAAAGATTCTTGGATTGGATTGACATGCTTTAACAGAGAGATACACTTCCGGCTGGGCCTTGTTAAATTCATTGTCTGTGGCTATTGCCAATCTTTTTTCCAAGTTCCAGACAATTAGACACTCATCCTTTCTGGTAGAAAGTCACCAAAACCTTTTTGGTAGTCACTTTCAATATAAAAACGATATAGCAGACCGAAAGTGAACTGTCAACATCAAATCACAAACAATCTTAGGAATTTCAAAGAACCCTTTGTACAAGTGTGGGCTTGGAATTCGACACTGATCTAAAATCCCGGGGGTTACAGAAACAAAGTAGTGGTTAAAAGTTGAATTTGAAACAAATTGAAGAGGAGAGTTGTTGACCGATCCCATCCAGAGTCTTAAAACTTGTCTTTGTCGGTATCTGATGAGTTGGTCATTGGACCTGGTCGTGAAGCAACCTATCTAAGCAAAGGTCATGGTCAACTAGAACTCTTTGGTAAAAGACAAAAGATTTAGGTTTAAAAGATGTTAATAAGAGGAAAATTAAGAAATATATTCACAAGTTTGGTGACAACAGCAAATCTGATGCAAGCAGATTGGCTTATTTTATGAACTGAAGTTTGGTGGCTAATTACAGAGGAATGAGCTTTACCGATATCAAGTTACGGGCTAGATTGATATGAACTGTCACTCTTCTGGTTGAAGTAGTCAGCTAGTCATCGAGGTTTAGACTTTAAGACGTTAGAGGTGGTGATGGATAATGGGCTTGGTTGGGTGGTCTTTGGACAATAGGATTTAAAGTTGTTGAAGTTTCATGTCAGTTTTCGTAACTATTACTGAACTAGGAATCGTAACAAAGTATGAGTTTAAAGAGTATGACACATTAAGGTTCAAGATTCTAGAGTTTTCTCTTGAACTAGCTCGTTATTGTAGATAAAAGGAAAATAGGCTTCAAATTCAGGTTGAATCGTTGGTTAGCTTTTATATACCAATTTAACTTTTTTTTTTCCCATTAAATGGATCATGCGTCCATGATTTCAGAGAACCAATCCTGGGTTTAGTTATAAGGAAGCGATTGGGAATTGCTATAATTTATGGGCCTAAATTTGGGTAATCTCAAGTACAAAAAAGATGCACCATCTCTTCGTTTTAACAGTCATTTATAGCAAGCAATATTTGCTCTGTTTTAAAACTGATTTGGATGTAATCATGCAACTCGAAAACAAACTCTGGCCACACTTAACGTTTATTGGTCCTTTTCTTTGGCATTTCGTTGGCTGATTTTGCAGCTTTTCACAGAAAACAATGCCCCTGAACTACGGAAATCAGGATGACTACTTCAGCTTTTTGTGCGGACAACACTTCATTTTCAGGTGCCATTCCTTGATGAAGATTGATCAAGGATACAAGAATCACGATGAAAGATTTTAAGGGTCGATTAATTTTGTGTTCACGTACGTTCCTCCGTTCCTAATATTGTTATCAGATCCAAGCAACCAATTCCGTGTTTCTCTCTGGTGATTAATAGCCCTTCCCTTACAGTTTTCCCCGATCAAGCAACCAAGTCCATGTTTTTCTCTTGCTGTCCATCTCTTTCTGATTTTTCTTCATCTTCTAGTGATGTATGGCCTTAACTTAGGTTTATGATGGCTGATGAAAACTCGATATAAACTTATAAGCCTTAAGCCGGATCAAGGATCTTTGTTGTTTACTTCGAATTAATTTGATTGATTTCCACTAGTCTACTCGGCCATTTTTAATAAACGGCTCCTCATCAAATTTCATAAGCCCATGTAGTATAAATCGTGGAGAAGAATCACAGATTGAACTTTCTAACTTGTTGTAGTGAAGTAAAGGATCCACTTATATCCATTTTTTATGGTTTAATTTTTGGGTTTATATTTCATGTATTGATAATATATATTTTATACACTTTTAATCAACTAAATATTATCAACTTACTAATGAAAATTTTTAAAAATTTAAAAGCCCTCAAAAGATAAATATCTTTAAATTTTATTTAAAAAAATTAATTAATGTTGTGATTTGATGAACGAAAAAAAAAAAAAAAGCAACATGATATGGAATTCATTTCCTTTATTACACTGGAGGAATTTGCAACAAAAAAGCTAGCAATAAAAGAGAAAAATATTGAATAAATTGAAAGGGAAGGAGATGATGAGATGGCAGGCTTGAGAGATCAGATTGAAGAGATTTCTCCGGTTGTCACTACTTGTGGAAAAATGGATGTTCTGATACATTCATACTTACTTTTTGGGTCGGGTACAACAATCCTCTGTTACGGGCTGGATATTAATGGGTCAAATGTTATTGGGCTTTAATGATGCGTTGTCCTATTTCATATTAATGTTGGGTTGTTTTACTGCATGTAAGGCCTGTGCTTTAGTAAGGCCTTTTATGTTGCTCAATTTTGTTTTTTCAGATGGAAAAGTAGCAAGCGGGTGTGTGCTATGTCTCTTGAGAATCTAGGATTTTAATTGTCAAGTCGTTAATCAGTACAAAAAAGAGAGCGATGATCATTCGGCTATGCAATTATGGAATCAATTCCTCTTCCCCTTTTCTTCTTCTTCTTCCTTGTTAATCTTTTTCCTCTCTAATTTATTTTTGTTTCTTCTATGATGACTTATATTTCTGTTAGACAAATTTTGGTTTGCATCATCTTCCATTAATGATTGTTTAAGGTCGAATGTGGTGGTCCTCCATCAAAAGTTGTTGAAGGTTAAATGTGGTGGTCGGAGTGGTGGCTAGTTGTGGTTGACATGGATCACATTGGTAGCTAAGGTGTTTTTGGGTTAAATTATTTAAATCAAAGCAAGATTTTCCCTTCACCTAATATTTATAGTTGTAATTATGACTTTGTATACTATTTCTGATTCAAAATATTCACTTTTACAAAGTTTAAACTCCCAAGTTTGAAGAGTCTATCAAAGTTCATAAATAGATTTGAGTAAAATTAATTTAAAGATTTTAAGTTTTGATTAAGTTTTTTTAGAAAGTGAAAAAAAAAATTTACCTTTACCAAACTAAACAATTAAAATTTAAAGATATTTATTTTAAATGCTTTTAAATTTTTAAAATTTTTTATTAATAAAGTGATGACATTTAATTTATTAATAATTAATATATAAAATATATACACCGCCCGTGTATCAAATATAATCCTTTAATTTTTTTCAATGACCAAAATTGCAAAATCTCATCAATTCAGAACTTGTGAGATTGCTGAACCAGCAAGTTGTTCAGCTGTTGTGCCTCTTTACATATGGGAAGGCCAAGCAGGAGAGGGAAGAGATTGACCCTGGATCTTGATCTTTAATTGGAAGGGTAAGTTTTCCTTTTGTACTGCAGATGTCTGTTTTCTTAATATAGATTTAACTTCTCTAGTCGTCAAGCAAAAGTAATCTTCGCAAATTGCAATAAATTGTAATTAGATCATTTCCCTCAATTAAATTGGTTTGGTCCCAATTAAATCTTGTAATAATAATCAATTGTTCAAGCATATCTTATATGTATAATTGTTGATGATGAAAATGAGGAACTCTTAGTTCTAGTAAAAGAAAATAGTTTGGTTGGAGCTCAGCCTTTGCAAGATATATAAATGACAGATGTGGGAGTCGACTCCAGTCAAATTCTTTAACGAACAAGCCAGAAAAGAGTGAGAGACTAATGAAGTGAAGTAGAGCATACAAGCAGGGATAATGAAATTAACACAATGTCTTCATTCTTCAATATAATTTTCACCTACAAGACACAAAAAATAATAAAATAAACTTGGCACAAAGCCAACGCAGAAGGAAACCAAACCTCTGAAATATCAGTTAAAAAAACCACATTGCAATTAGGGTTGTGTACTAGAATTTAAAACTGTGCTGGAATTTTGTCATGCTGATTTGGACTTTGGAGGTGATGATTCATGAATGTGCAGCTAAGCGTGCTAACCAGAGGCATAGCCCCACAAAAGCATTAGGGTATTGTTTACTGGAACTCTATGTGAAATGGTCACCAGAATATTCTCACAACTGCAAGAAAGCCAAATGCAATCAAGCATATAAATGTTGGTGGGTCTTGCTTGTTTCTGCACACTGAGAAAATGGGCCCTCCCCCTTCCTCATGAGTTGCGGGCTTCTTTGTTAGTTTCAGTTCTGCCATTTTTTTTTTTGCAATTGAATGAATTCAAATATAAAAGTTGCCCATGTGAATTTTTGTTAGCTTATGTTTTAATATTTGGGGCCACTGCCACATGCAAACTTGCAGAGGCAGAGCCTCACTTCAAAAACTATTAAACCCCCTCCATCAAATGACAAATCTTCCACTTGAAGAAACCCTAACACCATATATCTCATAAATTTTCTGAGTGTCTCTCAACAGACAGCTTCTTGTTTTGCTCACAACATCAAACTACAACACAAAGAAAATGCAAAATTCTTTAAAAAAAAAAATTCTCATTGAGAAACACGAGAAAGGAATATTGGAATGTATATTGGATACGCCAATGCAACTTTGTCAAAGCTATAACCCCTACAACAAGAAGCTGTTTCTATATGGGGTTTCAGGTTTTTCTTTTCTTCTCTTTTCCATTTTGCTTTGGACCCAACTCATGTGGGAAAAAACAAATTATAAGTAGATCGTCTAATAATAAAGGTGAAAAATATGGTATACCTGCTACTTGATGAAAACATAATGTAGTTACCCATAGGATTTAAAGTTGATCAAGTTAACAAGAGCGTATACTATTGATCATATAGACCTTGTTCCAAATCTTTAGACTAATCTCATTATCTCTGCGAATTGGAAATTGTTTAAACCGGAATCTATGTACAAACATGAAGAAAGAAAAAAGAAGAAAATCAAAGGCAATTGCCCAAAAAGAAATTAATGACAGACTTTCCTTCAAGAAGTTTGCACGATAACCAAATAGCAAGAAAATTCTTGATGTGCCAAAAGGAAACCAGAACAGCTAGTTTCTAATTTCTTTTGATGCTAGTTCAATATCTTCTTCATTCTAAACCACACAAGTACACTCAACTCAAACTTACAATATATATATTCGATTTATGACCTATGGCAAACACATTTGTAATGGTATGCACTATTGATTGGGTCGTTTCCTTCGACTGGAACTTGCTCAGCTCTACAGTTGTACTTGCATCCTCTACATTCATTATAACTGCAGGTAGGCGCTGTGGATCCAATCATCAATCTCCTTGAATTTCTATTCATCTTTGCTTCATTGCTGCCCTGTTGCCTCCAAAATGTTTCAGTTAGAAAGTCTCCAATCATGAAAGAAGTAAAGCAAATACAGGGATTTCGTAATGAGAAACGAAGCTAAACTTTCTAGTTTGTAGTAGTGCTTTTGAAATACCCTTACCTGCAAATGCGATGGAAGCGAATGAGAGACCCCTTGTTGGAAAGGTAGTATTACTTGAGTTCTAGATCCTGCAAAATTTGAACTTAAATGTGGCATGAAAACAAGACAAATACAACATTGTTTACGAAGCAAAATGGAAGAATATCCCAGTTTTATACATAGAACTATTAGAATTTTAGCATGTCAATTTAAAAAGCTATAATAATTAAAGCTTCCTTTCAGGCTTAGGAAATGCATTTCCTACATTAAAGCCTAGTCAGAAATCTACTAGGAGGATTAATAAAATTATAAAAAAAACACATGGAAAGATGGTTTGAAGGCAAGGAAAGGAACAGCTAGGGGCTGATTATGACCTTCTACTGCATGTGCTGCAAGGAAGAAGGTGAAGAGTAGTAGCAAAAGTAAGTAGCTTAGTTTAATGTTGACCATTCTTCCCTTTTGTATTGGAAGTAAATTCAGAAGGTGATATATATGAAGGATAAATGAGACAGAAGGAGAGAAGAAAAAAAAAAAAAGAGAGAGAAAGAGAAAGAGTTGTGGTCAATCAATGACTATAAGAGATAGACCGGCAAATCTTTCAGTGACTCAGAGGTGCACAGTGCACACCTAAAAGAGGTCCCGAAACACCCAGGCCGATGTACTGTTTGTTGGAAGCTAACATGGGAACAGCAGATTGACTTTTGGAGTTACAAAAATGCCCATTGCCTTTTCTTGAGTTTTGTCCAAGGAGTGGTTAGATTACTTTGATTTTTTGGTGGGGGTAAAAGGGAAATTTGAAATGTGGAGGGAATCATTTACGTTTTGGACTACGACAGCATCTATTTGCAAATTTTTTTCACATGTTTTAAAATTATTTTTAAAATTTCTAAATTTTTGCTTAGATTATTAAAATTAAAAAGAAATCCAAAGATTCATATATTTTAATCAGGTATTCTATCTATTAAAATTAAAATTTTTATTTATCAATTTGTAAATAAATTTATAATAATTTGAAACAAATCATATTTTTTTTGTAATATTGTAACAATTTTTCAATATCTTAGATTTTTTCCTCAACTAAATTTATAAATTTTGTTGGAATTTCAAAAAAAATAAATAAATAATTTTTTACTAAATTGAGATGATATTGATTAGATAAATTTTATTGAAAATTTTAACCTTTAAATCCTAAATGTAATTTTTTTAAATTTATGAGATATGAAAATAAATTTACTAGAGTTATATAATTTATCAAATTTTATATTTGATAAATTATAAAATTTATTAGATATATATTTAAAAACTTTTAAAATTAAAATAAAAAAATAATTAAATAATTTAACTAATAATTAAAAAAAATGAGAACAAAAGTGGGATCCAAATAAAAGCACCATTAGATTACAGTTGTGAAATCATTTATATGCACTTAAGATGAATGGACGTACAATGAATGACCCACCAAAAGAAGCATCCAGGATTGGGAACTGCTCAAAGAGCCAATATACAATCCCTAGATGAATATTGTAGAAAGTATAAACTAATAGTCATAGAAAAGAATGATTGATTCTCTTACATTATTTGGTTAAGGGACCTCAAAGTCCTAAATCACAGAATTTCAGAATGAAATAAATATTCAGACATGGGGAATGATGAATTTTTTCAATGAATCCAGAATGAAATAAATATTCAGACATGGGGAATGACGAATTTTTTCTCCATCCCTCCCCCAAAGAAAGAAACTTATTTCACTTAAGATCTTTTTTCCCAAATTCCAAGCAGATAAACAAAATTTCCAGGCTTCAGCTCTAAATGACGTGTTGGCTAATCATCTCAGTCGCTAAGCGTGAACCATCAGCCATTGGTGGGACTGGAGTGAAGATAGACCGGATAATTTCAGATAAAATGATAAAAACATATATATTTATTTTTAAAAAATATATTTTATATTTATTCGTATGATATAATTAATATTTTATATGTATTGATATAATTAAGTATATAATATAATACGAATAATATATTTAATTTAATATTATTATATAAATATATATTTAACGTATTTAATATATTTATTTTTATATATTTATATTATATTTAAATTAATTAATTAATTATATTAGATATAATATATATAATAAATCAATCGTATTCATATTTAATATTTAAATGTATTTTATAATTAATATTATATTTATATTTTAATAATTTATATTATTATATATGTCAAATATAATACGAAATGCAATAAAGAAAACAATGAATTATCATGTCAAATTGGAGCTAGGACTGTGCTGCGCCTGCACTTTTTCCTCTCAACGGTACTTCTTCCACATCACACACGTGTCTGTTTCCTCCCTCGCTTTTTTTTTGTCATGATAAGAATTTTTTATTTTTTATATATTACTAATTTCTTGACCTGTCTTTTTCTCTGACTCATTGGAACCTTGCTGTAATTTGAAAAGTAATTTAATAAAAAAATGTCGTAAGCATTAGGCCAAGATGAGGCGTAGTTTAACAAATGTATTCTTATCTTTTTGGGTTCTTCTTCTTGGCCCATAATTTCTATTTTAAGAGGCCTACCGGCAATCAGCTCCTTTAGGTGGAAAACTAAAAGAAAAAAGAAGAAAAACTAAGTCTAAAGTTTGACAAGAAGGTCTGGACTCTGGAGTCTATGTCTGGACCATGGATCTTGGAGGAAATCTAGAAACAATCCCAGTAGCTTGCAGCACTTTGGGTTTGGATCACCAGCCCATTCAGTGACGCTCACTCAAATATATATATATATATATATATACATATATATATCCTAAAATTGAGTTACAGCAAATTTATTCTTTTAGGCTGAGTCCAAATGATAAAGATGAAATTGCAAAAATCTTTTGATTCAAGATAATTCTACAAAATTACAATAATTCTTATGATTTTTCTGTTGAATGGAAAATTTAACTATTATTATGTTGAATAACTTTTGCATCAATTTAGCCGTTGCATAGCAATTGGGAGTAATATTGTCTTTGATCAAAATTTTTATTAATTTTTTGTGATCTTTTCTTGCACTATGGAGAAAGGAACAACAATAGAGAGAAGGGGAAAAAAAAGTGAGGGAAGAAAAAAAATGAAAGAAGGAATTTGTTTTTTCTTTTTTCTTGTTTTTGTGTTTGGTAGGAAAAGGTGAAAAATAGAAAAAAAAAATAGAAAAGAAAAGAAAGAGAGAGATTAGAGGTAAAATTGTAAATAAAATATTTAATTTAATTAGAATGAGTGTTTTTCTCTCATTAATAATACATATAAAAACTAATCCATGTTATCTTTCTATTGATTTAGGTTACGTGGCATATTTACTATTTATTTTTTACTTCTCGAGAAATTGTTATAAAAAAATAAAATGTAAAAAAATAATATTAAATTGACTTAAAATAGATAATTACTTAAAATATAACACCAATTATAATATGATTAGCTTATATAAAATTAGAATTATGCATTTCATTATTTAAAAATTACATATTTTGTGTATAATAATCTTTTTAAAATAATTTTTACATCAAAACAAATTTTTTTAAAGCAAAAGACAACTAGCAAAAATATAAACCAAAATAAAATTTACAAATTTACAAATCATATAATGTAATGGAGCTCAACTTTGGTCTAATTAAATTATATATATATATATATATATATATATATTAAGTACCAGCTTGAACGTTTCTGTGATTTGGATTCTATTGCAAGTAGCCATCCGTTTGTGTTTGTAAAACAGTTGAGGCTTGGAAATTCCCGCGAATACCCGACTTTACAAGAATACCTAACCTTGCCGCTAACCCTTTCTCTCCCTTGGTTCCGCCAATTTCATTCACACCCAGAAAAAAACATGTCAATGCAGGCAAACAATCCCTTTCCTTTCCTTCCCATTCTCTTCCTTCTCAAAGAAAAGCAACCTCTTTCTCCCCTATATCATCACTCATCAACCATGCCATTACCAATCATCATCAACAAATTCTACGAACCTTATTAACTCACAAACTTCCGTTCATTACCTTCCTGTTTCAGCTCTTTTTCCCCCTTTTTTCTTTTCCATAACAACTGATGGAGTCTCAAGAACCAAACGTTACCAGCTCCACTTCGATGCCTTTGATGTACTCGAACCGGATGATGTTGAAAACCATATTGGAAAGTAGCGATGGCGAGATGGGGTTGATTGGTAAGACAGTGGTGGTTGGAGGGTGGGTGAAATCTTCCAAGGAGGTGAAAAAGGACCCTGTGCCATCGCCACCTGCTGCAGCTGATGCTTTCCCCGTTTCTCAAAGGCCGAAGGACGTAACCTGTGTGGAAATTCTTCAATCTCGAATCCCGTTTTTCAGGACTATTATCAGGGTTTTGGGTGGTTCTGCTAGTTCCCCTGCTGTTCGAGAAAAGCTGGAGTCTTTGATTCCCAAACCACCTCCTCCTTCGACATTCTTTCTACAAATTAATGATGGCTCTTGCCTTTCAAGTCTTCAGGTACTCTCAAATCCTGTATTGTTTTTCCTGTTTCTAAAGAGATTGCTTGATTATGCAAATTCCTAATTGGTATTTGAAAATTCTCAGGTTGTGATAGATTCCGCTAAAGCTCCAGTGTCTGCAGGCCAGATTCTACCAACTGGAACATGTATATTAGCTGAAGGTGTTTTGGAAAAACCTTCAGCACATGGAAAACGAACAATTGAGCTTAAAGTAGAGAAAGTTCTTCATGTTGGGACAGTAGAGCAGGATAAGTATCCATTGTCAAGGAAAAGATTACCCCTTGATTCTTTAAGGGATTATGCCCATATTCGTCCTAGGACAACTACGGTATTCCGTGCATACATTGCTATTTGTTGGACATTCTGTCATAAGAAAAATAACTTAAAATTGAACCTAACATGCTCTATAATGACTATGTTGAACATTGCAGGTGGCGTCTGTTACACGAATTCGCAGCACCCTAGACTTCGCAACCCACACATTCTTCCAGAACCATGGTTTTTTACTTGTGCAACTGCCGATCATAACGACTACAGACTCTGAAGGGTTCAGCGAAAAGTTTCTGGTTACAACTCTTCTAGGAAAGACAAGCAAGGAAGAGCCAGTCGGTGTTAGTGATGCTGATGGTGTTAGCCTTGAAACAGTTAAGGCTTCTATAAAGGACAAATCAAGTCTATTTGAACAACTCAAGAGAAGTGACAGCGATAAAGAATTACTTGCTGCTGCTCTTCAGGACCTGCGGAAAACAAATGAATTAGCGCGACAGATTGAAGCAAGAGAAAAATCCAAACCAGTAACTGCAGTGAAGCATGACTTAGTGAACCTCAATGAAGATTTCTTTGGTCGCCCGAGTTATTTAACTGTTTCTGGTCGCCTTCATCTGGAGAGCTATGCATGTTCTCTTGGTAACGTTTACTCATTTGGACCCAGATTTCGAGCTGATAAAACAGTGTCCGCCAAACATGCGGCTGAAATGTGGACGGTTGAGGTTGAAATGGCTTTTTCACAATTAGAGGTAAGACTTTGCATCTTCAAAGCTCTAGCGATCTTATGTAGTTTAATGGTCATGTTAGATAGATATTTCAATTGCATTGTCATTTAGCTCTTCTCCCAGTCCTTAGGTAGTTCAATTTATTCTTTATTTGTAGTATGCCAAATTACTTTTGCGCTTCTTTCATGGGAAAATGTTCAGTTTCCTCCAAACACTGGAATATTTCCGTTCCCTTTTTGGTGATGTAAATTTTGTGGTTTTCAGGCTTTACATATCATAAGGAGTTGAAAATATCTCGAAACAAAAAATATATATTTATTGCTCATTCAGCTTATACGTGAGAATTTATACATATTAAGATCTCATTGATAGCTTTGATTGGAGTTTCCAGGACGCCATGAAATATGCAGAGAACTATTTGAAATTTCTCTGCAGCTGGATATTGGATAACTGTTCAGAAGACATGAAGTTTCTCTCAAAAAGAGTTGACAAGACTGTTACTCATCATCTTGAATATTTGACATTATGTTCTTATGACAAGATTTCCTATAGAGAGGCAGTAGAAATTTTGAGAAAGGTAAACCTGTACAACATGTACTTCCTATATTTATGCCCAGCCAACATATCAACCATATCTTTAGCAACTTCTGTCCGCAAAAGTTTTGATTTCATTCTTCAACACCAGGTCACAGATAAGGCTTTTGAAACACAACTTCGGTGGGGCGTCCCTTTAACAGCTGAACATCTAAGGTATGTATAATGTAGCTATTAATCTAGAAGTATGAAATGCAACTGTTCTTACTATCCGTTTTACTCCATGGCAGCTACTTGGCTGATGATCACTATAAGAAGCCTGTAATTATTTATGATTATCCAAAAGCAGTTAAGCCATTTTATGTACGCTTGAATGATGATGAAAAAACAGTTGCAGCATTTGAGATGGTTGTACCCAAGGTAAGTCTAAATGTCTCTTATGAGGTGAAGAACATCTAAAACAAATATCTTCTGGCACCAAAAAAGGTGTGGGGGTTTAGAATGGTTATAAAGCTGGATAAGTTGTATGCAGATTGGAACCTTGATTACAGGCAGCCAAAATGAAGAGCGCTTTGACATGCTAAATACAAGGTAATGCCGTCCATATTCTACTGTTTCATTACACCCTATTTTGTAGTCTACCGCAAATGATTTGCAAATTAACGTTGGGTAATTTTGGATTTAAATGAAATTGGTGACAGTGCAAAGCACTAACTAGTTTGCATGATTATTAGCAAATTAAAGTTACAAAAGCCAGAATTATTGGTTAAATGGGCTTTAGTGCTCTAACTTGAGAGTTTCCAGTAAGTAATGGTCATGAGAATTAGTTAAGTTTTTGGCTGTTGATCTGGTGCTATTACTTGTAGCTTTTAGCTTTGTCTTTGTGATACTTTTAGTCATTCACAGGAAATACTTTGAAAGTTGATAATGTTTTTATTGCAAAGAAAGAACTAATAATATCAGAAGAAATATTGCTGAAACTGAAAAACATATAGACCCTGTTGCTGCTAATATCCCACCTCTTCCAAACCGAGTTTCTGTACACTTTAATTTTGGTTTATTCATGTGGAATTAACTATTCTCGATATTTCCTCATTGATCATTGTCTGCTGTGGTTTTCTGATTACAGGATCAAGGAATTTGACTTGTCAAGAGATCAGTATGAATGGTACCTAGATCTTCGCAGGCATGGAACAGTCCAGCACTCTGGATTCAGCCTGCAGTTCGACCTGATGGTTCTCCTTACCACTGGCCTCACTGATGTCAGAGATGTGATTCCTTTTCCCCGTAGTCATGGCAAAGCCAACAACTAGGAGGGTGTCTTGCCGAAGTACATAAAAATAGATATATCAAGTTTCAACTTGCTTGTGTTTCAAATGAAGAGAAACTTGTGTAAATAGATGTACTTAATGCAACATACGAGAAATATCTTACTCTTATAGTTAGAGATTATTCTTGTTTATACCAAGTGCACAAAAATGAAAATAAACTGTGGAATTTATTAAAGGAAAAGAAACTAACACAGGCTTGCAAATCCTTTGAGCAAACTTATTTTGGGACAACGCTCTAGGATTTCAAAATCTATGCATGAACTATCACCACTGTTCCCTCCAATGAGTTACCATTGTTTGAATCAAGTGCGAAGAAAAATGGATAAAGCTCATACCAAACATAACAGCTACTGTATAGGACCTGATATCCCTTCCTGTTGTTACAAAAGTTTGGGAAATTTTTTACTTGAACCGACCGGTCAACGATCCGGTCAACGTTAGTCTGGATTGATCTGATCGATTTTGCGGTTCAATCAACGGTTCGAGCTAGCAATCTATGATTCGGTCCAGGTCAAATCGGTTCAATTGGATCAATCAGCAGCTGTTGAAAGAGCGGGTCTACGAGTCGAGTTGTGTGGATCCCGGGTCAGATTCGGATCAACACGTGGATCCTCATTGACCTAAAATGACGTCGTTTTGCTCATTAGTCTTTTATATATAACTGAAAAAAAAAAATTTTTGTTCATTCTGTTTTTGTTTCAAAAAAAAAATAAGGGAGAGCTCTAGAGCTCTCTCACCGTCCGGTCGCAGGACCACCGTCGATTGTCATTTGGGTCACCATCGACGGTCGTCGGTGATCGAAAAATACCAAAATACTCCCAGAAGCGCTCTTCAATGCGCTCTTCCTAGATCTGACTTTTTTTTTGTTGAAAATAATCTCGATCAGCATAGATCGACGCTCAAAGTTTTTATTTCCTTTTTTTTCTTTTTTTTTTTTGTTTTGTTTTGTTGAAACAAAACTGACGTGATTTTTTTTTTGCTTTCACAGGTAGCTTTGACGCTGGGTTCTTCCCTGCGGGGAGGATTGTTTGTCCTTGTTTTTTTGTTTCTGTTTTGTGTTTCTATTTGGGTATGGATCTGGTGTGGTGTTTGGGGTTGTTGAAAGAAGAGATTTGGAGGTTTCGATGGTCTGTTCGAAGACTTTTCGAGAGAGGTCTATTCCTTGTCTGAAAGTTTTCGAAAAGGGGGGTCCGACCGAGCTAATAAGAAGAAATTGAAGTTTTTTAAGGAGTTCAAAAGGGGAACAGGTGGTGGCTATAAGGTGACTGTAAGCTGGTGAGCGTGGGTAGCTAGTGGTGGCTATAAGGTGACTGGTGCCAAGCATCAGACACCCTATTTTTTGTCTTTTTTTGTTTCTCTTTCTTTGTTTTTTTTTTTGTTTTTTATTTTTTTATAAAATTAATAATTTTTAAAAAAATTATATTTATTATTATTATTATTATTATTATTAATAGTATACTCAAAATAGCTTTTCTTTCATGTTTCACTTTCACATTACATGGAAACATCCTTGCGATGGAGCTTTCTGCATAAAAATCGACTGATACTTGGATTTATATAGCATTCAAAATGTTAGATCAATGGCGTTTCTTAGGTTAGGTAAGGTAGGGCAGGCTTTGTATTTTTATTTTATTTTTCTTTATGCAATCACGGAGCTTATGGAGTATTATCAACTCTGAGTCCGCACAGATTAAAAAAATACAAGGTGGAATCCATCTGCATAGGGACCGGAAATGCACTGTACATTATATGCAATAGAGAGGAGCCGGATCCTACCTATTTCAACAGGCATTGAACGAGCTACTTATCTTATTTGGTGTCTCGCGCCTTGTTGTCCAACAGAGCATCAATCAACATGAAAAAAAAAAAAATGAAAAATGATATTGTAGAAAGAATATGTCGGATTTTGTGTCTGACGATCAAATTTGACCTTAAAATATTAAAATATGTTACTAAATAATACCAAACGGATTAAAGAATAAAAAAAAATAAGATTTGGGTTTTAGAACATAAGAATTCCTCTAAATAAAAATATAATTTTTTGACAGATAAGTTTTATTATTACCTAACTATTATGAATTCATTAATAATTAATCTATTTAAATTATTTATAAACTTTAAACTTTTTAAAAATTAATTCTACATGTTAATTTTTGTTCTAAGTTTGCTTACAAATTCATTAAAAACCTCATCCATACTATCTTATAGGTATTAAACTCTAATTAATGCTCTCATTTATAAAAGGAGTGGTACTTGAACTAAGACAAAAGAGTCTAGTGAAAACAATCCCTTTTCTTTTAAGTACTTTTGAAAAAGTTTAATGGATAAATCGAATTTTGTATTTTGAGTATAGCAAATGCAATTTTTTTTTTTTACGAAAATATTATAGCTTGATAATAAAAAAATTAAAATTAAAATTTATTCAATGTCATATGTTAAAAATAATTATATAAATTAATTGAATTAAAATTAAAATTCTAAGACCAACACCAAAAAATTTCTAGTAAAAAGAAATTCATTTGGCTTTTTTACTTATTTTTTTCTTATTTAACCCTCTTCGTTTTACATAAATTTGCAATTCAACAATCGTTATTTAATGCAACTTTATTAGGAACATTGCATCTTGGGAAGAATCGTAGGAATGAAGGCTGGCAAAATTTGGCCATTCATCACCATTCACTATAACAATCTATAAGGAGTCGAAACTCTTAAACGGTTGTGTTTGCTTTCGATGGAAAAAGACTTGGAAGAGAGAAGGAACCATCCTGATTTTGTTGTCTATTAATAGGTCAATTTTCATCAGATAGCAACTATGGAGGACCTGGAAAATGTACGAATGACAAGATGGTACCTTAGACCAGAGGAGACAACAATCTATTATAACCCCAAAAAGAGCAACAGTTGCAGCAATTGTTGCCAGCTCTCATGTTGTATTCATATTTGATTCCACATTTCCTTGTATGTATCCATTGAAATTGTCAAAAGATCTCCAGAGCATTTCCTTTTTCTCATTTCGCTTTTTTAATTTTTCCAATTTAATTTTTATTTTAAGTTTTTGAAGGAAAATCATCACCACAGGAAGTTCATTTCTTCTGCTGGACTTTGTTTCTGTCGAAGGAGGCTGCACTTCAACTTCAAAACGTGTTTCTTCAGCTGATTTTGAGGTGGCTTGGGATGATTGTCGCGTAGATAGATTGGAAGATTGTTGAACATTATGCATCTGCGACAGCGACGAGGTAAAATGGAGTTTTTTTTTTTTTTTTTTAAATCAACACACCAATTGATATTTTTATCCTTTTTAATTTTTTGAATTTTTGTAATTTAAAAATATTATTCATTTTTGTTTTATAATTTGAAAATTAATTTTTTGAAAAATTTTAAAAAATAAAATAATATAACACATGGTTTTTTTTATTGGTTAATTTATATCTTGGCTAACTGTGTTAATTAATTTGATAATATGTTAAATGGAATTATAGTTCAAATGCTTGATTGTAAATTTTTATTTATTAAATATCAAATTATAAAAATATATAATTTGAATATCAAACTATAAATTAACGGTTCTTTTTTTTTGGCACAAGATGAAAAGGTGGTACAACAAGCTAAAAGTTCAGCACCTTGGGTCACACCCTAAAATTCAGAGTTGAAAATTTGAGCAATAAATTAACCACCTTACCAATTTTTGGACCAAAGCTAGCGTTTGATCCTAACAAAGGAAGTGTTATGTTAAATACTTAAATTGAATGATAAATAAAGGAGAAATATAGAGTCATTCTTGATTTTATTCACTTATTTCACTTATATTAGTAGGGATGACAATTCAACCAATTTTCAGTGGTTTTGATTCGATTCAATCCGACCTCTTAAAATAAGTTTTTTTTTTTTTTAAATTAAATTTTGAGTCGAGTCAAATCGGATAATATTAAAATAAAATTAAAGTCGAAATTGAAGTCAAGTTTTAAATAAACTTATCTCGACTTGACTCAGTTTATATATATATATATATATATATAATTATTTATATAATTTTATATTTATATATTTTATATTTATTTAATTTTATATTTATATTAAAAAATCTTTTATATTTAAAAAAATAATATTTTAAAATTTTCAAGTTGAGTCAAATTAAGTATGTTTTTATGCAATATCAAATCAAATTTGGATATAAAAAATTAAGTTAAGTCAGATTCAGAATGAGTAAAAATTCAATTTGTTGCCATCCTTATTTATTAAAAATAAAATAATAAATAATAAAATCCAAAAACATAAAAGAAAATTGTTTAAATGATACATCAAGCAAATTCAAAATTACATTATTAAAAATTATTCAATTATAAGTACATATATTTTTTGAGCATTGAATCCGAAACTTTTTTCTGTATGAAATTTTAAGAAAATCACACTAGATATTTGCTATCTACATGCAAAAAGAGACAACTAAAGTTAAACAAACATATGATACCAAATCTCAATATGAAGTAAGTCTATTTTCTTTATTTTTAATATACTCTTACATTTTTTTACCCTACTACTTATCAAGTTAAAGAAAATATAACAAGCATGAGTTCCTTCAAACCTCATAACTTTTAAATACGAACTTCAGTAACACTCCAACTGATCCAAAGATAATCATCAAAATAAATCCACCACTTAAAAGGCCGAGTAATCCCACTACTCCCATCAACCATTCCAACTAAAAAAACTCCACCAAAGTCAGTCGAAGGCGAAAAGCCCCCACAAAGCCCAGAAGGCCCAAAACCCAAAAAATAAAACAAAAATAATCTTAATTGTTTCGAAACCCCGCCAATTACGTAGCTTGTCCGTGGCTATCCTTTTTCTACTCCTTCCGAGCTTAAATCCAAAAACCTACTTCACAATTCACATTCCAGACAAGCAACAAAGACCCATTTCACCAAGGCACCTGCAAAGAACATCCCAGAGATGGTTGGCCATGAAGAAGAGGATGGAGGTGAGGAGTACTTGTTTAAGGTTGTGTTGATAGATGACTAAGCTGTGGGAAAATCAAACCTTTTGTCACGTTTTGCTAGAAATGAGTTCAAAGGCAACTATTAGAGTAGAGTTCCAGACCCAAGTGGTGGAAATTGATGGGAAAGAAGTTAAAGCACAGATCTGGGATACTGCTGGTCAAGAAAGGTTTAGAGCTGTTACTTCTGCTTACTATAGAGGAGCTGTTGGCGCTCTTCTTGTTTATGATATTAGTAGGAGGAGTAGCTTTGATAGCGTTAAACGTTGGCTTGATGAACTTACCAGTAAGTTTATTTCTTTATGTTCTTTCCTTTTTTTTTTCCTTTTTTGTTGTTGCTAAGGGAATGTATTTGAGATTTGAGAAAGAGAGGAAGTGATAGATGATAGTATTTTTTTTTTTTTAAGGGGTAAGAAAATTAGAGCTGAGTTCAGAATTTACTGAGATTCATACCTTTTTCTCGAGAAAGGATGTTTAGAAACCATGCAGGAGATTCTGTTACAGTAAATTCCTAAAATGCAGATCCAAGCGGGGATGAGGATAACAAAACCCAATTTTCTAAAGTGTGTTTATTTAGACTTTTGACTATTACAAACTTTTTTCATGTCTAGCTATTACTTTTCCTTTCTTTCTTTTTGAGTATTTAAGGCTTTGCATTTTGGTGGGGTTTGTGCATTGACAAAAGCTGCTTTCAGATTCTGTGCAAAAAGTTTGTAGTATACCTTTCTTGGATGGTGCCAACTGCCCATTGTTCCTCCTGGTCTGACAACTGATCAGAAGATAACAGAAGATTTGGTTAAGCAAAGAGAAAATTATTGCTTATCTTGCCCCTTTCATAAAAGCAATCTTTAATGCACATATACAACCATTTGAAAGTTATATCTTTAGGTGGAGCTTACTTTTTCTGGTTGGTTTTAAGGAATAAAATAGAGACTATTTTTTTGATCCAGAAATGTGAGGAGTTTCCACCTTTTAGGGAATGAAATTAGATTCATGTGTTTGGTAACAAAAATTTTAACCCCATTTAATTAATCATGCATGCAGCTCATTGTGATACTACTGTGGCAAGAATGGTGGTAGGGAACAAATGTGATTTGGAGAATATTATAGGTGTGAGTGTGGAGGAAGGCAAAGCCTTGCAGAAGAAGAAGGCTTATTCTTCATGGAGACATCTGCCCTTGAATCTACTAATGTTCGGACTGCTTTCAAGATTGTTATCCGGTAAATCTACAACAATGTAAGTAGAAAAGCCCTAAACTCCGACGCACATAAAGCCGAGTTGTCTGTCAATCAAGTAACCCTGGTGAAGGATGGGGCCAACTCATCCAAGTAGGGTTTCTCCTGCTGCGCTAGATGATCTCTGGTCTTTCATATTCTTTCACTACACTCTTTCTCCAGAACTGTTGCGGACCCTGTTACCATTTCCCATTCTCCTACAGTCTTACCTTGCGAGCTACATAGGATTAAGTTTGTCAGTTTTGGTGCTTCTCATTTTTGATCTTTTGGTAATCATAAGATAAGACTGCATTTATATTCTAAGATGTGCCATTTGCATTGTTACTTCCCCATATTCCAGAGGTGAAGAAGAACCTCTTTAAATTGGAAGGTTTGACAAAATTGCGTGATTTACATCTACCTCTACTCACTCGCTTCGACACACTGCGAGATTTCACGTATGGGAGACCCTTTTTATCATTAAAACGGAAGAGCAGAAGAAATGGTGCATCCACCTTGCCTGCCCTGGAAATGACATGAAGTTCTTATATTCACATTTATATCTCATGTGAATGTTATTTTCAGTTGACGCCCGTAGATTAATACTCTTTTCACAGTAAGAAATAGTCACAAAAACAATCTATTAATTGACATTTGACAATATAAACAAAGAGCAATTCAATGCAGCCGTCACATTTCATGTATGAAAGCTCCGTCACCTTAAGTCCACATGCAAAGCAAGTTTAACATCTTCTAAACACATCTTCAGGCTTCTTTCTTTCCCTCAAGTTGATCCGAAGGTAAAGACAATGTGATTTTCGATTGATGAGTTGTGATAAGGAATTGATTGAAGACAATATACCAAACCAAGAGGGCACTCAAAATGGCTTATTGGTTTCCACCTCCAGAGCTATAATCCAAATATTTTGGTGTATAGGCTAGGCAACCAGAGTGGTATGTACACCAAGATTGCAACGTAAATACCAAAAAGAATGAATGAACCGACAAGAAGGACTCCATTCCTGACCATGCTAGGGAAAATTACTGTCTGCTACAGCTGCAACATCTCCAAGGGAAGAAGCTTAAAGAACTTTGAATAAAACTAAAAACAGCGAATGAGAGAGGGAAAGCAGAGCAGAACACGAAGGAAAGGAAAAAGTTTGTATTCACCTGTTCAATATTACAATGTCTTGTCTATGGTGGAACTATCAGCCGAACCAAACAACAAATAGCGAGAAGTTCTAACAAATGTACATGTAGAATGGAAAAATGGCCCGTAACCCGCTAATGGCACCTAGGAGTTCATTATACTAACATCAACAAATATTTACATTGGTGGAGAAAGCACTACACACCTGACTCCCACATCAAAGGGGACTTGCTGCCTTGAATATCATTAAAAAAATTTATGAATACCCAAGGTCCTTCAAGGTTTCCTCAATGCAGATGCTGCACCCATGACAACAGCCAAGATAATACCCACACCAGCCCCAAAAGAGGCACCTACAGCTGCTGATGTCAAAGAGGATGCCTTGGCTTGTGAATTCTTCTTCCCATCTACTGTCATTGCATGCTCTTGTGCCAACTCCAATGAAAGCCTCTCTCTAGCAAGTTCCTTCAAATTTGACATGAAACAAGAAACTCAAAAATTATTCATGAGCATATGAAACTCAATGAAGCAACAAGAAACCAAATAATGTAGCACGTTATAGAAACTACATCGGGTGAGTACCACAAATGACCAGTGAGCTGCTTTTTATATTTCCTGTATACTTGAACAGTATGTTAATAACAGTCATTCAAAGTTCATCCTATTGATATTAACTATTAAAATGCATACCATGAGGAATTCATTTATGTTAATAACATACCCAAGGAATTCATTTATAAACGTTTACAAGAAAACAATTGGGTCATATCCTGAGATACCATGTTATATTCACCACAAACATACATCAACTACATTATTATTTTTATTATGGTGAGGTATAAGGAAATAGTAACTGTTCAAAAACTGATGTGAATATAATCAGATAGGATAGAATCCATTCCCCTGAACTCATAATAAGCTGTCCAGTTAGAAGTACGAGGTCAACAGATTGAAGACATTTCCATGATAAGTTTGCAACTTTATTAAGCAAATAGATCCAGAGATAATATGGATTATGTTTTTCTTCAACAACTATTATATGAGGCAGATGTTAAAAAGGTCAACTGTATTTTCAACTGCCCGCCATAGATACACCAAAAAAAAAAAAAGAGTCAATGTTATCAAAGCAAATACATACCGCTGAAAATTTTAATTTCTATCACAAGATTAACAACTATGTATTTTTCTTTATTATTCTTCACTTTTTTTAGCTAGTTTCACCAATAATTAAGCATATCCAAATCTATAAATCTTTTTCTTTATAAATTCTCCAATGCCTGCAGACAAGGAACTCATTAGTAGCTATGCATATTCAAAGCTATTTATAATCTATTATAAAAAAAAGCTATTTAAAATCTATAATTGTACCTCCAGGGAAGCTTCTTCATGGCTCTGAAGAACACGGTGGACAAGATGGCAAAGAGAATTAACCCCCTCCACAGGGAAAACAGTATCTTTCCTTTGGAAAGGCCGGCGAACAAGGTCAATGGGAGCGGATAGAAGCTTCTGAACACCCACTCTCCCATTAGAATCTTCACTTATAACACCCCAAGGCAATGAAGCACTAACAGCACCAGGCATTACGTATGGACAAGAATTGATAACTTCAGTGGTGCTTAGAGATGCTTGATATGCCTGAACAACTGTACTAATTGCAGCTCTCTGTTGATGTGCACTAACAGAAAATTTGTTTGTTATTGCAAGGACCCAAGGTATTCCAAGAGCTTTTGCCTCATCTAATAGTAGTGAAAGGGCTGGGTATTGCTGTGATGCATCTGAATGATTGTACCGAGGTATCTTATGGGATAGGTTATGCACAAGAACAATTAAATCAGTCTTCCTACTAAGGTCACGGATTCCCCTCCACAATTCATCTTTGAACCGAGAGGCCTCCATGGCCAGCTCCTACAACATACGAAATACATGGGTAAATAACATATAGTGCCAATTTCTTTTAAGACCCAAAAGGTGGATATTAATTCATATAATACCAATAAAGTTCTGATTGCAGATTAGTTTCCACTGCCGAGACCATTGTTAACACAAAAATCTTTAAAGCTATATACTGAATAAATTTAATTTAAAATGTTCAATTGCAGTACCACCCTAACTCCACCACACCAGCCATGAATTCAAGGAAAAAAAATCCAGGATAATATGAGATATTGCAATATTGCTATCCCACTGTATAGGCATTATCATCTTCGAGAACTTCGGAAATCTATTCAAACAAAATAATACCGCATACAAAAGTGGCCTAAGGAATAAGGAATAATGACATTAAAGACATAAAATCTGAGGCCAGCTGGCATAAAAAACGTTTAATCATAAAACATTATCTAGTTTCAACTATATTCCTCAGATTTTCACAGCAAACGTACCTGCAAATTTACTCCAGGTGTATCAGAGTAGCATAAACCGCCAGCAATACCATCCTGAAAATCAGCTTCTACTTGTAGATTTTCAATATTGGTAATAGTTGTCAATTTGCCTTGACCCAGTATTGCCTTGAAAAGAGAGGTCTTACCAGCACCCTAGTAACCATAAATAAAATATTCACTAATGTTTGTACCCAACAAAGTAATGTAGAAAGCAAAAAAACCTAATACAAAATTTACGAGTTGGAAGTGAAATAAGAATACCTCAAGACCAAGAAGTCGCACCCTACGAGTTCTAACATGAACCTCCTTCGATGCAGTTGTAAAATCACTAGTACAGACTATGAAAAAGTCACTTAAACCATCTGGCCTTATGTATTTTTCTTGATGAGATGACGCCATATTATGATCTCTATTCAGATTAACAGTGTCTGAATCAATTGTAGGATACACAGCCATCAAAGAATCAGCTACAATCTGATGCTTAGGAGGTCGCCTCAAGGGAGCTCCTACTAAGACTCTTATTTTTTGTAGTTCTGGTGGCTCCCCATTCCCAGAAGAGTAGGCTGGTGCTGAAGGAAATGATTCCACAGTAGTTGAACACCTGAATAAGAAACAAAATCATGTAAAAATGCTTATCATGTACGAGGAGAGAGAGAGATTGGTGCAACTTTGACTATGTAAGAATTGACCATTTTTTGACTATGGACAACCATACCATTTGCCATTTACGTGAGCATGAACCAGTGTGCAGAGATGCAACCTGAATCCAGTAATATCAACCTTCAATGGTTCTGCATTCTTCTCACCAGGAATACCATTCCACCCAAGAGGCACGATGGAAGTAGCTGTACGAATAATAGGAGACTCAACAATATGCCCAATCTCTACAGCACCTGCAACTGCAAGGCCAAGCCATTGTTGCAGATGCGGAAACTGTTGCATTTGCTCCATTCCAAAGAAAGATGAAGCACTATCATTCATGCAAAGATCGTAAATCCTGGAAAAGATATATATAATGAATCACGTATGCAATCCACTAACAAATGAACCTAAGGAGGAGTTGTTCAACTGGCATGTCCCAAATGAGGATAAACTTTATCTCGAAGAATATCTTAATTGTTTCATAAATTTCATTACTTTTATGCATAAAACTAGTCAAAGTTGACACAGAGAGAGAACGGATAACAAGAACAAAAAAGCACAGAGAATGAATAATGAGAAACACAATATCAAGTACATTATGATTAGTGAAACATCATATGAGGATATATAATAGACCTCTTGTCATCACTTATATTGGTTCTAGTGCAAAAATGTTTACTACATGAACCATATTACAGACCAAATTCCAAGTAACAATCACTTTGCCAAGACCTAAGCACAGGTAACTCCAAATGGCCAATCTACCTAGCAATAAGAAGAACAGAAGAAGCCATCTGGGATCATCAATTTGAAACCAGCCAAGTGTTCTATTGGTAATAGCTCAATATTGAATCAAGTATAATGCATTTCACATGGTTAAGCTTAAGAAACCAGCAACATGACATATGGGTAGAAGTAGAAATTCCAAGACGATGTTGGCAGCAATTCCAACCACTGAAACAAAGGCAGCAGGCGTGCTCTTAAGATAAGAATTTATATAGAGGGCCACGTCTGATTGGCATATTCATTTTAGGTAAGTTTGGATCATCCAGACCAGACAACAGATATGGCCTTGGAATCAATTGAAGACTTCTAGCACTAGGCGTAGCACTTTTTCTTAGCCAGCCCATTTATCATTCTTCACTTTGACTTATCTTTTTCAAATGCATAGGAAACAGTTATGGAACCTTGATACATAAAACCTAAAAATGCCATGTTCTGAAGTGTTCATAAGAAGTCCACCCAATTGATGCAATAGTTAATTATTTTAGGGAGAAAAAATAAATAATAAAAAATACTTGGATAAATAATAAGCTCATAATTTATGAATAATTATATTACATAACTACACTCTTGTTCCAACTCCAGTTCTACCTGGAACCTGGAATTAGCGGTGCATATGTATTTTCTGTAGATGACAGGAAGAGCATTTTCGGCCAAATGACTAGGAAGCAACAATGTTGGGTTCATCAACAGTTGATACGTTCAGGAGTTATATGCTATATTCTTCAATTTGTTAAGAATTACAAGCCTTGTTTGGTCACTTTATTGACTGATGTACTCTGAATCAGTTTTTATGTTTTTGCCATCATGAATAATCAAAGTATAGTAAAAAATTTCAAAACATAAAGGTCAAAATCTGCAATTTACGGGAATAAAGATGCTAGCTGATTTAAAAGAAGAAAAAGAAATGCAACATCAAAATTAGAATTTAGAACTAAACGTTAAAATACACAGCACTAGGAGTTAAACCATTGAATAATTGATCATCACCTTTGAAATCGAGACCTATATGACTTCATTGAATGAGACTGAAATCGTTCCCTTAATTCAACAATCACAGATCTGACCTGAAAATGTCTTTGCCAGAAGAAAGCAAACAAAATGACAGGTTGAAGAAGACATAATCACAGCTCATATATAAATCATATACATCAATGGCTATTGAAAATGGCACCACTTAAGTTACTAAGTATTAAATACCAAATCTTCCTAGCAAACAAAGCCTAGACAGAAGCTGCATAAACAAAGCAAACTCATACCGATGTCAACTTTGAGTACTCTGCACCTGAGAGTGATTCCACAGATGAACTCCCCAATAGATACAGCTGTCATGAGTGAATTTGTTTAATCATTTATTTATATAAATAATTGAAACGGTAGCATTACAAACTTGTGGCAACCTTTAAGCATAGTAACATTAGGAGAACAGCTCAGTATGGTGCCATGGTGCTGAAGAAAAATAAATAAATAGATAACCTATATCTCACTTTTCCAATTTGAGTGACAATAGTTGCAACTATCAGAAAAGATGACAAAAATCCCAAAGATATCTCAATAAGGCAAATTGAAATATAAGAAAGCTCAATAAACTTTTTATGAAATTCCAAATTCCAAACCTAAAATAGATAGGCCAGCAGAGGTAAGACCTTAGGACCATTCCGAATCAGGACTAGTTTTACAGAGAATGCCAAAGAAACAAGATTGTCACCTGCCCCTCGACACATGCAGTTAATTGTTACTAAGAAGCAACTATTACCAATTGATTATAGCAATGAAAATTCCAATTTAACTTATGGATAGCAAATAAACAACAACAACAAATTATTATCAATATTTTCCACCTCCATGCATGTAGCTTTAAGATAATTGAAAAACAAACAAATTAATGAAGTATTCCTTCAAAATATGTACCTGCCCAAATGGTACATATGAAGGTAAAGAAGGCACTCTACGCCACCTCTTTTTGTCACCGCTACCATTGTTTTTTTCAGTTAACTTTCCAGATCCCATGTCTGACGCAACATTATCAGGGTCAGCAAATGGTTTAAGAGATATGCCATCAGTACCCTCTTGAATTTCAAGAGACTGTGGTCCAACAACTACATCCTCAATTGAAGATGCAGTTGTTGAGTCAGCTGCAGATGGCTCTAAGGGATCAACCTGCTTTCCTCTGTATTTTTTAAATTGTCTTCTAACACTATCTAGCGGAACAAGCCTCGAAAGCCTCCAGAAGGGACCCTGGACAGGCCCTACTCCTATAACCAATTTCTCCCCTTCATTCTCCTTTAGCTTCTCTTCCTTTCCTTTTTGTGACCCTTGTTCATTCTTTGATGTCGATAAACTGGTACTTCCCATGTCAGAGGACATTAACAAACTTTGTGCATTATAGTGATGAAAATAGGCAGGTGAAAGGATACGAGGTACAAGATCTTCAGGAATGCAGTAACTCTTGAAATAGTGCTGCCAACCTTTTATATTAACATAACTAGCAAAAATGAATATAGACCACAAAGAACAAACACATTAGCTTCAGGAAAAAATAAAATAAAAGGATAATTATTTCAGAAAAAAGGTAGAGCACTCACTCTCTTAAAGCTGCATTTCCTACTGGAGGTTGGGAAAATGTTATACACTTGACCTGAACCTTTTCGGTTTCTTTTGATGAAGATGATACAGCAATGACCCTCAAAATGGCAAGGGTAGCCAATGCTGCGACCTACAATATCAGACATAGATAAGGTGTGAAATAGATAGTCAGACACAACATGCCAAGTAAATCTTAAATAAAACAGGCTGATAAAACTTACTGCTCCACCAAGTGAATGTCCACATAATACCAGTTTCCTTTTCTTTTTCTGAGCAAGCCTGTACAACTCTAAAGCGGGTATGCCTTTAGCACGAGCCATGAAGCCCTAAAGATAATAAATTCGAATGAAAATGATTAAAGAAATAATTACACATAATCTGTAAGTATTTACCATTATACATAACAACTAATTACGTTAAATTGTGAACAGGGTTAAAATATTCAAATCTAGTAAGTACAACGGCAAAAACAGAAGGACATATCCTAGAACATAAATTCAAATGATATTTAAATGATAGACTGTTACCATACCCGATGGGCAGCAGGTTTAGGCCTATCTTTAATCTGCTTAGGTTTTGATTCCAATGAATTGAACTGGTTTTCTCCATTTACTTTTTGTATTTCACCTTGGTTGGCTTCATTTAATTCAATCCGGTCAATATCCTCCATAGCATCCTCGTGAAATATAGCACCTTGAAGTATGTTTGCATCAGCCATGACATCTCTTAAAAAAAAACAAGAGAACCAAAAAATCAAGCATTTGAAAGTAATAAATAATTAGTCAAACTACAGATTGGCCATGCTTACTTATACTGCTTGGTTCCAATGAAGGAAGCAAATAGTGTATCGCCTGCTTCTGCCAACAGATACCTGCAATAAGAGAGTTGCAAAGTTAAAGAGAACCAATAACTGTAAAATTCAAAGGTAATATCTCAGACAACTATGTTTGCAACTAATTAGTAGGCTAGTAGTTCATAGTGGAGTACCATCAAAGACCTAATCCAAACCAAATGCAAACCAGGCAATCAGCTAAATTAATCTCCTTATGTCATTCCACTCTATCTTGAGCAACATCCCAGTTTAGATCTCATGAACCGTGATGTCATCTTCAAAAGTACAATGGATACTCACTCCTACATTCAAATTTATTTATGATGTTCTCCTCTATTTTTACTTTCCTTTCTATTTAACCTCATTTTGTTTGCATTAGGAACAAAGCTACACAGGCATGTTTAATTGTGAATAACTAATGAGAAAATAAGAGTGAATTCATAGGAAAAAACGTTTTCACATCCATATGTAATACGACTTTTACATGGTCAAATAACTAATGTTTATGCGTAAAGAAGCAATATGGTAATTGTACAAAAACTAAATCATCACCACCAACATTGTTATAGCTTGCTATTGTGGTGCGAAGTGATTCATCTGAAACTAGAGTAAATAAGAAAGATTCTTTACAACTACGTAATTGACATGAATAAATAAAGGAGTATAGTTAAAAACAAATAACCTGTGTGGAACATCATCCAAAGAAGGTTGAACACGTTCTAGAGAAACAATTTGTCCTCCAAAATCAGCCTTATATTTGTTTACAGCTCGAATCATCTCAGTAGCAGGTTTCTAAATGATCAATTTCCGTTAGCTTTTGATTCAAAGTATAAAATTTCTTTTGTGATTAAACATGTATTAATCTAAACATTCACCTTCAAATTATACATTTTCAAAATAAATTATCAATTTATAATATTTAAAAAAAAAGATATAAATTTGGCCCAATGGGAAAAAGTTGGAAATTGCGGTAATTGTTTTTACCTTGTAAACGCACTCGGAAAGGACCATGCAACAAAGAATGTCTTGCAAATCGGAGAGGGAATCAGCTTTGACCGCTAGGCAAAGCTCTTGGAGCTGTATCTTGTGTCTCTCATACTCTTGCTGGAGTTTCCGGCGATGTACTCTGTCGCCGATGTTCCACGGCGGCCACTGCCACCTCATCGGCCACTGAAGCGGACCCCACGAGACTTTGAGGATCTTGGTTCTTTGGTCCCTGATCCACGTCTCCACTCTGCTTTGTATTGATTCCATATTTCGATCAAAACAAAGTTTTTCCCTTTTTTTTTTCTTTTTTTGTTTGGTTTGTCTGCGTTTGGATGTTACCGATGAGATTTGAGAAGAATGTGGTAAAGGGCGAATCCGAGTTTTATTGAGGAAGGCCAAAAAGGCATATGCCTCATGCCTCAAATGTTTAATTACGTGCGCCTTTTTTTTTTTCTTATTTTCCTTTGTTTTTAAGAAAATAAAAATTATAGTATTAGAAATTATAAATATGTAAATTATTTTTCTTTTATTTATTTTTTTTCCTTGTAGATAAAGGATTAGAAAATAAAAATTTGTTTCCGAGAAATAATGCCTGAATTCATGCTGAAAAAAATGGAAGATCTTAATAAATTATTTTTTAATTTTTTTAATTTAAATTTTAATCACCAAAATTAAGAGTTGATTATTCTATTAATAAATTATATAAATCTAAAATCATTAATTAAATAATATTTAAAGGAATCTTACCCTTAGATGATTAATTTTAGTTTAAGGAATAAGATTAAACTTTTAACTTTCACTGTAAATGAACATTAATTAAAGAAAAAAAAATATTCTTTGATTACCTGTTCTAAATGAACATCTATACATGGAATTTGTAATATCAAACACTCCAAATTTCACAGGTTAAAAAAAATTAGTTTCTTAAACTTGTATTTTAGGGGGAAAAAAAGGTCATAATTGATATAAACTTGTGTTCTTTTCTCCCCTTCCTTGAAAAGTAACGTAGAGTTTGGAAACGCATTTAGATGTGAACTTTCAAGTTGATGGCGGTTGCTTCGTCCTCGCTTGTTTGACTCATCTTCTGTTTCCTGTGGAAAAAGATATGTATATTTGGTGGTTTTGTTTAACACGGTTAAGGACCGTGGCCTAAAATTTAAATCCTTGAATTTGAATCTCTTGGCCTTTGATGGTAGTTATCATTTGAACAAATTTAGTTTACAATGATAATATTAAAATAAAGACTAAAATATTAAAAAAATTTATTTAGATAAATTTTTATATTTTTATTTTATTCAGATAAATACTTATTTTTTATTTATATTTAAATAAATTTTTATTACAAATAAAAATTTATTTAAATACAAATTAAAAATTAAGACTTACATAGATATTAATTAAAATTTGAAAACTTATTTGGATGTAAAATAAAAATAATGACTTATTTAAATGTAAAAAAATACAAAGTCTTATTTATGTAAAATAATAAAATTTAAGAACTTTTTTTTTTAGCCAATAAAATATGATATCTTTATAAATTTATATTTGATGAAATGTTTCATATTTTTTTTCTTCACATAAATGCATTTAAAAAAAAAATAGTACTCAGTCAATTCTTTTTCAGAATGAAGCAAAGCCCATATTTAAGCACGGGCTGAGTACTCAGGCAATCTCCAGATGTCTCGAGGCCCATCAAATGAGGGTGCCACAATAAGGGCCATAATGGTCAAATATTTATGGGTTCTCTCTTTTTACCGAAATAATTACGGAGTTTTTACTTGTAATCCATTTTTTAAAAACATCCAATTTTTTTTTACACCCAAATTTTAAAAAATATTTTTTATTTTTTATTTTTTACACTCCACAAAATATTATTCTCCTTTTCTTAAAAATTCCTTCACATCCATTTCTCTCGTTTCATTCTCTTTCATTTTTTACGTTCAAACTCTAATTCAAAATCAAACCTAAAATTTTCAATCAAATCCTACAATCAAAATTTTTTTATTTAATCTATCTACTCAATCCCAATATAAAGATAAATTAACTTTGATTTTTATTAAAATTTTATAAATTAAAATACAGTATATTAATTTTTTTCTGTGAAACCATAAACGAAGCATTTTTGTATATTTTAAAGAAATCAAAGATTTGTATTTCTATAAGCTTTTAAAGTTCTTTATCATCATCGGTTTTCTATTTGTCATGAGTATCCATTTTCATAACATACTTGATAACAGCAATAGTTTTAATGGTTTAAGATTTGTGATAAAAATAAGAAAACGAAAAAGCAAAGAAAAATCTTAAGAAGAGGAAGAAGAAAGTAGAAATGGATATCTGAAAAGGGGTAAAATGTAATTTTTCATAAGTTACTTAAGTAATTTTATAAAAGGATATTTTAATACTAAAAAAATATGTGAAAAAAAATTTTTTGGTGCTTTTAAAAGCTCAAAATATTTGTGGGTTTGCAGTCTAATCCGAGGCCATTGTAAATGACATAAAAAAAGAAAAAAAAAAACCCTGGTTTCTTTATGGGTCTCTTTCTATTTTGAGCTTTGACAGGCCGCCAAGGCCAATACATGCCTATGTTTGGTCCATTTTATGAAGAGAAATTTTGAAAATAATTATTTTCTGTCTGGAGTCTTTATTTTGGGCTTCCTATCAAATAAGGCAAGAGACAAAGGACCACACCATTTCAGAGATGATATGGGCATCAACATACAAAGCAGTCCAAAAAACTCCTCTTTGGGCTTTAATTTTTGTAGGTCCACAGGGGTGATTCATGAAGGAACAGGACAACAATGTTTTTGTCAAACTAAGCTCATTGTCCTCACGCTGCCCAAACTATGGCCAACAGAAATTTTGGAGTACTTGAGCAGTTGAGCTTGAGGGAGCCCCTCTTGCGGCACAGGACTACATGAGTAAATAGGAAATCCTAGATTCAAATCTTTTTTTTTTAATTTATAAAAAATTGAATCACTATCGTTATCTACAAAATAATCATTTGTATTTTATTACATAGTATAAATTTTATTATTATATAGGCAAATCATATAATTTTTAATAAGTTAAAAAAATATGATGCTACATTAAAAGTAAATAGCTTTATATTGTTTTTGGTAAAAAAAAAAAAAAGGCAAAAGATAACTGCCACATAAAGGATATCATATCTATACCCAACAAGGACGACCCCAATCGCTTGGTCAGGCAGAATCAATCACAGCTCGAAACACAAAGAAATTGACTGGAAAATCAACATAAATGTTGCGTCTGTACTGAAGAGGTCAGTCCATCTGTCATGAACCTCGGCATACCCCACATTAAAGAAAACTTGGAGAATGCTCCAACCACTCCAAAAAATGATTAGTCTCTGTGCAACGTACTTGTCAAAAACTCTAGTTCCAACCATTGTGTTTTTCGTGGATTAGAAAGAAAGCAAGAAGTCTATGAAAGGCAAGTGTAAGAACACTATCAAGCCTGACTTACTATACTAGTTGGCATTGACTCATTGTTACAATATAATTTAGTCAAATCAAAGAAGAAAATGGAGGTTTGGTTCGAGACACACACATAATCCCACCAACCTCAAAGACTTTAAAGTCGTCATTATCTTTCTTTTTTTCTTTCGGTTGTTAAAGACTTTAGGAGTCAACCCCTCTTTTCTTTTGTTTTTTTTTTTTTTTCTCTTCTTTATAGCAATTTCATAAAACTATTTTACTGCAATTTCGTCCTCTTCGATTTGTTTCTTAGATGACTACAAATGACACTGACAATTAATCTCAAACACGGTTGGTTTCACTAGCAAGTGGCGGCTTTTAAGAGTTTTATATTGATTTTTGATCCTAAATAGATCGAAGTTTCCCGTATCTTAAAACAGGTTAAATTCAATTAAACGTATAGAAAAAGACAACTTTCGTGTAGATGTAGTAACGAAGGCTTATTTGTTTTCTTTCACTTTCTGTCTTTCTTAATGCACAAATAATTATTAATAAATTAAAAATTATTAAAATGGTTATGAAACGAATCTCGTATTTATTAAATTTAATATATTTTGAAAACATAAACATGATAAGGGTTTTTTTATTTTATTATTAATTGATTTTAAATTAAACATCAGTTATAAAATTTAAAATAATAACTTTAATTTTTAATTAGACAAAAAATAATCGAAATAGATGAAAATTATAATTTAAAATATTAATTAAATATTCTTTTTAATATAAATGATGAATTTGTATTAGTTTTATTATTTTATTGAGGAATAAACATAATTGTAATTATAATAGCAAAACTTGAATAAAATTGAAAAGCAGTAACAAAATTTCATCACGAAATCATAATAATATAATAGGTGGATAGGATTGAGCAAATTATTACGGTTTTGCCTGTGGGCCAAGCCATGAACGAGGCGGGCCTCCAAAGACCAAAACAATTTAAAAATTTAGAAACAGAGTAATCGTCGGGAAATAGTGATGCTGCTATGATGTCATAACATTATAATATGTTTTCCAACAAAGTAGTAATAGTATATATATTTATTTAGTCATCCTGGCATCATCATGACATATGGCCCCATTTTCTTTTATTTTCTTTCGTGTCAGTTTATTTCCAGATTGCAGATAATGACCCCACTATTTATTTAATACCAATAATAGGATTTCAATATTCCTCGCGTTATGTCCCACTACGCAATTTATAAAAGCTTAGGTGATTCTATTTTTTTTTAATTTATTTTTTACAATGAGTTTAATAATGGGTAATAAATTATAAATTATAAATTTTATAAATAGTTTAAAGATATTATATAAATTAATTAAATTAAATATTAAATTTACATTTATTAATATTTTTATTTGTTTACAAAACAAATTCTTTTAATCTGAAATAAAAAACAAGAGATTAAAATTTTAAGATTTAATTCAATTATTTTATAATTATTCTTGAAAATGATATTCAACATGTTAAAAATTATAATTTGAAAACTTATAATTTTTTTTATTTTCAAATTGCATTTTTCTTAAAAAAAAAAATTAAGAGAACTCAAGTATTTTCATAAATGATTGTTTCAAAATGAATTCTTTGTGCAATCCAATAATACCCTTTAAAAGTAAAAAGAAAAAAAAAATCACATGTTGTCCAAATGGGTTTAAGTGATTAAAGAACCAAAATTCTAAAAACTGAAGTAATATTACATTCCGAAGAAGTTTCGTGTTAAAACGTTATTATAAATTCAAAAGAAAATACAAATGCATTCGTGGCTAAAATAGAATGATAATAACAAGCACGGATTCGTTTAAATCTAGTAGCTATTGTGACTGAATTGACTTGTTCCCCTTCTTTCCCTAACTCCTCTTTTGGAAATTTGTGTGACAGATTTTGTTCCTTGTCTTTGATTAGATGTACCACGAAAACAATCGTTATTATAGTTTAAAAACTTCAAAAAGAAAAAAAGCATGGCCCCTCGTGGATTGGGTTCACATGCATCTCTACCAACTACATACTTAATTGCATATTCAAAGAATTCGTCTGTTTTCATTTATAAGTGGAAACCAGAAAAGCCACCGTGGGCTTTACGTGGGTCAACAGTCATAATAAAAAAAACATCTCTTTTGCTTTCTTAATGTCGTTTTAGCTAATCTAGTAATCTCCAATTTCTAGCGACGTCAAATCCAAGCAAATCCTACAAAATTTCTTTTACTTTGCCCGCCGTGCCATTAACGACCGTTGAGATAAGTACTTTTAAATTTTAATGCAATCCTGGCGTCAAAATCACGTTGCTAAAAGTGATTAGACAATATGAACCGAAAAAGTAGTACTGGTATTTTAATCAATGAAAAGATTAAATGCAGTTAATAAATTTAAACTTTAAATTTCTCTGTAGTTTTTTTTTTTAATCTTCTAATTATGATTTAAAAAATAGATTAAATGTATTGTATTTGTTGGAAGCGATTTGGGGCTTTTGAAGATTTTTTTCGTCCTTTAAGTTTTGAATTTATAGGCATCAAACTTCCTAACGGTATATTAAAGCCCAAAGGAACGTATCATTAACGTTGTGAAAGTCATTTTCTTTGTTGAGATTTCTTTTCACCATGCTTCAATTCTCAATGATAAAACACGTTATGTTAGTGAGAGGACAATCTAACCGCTGCCCTTGGAATTAAGGGACATTTTCTTCTAAGTAATCAGGGAGAAACTTGTTAATCACATAGGAATCTCATAAAGAAAGCTACCATAGGAAAGAAATGGACAAAAGCAAAAGCGGTGGGGAACCAAAGAAAAGTTGCATAATTACATGGAAGCAGAAGGGGACCCTCTCTTAAGGGGCACTAAATAAAGTCAAAACAAACTCTCAACTATAAGAAGGTTAGGTAAAATATAATTGTAAAGAAAAGGTGGTACTGTGGCAGGAAAAAAATTAAGAAAATTCATCCAATCCAAGTTTGGGCGTTTAATCCCTTTCCCACAACTTCAAGAAATTTCCTAGGAAGGTAAAAGATGACAAATTGCATCAAATATGACACAGTATCAACAAATTGACACGTAAATGGAGTAAAGGAAGCAATAAAGTCGGTATCGTCATTAATAATTCACCAAGAGCTATCTCATTTTGGATGTCATTTTCAGCAGAATGTTTAAGGGTTCCCTTGATATTGCCCCTTCGTTCTTTGGGTTGTGAGAGGTCGAATCGAACTGATGTTTTACATGCCAGAAGGGTAGATTATCATTGCCCTTTCCGTTTGCTTCAAATTTTGTAGGAAGAAGAAATAGATTGATGTGCTAGTGGTCATTCACATAATTGAGGGATCTAGATCAGCAGCACTAGCACTTATCAGCTGGACACTACTGAATATGATTGTGAAATTGGTAACCTGGGTTAATTTTGAATGTATAGACAGACATGACCAAGAGAATACATCAGAAATTCGGTGACAACCTTCCAGCTTTTATATTACTTTGTTCAGTGGCAATGAAGAAACCGACTACGACAACAAATGATCAAGAAAAAATAACACAAGGCAGCTCTCAGTAGCATCAGATCTGGATAATGTTGACAGGACACTACTTACACATGGCACAAGAGGTTAGAAAGGAGGTTCGAAATCGCGTTTCAAGCAGAGAATATTGACATTAATCAGTGCCAAAAACCAATTGTTAACCTCATCAATCTTTGCTGTTTATTTTCCTAGGCAACCAAAAAAAGATGTCTGATAATAAAGATGGGAATCTGACTTGGGTGTCTAATGTAGAATCAGATCCCTATAAACTTCTGGAATTGAAGGTAAAAAGCCAAGGTTTGATACCAAAAACTAGAATCCTGATAAACGAGGGTGAAAAGAAAAAGGACTATCATGAACACTATCTGTTTCAAATCATGTTCAATGTTGTTCAAACTAGAAAGTTTCATCCTACCTAAATTCTATCGGACGCACAAAAACATAGCTGAAATACTCAGCAATATATATATATATATATATACTCATTAACTAGTGATGTTAACAACATTTGGAATGAAGCCATTATACAAGAGAAATAAACAACTGGTCCGGAAAAGATAATCCTCATAGTGTCTCGACACGAGAGAGGACGAGGATGTTACAAAATCAGGTCGAGAAGGGGAACTGCAAGAATCAGTTGATCACAATGCAAGAGGCTGCTGCCTACCTTGACCATTGTTGTATCCATCATAGGGTTTGGTGGACTTCTTAGACTTTCTCTTCAAAACTACAACCCAAGTAATCGCTTCCAACAGCAACGAAATCCCGCCCAAGGCAATTATCACAATCATATAAGCTGATTTCCACTTATGCTCAGGGCGCAAGATATGTAAACCCTTAAACACATTGACGATGCCAAGGACAAGTATCATGTATCCAAAACTGTGATGGTAAATGTTCCAGTAGAATCGGTACTTGTGATCCTTCTTAGGCCTCAAAAACAACGCAAAAATCTAACACAGACAAACAATAAATTCCAAGTTCAGTGCATAAAACAGAAAAAAAAAATTCTCATAGCAAATACTTCAATTCACACAATTGTAAAAGTCCAAAAATCATCAATCCTTCCCCAGTTTGTCATCAACAATATCTCAAAACTATGAACATCAAGAAAAGCAAGTTGACAAACTAAAAACATAGTAATTGGTAAAAAACTATTGCAGACAAATTCAACAAATACCTGCACAGTAGCAAGAACGAAAAGGGCAATTCCAATATTTCTGTGACCGGTATATGTAACCCCGGGGGATTCACTTCCAAGCTTAAGACCAGTTGCCCAGCCAGCTACTCCTATGGCATAAGCTGATATTTGACAGAACACATGAAGATAAAACCAAGCTGGATCTGCAGACTCAAAGGTTCTTATGTAACGCGCAATCATTATTCCAACCGGAAACAAAATTCCCCAACTCACTGCGTTTAGTATCCCATGAATCTGTCATCAACAATTTTTTTTTTTTGTCAAATTTAATAAATTCACCAAAAACCCAAATCAATCTAGCCAACGAAGAATTTGACCAAAAAAAATCACCGTTCAATCAAAATTTTCTAATTTTAATAATCAAGTCACCCAGTCAACAATTTCCCTATTTTCAAAAAATCTAAAAAATAAAAAGAAAAGATAATAATTTATTAGGAGTAAAAGGTTAGCTCACATTTTTCTTCTTAACCCTGGTGTCTCCTCCAGAACTACTCTCTCCACTTTTCAAATTTAGGGTTCCTTTAGATTGCAAATTAGCGGCAGCAAACTCGTGTTTTTCCAACGCGCCACCAGCTAAAACGCTGGGACCCACTTGCCACACTTGATTAATCGACCCACTAGCCGCTAAATCCGCTGGAACCTTAATTTTAGCGAAAATTGCCAAACTCCCGTCGCTTCTACTCTCCGCCGTCTTATCCCAAACCTCGAACGATAAACTCTTCGCCACAACTGAAGAATAAGAGCTTATAGCATAGGTATGCACCTCGGCGACGCCGGTGGTGGAATTTTTGTGGGCGACGAGGGATTGGGAACCGACCATCCCGGTGTCCTTTGGATTTATGGCCCATGCGATCCAGCCTCCAGATTTAGAAGGAGTGGCTATAAAGGCGACGGAGAGAGTAGTGTTGGTAGAATCGTAAGAGAAGTGAAGGTAAGAGGAAAGAGAAGGCAGGTCGATGCAGTTGGAGTAAACTTGGTTTTGGCTGAACTTCTGGGAAGAACAGGTGAGGGAAACCGCCGGCGAAATTAGCAGTCCCCAAAAGGCGAAGAAAAGAAAAGCCGACAACGACGGAGCCATTTTCTTTCTTTTTTTCTTTTTTTTTTTCAGACCAAACAGAACGGAAAAGAGCAACGGCTAGGGGAAGCATTAAAGTTGGCGGAATAAATAGAAGCCAGAAAGGACTTGACTAATGATTTGTTGACACGTGTGCTTTTTTTTATCGCTCTCTTCACGCACTAAATATAAAGGAAAATTCTAAAAAAATAATTTTAATTTCGGAATATCAGATCTGTTTTGAGTAACGATGTAGCAGCTAGAGATAGTTGTTTCTACTTCTTTTTTTTTCTCTCAATTAAAACTATAAATTTAAATTAGTGTTATGGCTATAAATATACTTGGTTTTGCTAATTACACAATAACTAAACTTAATTAGTTTTGGGACAATTCAAAAAAATAAAACGTAATTAGTTTTGGGATGTTATCATTGATTTTTCGACCTAACAGTGAAACCACGTAACGGATTTTATGATGAATTTATCGAATGCGTTTTCGCAACAAAACATGCAACGATCAATACTGGATTTATTGTTGTAAATATTTCTAAATTTTTTTGTAAATTTTCAATTATAATAGCTTTGATCTTATTGGTTAATTTTCCCAATTATAATTTTTATTATCTTTCATTTTTTTAGTCATTTATTTTTTTATTTAGGTGGTCATAGATTTAGGAACTAAAATTAAATTTTTAATATTATAATTAACATAATACATAATTATTATTGTTTATTTACTAACGGCATTCAATTACAATTAATAACTAATATTAACAATTTTTATAACAAAATTCAATTTTTTTGGAAAAAATCAAGGTTTAAACTTCATGTTTATTTTTTATATTAAAAATAAGTTGGCTACCATTTTCCTATAAATTTCATCAAATATACCCAAAAATATGCTTATGGAAACTTATCTTAAGAACAGCAATAGGATATTTACAGTCCTTAAACTATATTCCGATCTTCACGTTAAATTGGATGTGGTGTTATCAACATTTATCTTATAGTAAACGGTAGCGAAGAGATAAATATATATATATATATATATATTTTAACTTAAGCCTTTAACTTTAAATCTTGGGAAGAGGGATTAGGAGGCTTATGAAATGAAAGTTTTATGTACCAAAAAAATTATCATTCATATTTTAATAGCAATTAGAGTTGAAAGTTGTGCTATGCGAAAAGGAAGCATGTGGAGTTATATATATTATTTTCTTTTTTTTTTTTTCTGGCACTGGCAATAGAGCTAGAGTGTTTTTTATTTTATTCATATAAATTATTCCTTTTTTAATTTTTTTTTAACTTTTTAATAGGTTCCTTAGATTTGTTACGCTTCTTTCTGAGATTACTTATATAATCTTTTTTTTAGTACCAATTTTTATAATTTACAAGTAATAAAATAAATATTATATTCGATGATAAATTAAATCCGATTCAATTCATTATTCATGGTTTCAATAATAAAATCCATAGTTTTATTTTTATATGTTTAAAGCTATAAAAAATTAAAATTTTATTATTAAAATTAAATTTTCTAAATAGATGAAACTATTGTTGGTAATAAAATTCATAATTTTTATGACAATGATACCAAAATCAAACTAAAGTGAAAATCATACTAAACATCTCAGTTCAAATTTGTATACAAATGAAATTATAACATAAGAATAAATGAAAATATTATACGATTTGAATTTAAATTAATTAAAATATTATATTTGAAAATGATTTCAAGAAATTTAATTATATTTTAAATTCAATTTAAATATTCATTTATTCTATCCATAGCTCTGGATGAAAAATAGCTAAGCTGCAGAATTTAAATGTTCAATGTCGGAAAGGGAGGCAGAGCAATCACATCGTCGGCTTTGGCTTTTTTTATTACTCTTTCATAAAGATTTAAATCAGCATGTGTAACTCGGCCGAACCACTTTAGCCCAAACTATGGAGTCTAGGTTTGACCCAAGCTGAAGTTGATAAATCATGAGCCCACCCAATCGTCCAATTTCTATACTCAAGCGCGGAAGCCGAAGTTTGATGGTTGATGCTCCTACCACTACCAACCTGCCAACCCCATTTACCTTCTATGGAGGGACGAAGGGAAGGGTGGTAAAATACTCTATAGATGGAACACCAAGTGAATTAAATTTCTTTTATGGATGCAAAAAGTTCGGTTATAGATAGGTAGCTTTGCTTCATTTCAAGGGCTATCATATCTTACATAAATTGTATATTTGAAGTTAGGTTTTAAAAAATAACTATTGATATAATTCATATTCAAAATCATTTTTTAAAAATTTGTTTATTATATTACTTTGATTACAAGAATCACTTTGAAAACAACAATAAATAAATAAAACTAAAATAAAATCAATATAATTCATCATATCTTGCTAAAATTCAATAGTAAACTCGTAAAAAAATAAAAAATAAATTTGAATTTATAATTTATCGTATTATTAATTGAATCTAAATGTTTATTTCAATTAAATCCATTTAATATAAAATTTTTATTGAATTTTTTTTAATTACAATTATAAATTTTTTTTAATCGTAATTATTGTAATTATTATTATTATTTTTAATCTCACAAAAATTAATTTTATTATCCATTCAAATAAATTCTAAATGTCAATCCTAACATAGTAAAAAATTTCAATAATTCTCATTCTATAAATATCCTTTTTATAAGATATGTATCAGATATATGGATCTTTCAATTAAAAGGAAGAGTTAAAAACAGCATAATTTACATTAATACAATAGTATAAAATCATTCTCATTTACAATTTTTTACAACACAAAGATTTTTTTCATCATCCTGACGTTACCCAAACGTCTTATCATAATGCTGTCCTGATTTATATTAATTCAAAATGTAGGTATCAATGCATGTGAACATTGTGTTTTTCACAAGCCAATTTATACAAATTTAACTCAGGGACGATTTATTTCGATTTAAGCAAATAATTATTTATGTAGCTGAAAATCAGGACAGATGAAGACCACAATCTTCAACCTTTAAAGAATACTCTTAAACAAACATAGTAGTCACATCTGATAAATATTTTAATAAAAAATAATGAAAAAAATTATTTATTTATCACATATTATTAATTAAAAATAATTATGGTATTAATTAATAAATTAATAATTTAAATATTATATTATATTAAAAATTTTAAAATTTAAAGACCATTGGTCATATGCTAAATGTAAAATTTTTGCTTACAACAACATCACAATCAGTATCTATCAGACAATAAACACTTAAACCAAGAGTCTAATAAGAAAAGCTTGTGGAAAAAGCTTATTGGCAGACTCTATTTGGAAGAACTAAAGAAGAGAATAATATAATAATGCACACTTCTTATCTTCCATGAAAAAAGGGGATTTGGTTCACACGTTGCATGCTTAATTTCAACCAAGCCCCATGAGTTATGGACTTACGGTCAAACTATTACCGCCACTTGGAGCCAAAAAGTGCATTAATGGCGTTTCCCCGAAATTTAATTTGGGTGCTTCAGGTAAAGCTCCATTATTTTCAATTAAAAATTTGTTCAAATTGAAAGTCGTTGTTTGCAACTTTGGCCTTCTTTTTTGTTTCTTTGCTAGACAAAACCCCAGATTGTGCAAATAAAATATAGAAACGAGCCCGGATTTTTCTTTCTTGTTCGTACCAGAAATTAACCATTAGCTTGTGCAAATAAAATATAGAAACAAGAAAAATAATAAAAAAAATAAACGAACAGCAAATTTTTTATAGCCTGTATATTTCCATGTATATAGCCTGTATAGCCTGTATATTTCCATGTATTGTTTTATAGCCTGTATATTTCCATGTATTGTTTTACAGCCTGTATATTTCCATGTATTCTTTTTGATTGTAAGGTTAAATAGAAAAAGAACGTGAGGCTTGGATTCTTGGGCTTTTAATGCTTCAGCTTCACCCACCCCAGTGAGTACTGTCCTACACGTTTTTTTTTTTTTTTTTGTTTTTCAAAAAGAAAAAAGAAAATTTCGCATTTCAAGGTTAGATCATATAATAAATTTTTAAAAGTTACTTATATTAAATTTACACGTCCTTCTTGGTAAAGATCGTTACACATCCTTATTCAGAAAAATTATGACAATAAAAATTAAATTTATTTGTTAACAATTCAATCAATCTATCAACCGTCCTACATGGTTTAAGTTTTACGTTTGATCGCCCTACTTCCTGTAAAAATCCAATTGTATGTCTCCTTGAAAAAATACTACTGCTGCTGCTAATTCTTTGCAAAAGAGAAAGAAAGGACAATTATTTAATTCTGAACGACGCTAATTTTACAGTATACCCACCAGGGCTTCATGCACAACCTCAATTGGTGAAAAAAAATTATTATATGTTAAAAGTAAAAAAATGTCACTATTTTTTTATGATAGGTAGGTAATTCCAATTCATCTCTAGAAAAATGATTACAGGTAAAAATGACATAATACTAGTGAAAGCAAAAAGACGACAGGCAATAAATAGTTGCAACTAAAATCATTCAATATCTATTTTTATAATAGAATATATTTTTTTTTTATTACTGTACTCCTTAAAATCACATCAAACAAGCAAGGAAACCAAACCCAAGATCAACAATCCAGCATTTATTCCCCTAACAGACCCATCACTCGAATTATTATTAGCTCCTTGTGATGACGGTGCAGGGGATGAGGCGCCGGAATTTATTTTCTCCACCAACTTCAACTCTCCCATAGAAGCCAGATTGTCTTTAGCAAACTCATGCTTCATCGGGTGACCATCGGTAGTAACCCCTGGTCCGACTTGCCAAACCTGGTTCAGCTTCTCGGCACTGGCCGGAACCTTCAAGGAACCATATATAACCATTTTCCCATCATCGCCAGCCTCGGCTTCCAGGTCCCAAACATCGAAAGATAGGTTTCCTTCGACAATAGAGCTGTAGGAGCTTATGTTGTAGGTTTTAACAACCATGGAGCTTTTGTTTTTGAAGGCAAGGAGGGCTTGTGAACCTGCCATGCCTGTAGCAACGGGATTGATGGCCCAAGCGATCCAACCGTTGGTGTTGGACGGAGCTGCGGAGAAGGCGATGGAAAGAGAGGAGTTGGTGGCATTGTAGATGAAATGAAGGGTTGAGTTCAGGGTTGGGAGCTCCGTGCAGTTGGAGTATTGTTTTTTGCCTCCGGGGACTTTCAGCGACGAACAGTCGATTGAATGTGTGGGTGCGATTAGAGTAACCCAAAGAGAAAATAATAGAATCAGGGATGAACAACAGAGAGACCCCATTTTCTTCTTTTTTCGTTTTCTTTTGTTTTCCGAAGGAAAAAAGAGAAAAGAGGAGATAATGGTGCCAATGCTTGATGCCGTTTGTTCGGAGATATTTTGGGGGAATTTATAGAGAGAAATTGGCTAAAAGTGCAGACTTGATTTGGGCTTGATAAACACGGAGCCAACAGTTGGATGCCACGTTGTCATGGTATTTTGAGTAGTAGACGTGGCGGGTTATGGTTGCTTAAGATCAAATGTTGACTTTCTCATCGAGTTAATTTGACATTTTGACTCCTAAAGTTTTTTTTTTTTTTTTTGGGACCAATACTCTTATTGAAGCGAGGGGGAATATGGACTTGCACAATCTAAATGGAATTAGGCGACAAAAACCCCCAAAAACAATTTTCTTTTTTTGGCAATTCAAAAAAAGAAATTGAAAGAGAAAGAAAATAATTAATAACAGAGGGATGCACGTGGGTGATGCGTGTTACTGGTTCAATGTTCCCGTTGTTGAATGAACGAGGAAAGGATTTGAGATTGATATCATAGCTGTCACCGATAAGAACGCGAAAATCCTGACTTCCTGTTTTTCTTTTTTTAACTTCTTTTGGGTACAAGTTGTAGTAAATTACATCGTTGCTAATTGAATTTTGTTCCAAAATTTTATTCGGATCATTAAATTTTAATTTTCTCAATTAAACCACTAAACTTTGTTAATTATACTAAATTCAATTATCTTAACAAATTTCATCCAAAAATTTGATGAAAATATAAGGTGCAATATCAACTACCACGTCAATATTTCTGTGTATGCCACATTAACATTTTTAGGCATAAAAAATAGAAAAAAAATGATAAAAAAAGGTTTTTACTCAGACTTAATCTGAATGCTTAGTTTTTACTCCAATACCTCAAAATTCGAGCAAAATCAAATGTAAAAACAGCAAAAATGCAATTATTTACGTTGTTCTAAACTATTAAATATCACACTCATCAAGAGCGCTTATACCCGTAGCTACAACTCCACTAAAATTACATTCAAAATTTTGATTTTTCATTAAAATATTAATATAAAAGTCAACTATACACCGATCCAAAACTCAAAAATAAAAAAATCACTCGTAATAAGTATTAGGAGTATTTGATGATCAAAATAACATAATAATATTTTTTTTCTTAAAAATTTTCAATAGATAATTAGAGATGTTTATGTTATTTGTGTTGATTTTATATGTCAGATCAATTTAATATGTTTAATGTTATATCAACTTGATGTTATTTTTATTGTCTATTAATAATCTTTTATTACTCACTTATTAATATAAAGATTTAGGCACCATTAAAATTAATTAATCCTAGACCCATTTTTTCATTTTTATTTTCTTTTCGACTTCATTTTATTTAATTTACGTGTTGAAGTGTAAACATAAAAACACATTCTATATTTACCTCTTACTATTCTCTTATTCTAATTTTTCAAAAATGTCATAAAGTTGGAGCTCGACACAAATAATAAATTAACTGAAATTAAATAAAATAAAATAAAAGAAAGAAAGTAGAACTAGTAATGGTTTTGAGTTTCAGCTAGAGAGGCATAAAAGAAAGGATAAATTCGTCAGAAAAGACTCAACCAATGGTGATAACTACACAGCCTGCACCCCAAGTCACTGCCTAAACGATGTGGTGTTAATGTGATCATTTATCTAATAGTCATATAATTTTAATTATAACAATGAAAAATGTTCAGACCATTAAATTTGATATAATTTATAAAATTTTATGATTTTATTGAAATAAATTAAAATTTAGTAATCAAATAAAATTTTGGTCAAATTTCAGTGAGCAACGATGAAATTTACCTATAAATTTGCAAGCGGTAGATAGATGTGAACAAGGAAGTGTTAATTTCGTTGCGCGATTCTTGTTTCCCACTTTCACGTTTTTCCTTGATGTTGCCGAGTGCCGATGACTAGGACTCGGTTTTAATTTTGTTTATCTCTTAATACTCGAGTCCAAAAATATATAGTAGCAGGTTTTTTATTTTTTTTGTGAAAAGAAAGTGTATAACTTTAGTTTATATTTAAGTAAAAAGTATTTTTGGATTCAAAAGATAAATCAATTATTTTTATTACAAATTGTTAATAAATAATTAAAAATATTTTGATTATTTTATTGATCTGACATATATAATATCAAGTTAGTTCGATCACATAATTATTTTATCTTACAAATTTTTTATCTTTTGTTTGTAAATAAAATCATTCAAATATTTATTTAAATAAGTTAACTTTTTTCTTTTTTTTTTTTCAACCTTACTTAACTTATAATTTGGATGTCGTGTAAACACGTAAAACACTTTGTGCTTTTGTTTTTAACCACTCTTTTTTATTTTTTGTGATTTCAAAAATCAAACTTTAAGTTTGGAGTTCGTCCCCAATAGTTTCGTTTAAGAAAACAAATTCATCTTCTGATTTCATTCTCATGAAAAAAAGTTAGTGATAAACGTTTAGAGAAAATAATTTTACAAAGTGAAAGTGAAATTTGGTCAAATTTGAGAATAAAAAAGGGATGTTTTCGTTATTTTTCTAGCAAAAGAGAAGAAACAAAAAAAAAAAAAAGTGAAAGACGGGAATTCCTCATCCGCGTACGAACCCTACTCCACTCCACTTCGAGACCTCCAAAATTGCAATTATAGAGGCAAGCATAAACTGCATTTCACCACAAGGGATCCACAGCTACATAATATTCATTGAGTTTGACCATGAACTAGTCGTCACAATATTGGTTTTATATTAAATGGTCATAATTGGTGGACTCGTACTGCATTAGAGTAAGAAATAAAAATTCCAAAATACCGAACCCATTTTCATTAACTAAATACATTTTCAATGAAAAAATAAAAAAATCAAATTTTAAAAATCAAATGCTACCTTAAAATTTAATGAGAATTCCAAAGTTAATGAGATATTTATAATAGTGTTACGGTGTACGTAACTCTTTATTGCTCACATTTTAACATTACAATTTTAAAAGAAAATAATTAAATTTATTTGTTACCATATAGATTGTGGGAATTGAAAAGAATATAATAGAAAATTTCTAAACAACACAACATTAGGATTTTTTAATAAAATAATAACATTAATGTTGGAACCACGAGTCTTTGTTCTAATTTTATCTTAACCAAACCAACTGCATTAAGTCTACGGTGATATTTATGAAGTCGAGAAGATAATTTGGAGCTACGGATATTTAAAGTAAAATTATAGGACTAGCTAGTATAATATTTTACAATTTGTAAATGGACCTAATTGGGAGGATTGAGTTCGGACTTGACATTTAAAGGTGTCGGCTAGCTTGATCTGATCCATAAAAATCTAAACGGAAGAGAATTAATTAAAAAAATCCTCACAACTTGTAGCATAGTGATCTAAAAAGAACAATAGGCATTAACGCAAACACGCAGTTTTAAAATACCAATCTCAGTTAACCAAACTGCGTTTCTCAAATATCTGGTACCTTTCTAGCCCAGAGAATGTAGTTCACCAAATTGAGGAAGTCAAGAATGTGAAGAAGGATACTGTAAAACAGATCCAAACGGTTGTGATTCAGATCATTTCCTCCGAGTCATTCTTTGCCAAAATGTCCATTGACTGAGTTACCAGCAACGAGCTAATGAAGTACCCCATCGATGTGGATTGTGGAGCACCAAGACAGTGCAATACTCGTACCTAGAGTTAACATGTCTGATACGCCTAGCAGCGAGTTTATGCACCCCAGCCAGAAAAACAGATAAACATGACATTGTTATTTGCCGCTTCACGCCTCTTAGCCTCAGCTATAGCAGCCGCAGATATAGACCCTGATGCTGGAGCCAGCCCCAATCCAGTCTCCTGAGTGTTTGATACTTGTTCATATTGCCAGGGAGGTCGTTTTTTTAGTCTGAACAAACGTACAAATATTCGTACAAGGGTGACCATTAAGTGAAATACCGATAATGACTGAGTAGGGATATTGAAATTGTTAAAAGTGATCTATTCATGATGTTCCCTTGTTGCACATCAATTGGGCTAGGCAGCAGTTCATCGAAATCGTGCTTGCGAATATGGGGAGGAGGCCCAGGAACGTGTTTGTTTCCTCCACCTCAGTTGTGTCAGCATTTGTGTTAAATTAATGTGCACTATGATGACTACTTAGAATTATCGGAGACAGCATGCTTGAAGCTGGTGCGAAAGTGTACATGGATTTTATTCATATCTGCTTTGTGTGAAATACATGGATTTTATTCCTATCTTCTTTTCATGAAATCACTACTTTATATGGGGGCCCAAATGTAGCATCTATATGTCTAAACAAGGCCTGTCAAAGATCTACAAATCCTCTTTTGCATCGAATGATTTTGAATGAATTATTGCATCTGATAGTGAGACTTTCCCATTTCATGGCAGAAGCGAGCACCTTGATACCCCAGACCCTCCCAAAAAAGTTCAGAAACAAAATTAGAGCTATTAGGCCTTTGCTTTATCATCCCAATACCAACAAAACTAAAATGCTTGATGCATTAGTGAAAAATTTTGTCATCAAATTTTATTACAAACTTCATTTTTTACCTTGAAAATTCTTGTCAGTGGACTTCCGCCGGGGCATTTGTACCTATAAATTGGAAACCCCATTGAAAAAATGCAGAGTGCTATGCTTAATGTCACCACAGAAATCTTATAACTCCAATTCCAACCTAAGTTTCTTCGATCCTAATCATAGAAGTAGAGGCAATCAGGCCAGCGAGATATAGTGAAAAGAAGAACCAATTGACGAAGGAAGAGATTAGACGCTGGTTGCCATGGTCAAGCTGATCGGAACCATGGCTGGCAAGGCAGCCTTAACGCCACCAGCTGGTTTTTTTTTTTTTTTTCCTGTTAATGCCATAAGTGATCTTTAAATTATAATAAAGTGTTTAATATGTTATTTAAATTTTTAAAAATTAATTTGATATCTAAATTATGAATATGTTAATTAATCAGTACTTAAAGGTCATATTTAATGTACAAAATAATAAATAAAATAAGATAATAATTATCTTATATTATATTTAATTTATATCTAAAAAAAATCCTAAGATTATAAGGAAGATTTATCATCTTCGTATAAAATGTAATTCTCCCGATATGGAGAAAATTATTTTTAATTTATAAGATTGAACATATATGTTATATTATATCATTAAAAATCACATTAATAATTTAAATTATATAAGCTTTGAATAACGATAATTTTGAACAATAAATAAATTATTCTAACATAATTTTTATATATATCAAATACAAGATATGATGATATTATTTTATCTAATCTCATTCATAATATCATCTTATCTTATTTTATCATAATCTTATATACCAAACATATCCGAAAAGTTATTTTTTTGTTTAAGTGTTATAATTTAAAGTTAATCATATTAAAAATAAATATCGTACTAATTAATAAATTTATAATTCAAATATTACATTAAAAATTTTTAAATTTTAAATATCATATTAAATATTTTATTATTATTTAAAAAACAATCATGATATTAATCCTTTTTAAATTAAATTTTCTGTATCATCTCATTTCACAAAAGAAGAAAGGTACAATCACTCCAATTTCCCTTTTTTTTTTTTCTTTTTCCTTTTTCCTTTAGCACTTTCCTTTTCTTCTTTATTTTGTTATTTTTTTTGCTTTTCTTTTCAAATTATGAACCCTTTTATACAAAGATAACAACTTTATTTCCAAAAAAGATTTAAAAAAAAAGACTTGTAAAATTAAAACATATATCTACAGATTGATTAAAACGTAAATAAATTTGAATGGAAACAGGTGGAATTTGAAGGAATTGAAATTTGGTCCATGACTGATGGAATTTTAACTTCGCTCACTATTCTGGCAGAAAGTATTTTCACATACTCTATCTCGTAGTGGATGCCGTGTAGTTTTCCCTAATTTATTTTGTATAATATATACCATCTATGTCAGCAAATAGTCATTTATAAACACTTATTTTTTTTCTAACAAATCTTTTTTTGATAAAAAAAAAACTTTTGTTGGAAAAAAAAAAAGTTTGGACAAGCATATTTACTAAAGAAACTACTAAAATTGAATCCTTTTTAGTCCTGCTAGATTGCTAACTGTCCTATTTGATGTTTTTTATTTTTATTTTTTAAAGATTAGAATTTGATCACAAATTATTGGTGTTTTGAAAAACAAAATTCAAAGAGATGAGAAAGCTATAAGAGAAAATATAAGTTAAGGAGCAACTAATTTCTTAAAAAATGTATTTTTTATAAAATTGAATAAAAAAATAAATACATTTAATTTAATTTAATTTTAATTTTAAATTGAATTAAGGTAATTTGACTCATTAATTATGCATTAGACAACGTTTTGGTTTCCTTTAAAAGAATTGTATATGCTGATATCAGTTATTTCGATATATTATTACAAATTTTTTAATTTAGTACAAATATATTTATAAATATATTATAAATTTGTATATAATAATATTGCTAATAATTTACAAAATAAATATGTAATGCCTTTAAAAACCAAATAAAGAAGTTTAAAAGTATAAACAAAATATTATTAATTTATCATGATATTTTTAAACACTTAATCTGACTATATATTATTTTAAATGAGTATTTTTTTTTATATAAATATTAAGATAAAAAAAGAGATGAAAAAAATAACATTGACTTTATAATTATTAAAATTTAGCGAGGATGCATGATTACTTTCTTAAAATAAATTAAAATATTTATAAATTTTGGTTTTAAAAAATAAAATATAAAAGAAAACAAATTAGTAAAAAATAGAAAAATAAAACTTTTTAATGTTATTTTATCAATTAATTTTATTTTTATTACATTAAAAATAGTCAAATAATAAATAATAAGTTAAAAATAATAAATATATTTTATACTCACATACTAATCAAAATAAATTAATCTATCGAAATTCATAAAAACAATTAGTATTATCCAATATTAAATTTGATACAACTGTAATATTTTGATTGATACAATCGATATCAAAATGAAATTAACAATATTAATCGAAACACATTAAATGAAATATAATAATAAATTAAATAATGACATGTGATTTTATTTTTCCTTTTGTAAGAATAAGATATTAAATAAGTTTTTTTAAAAACCCAATGAGAAATTGGGCTGGGCTTGTAAATGAAAACAGTAAACTCTCCTTTGTAAACCGAACACCAGATCACCACTCTTCCCCACATATAAAATAATTCCGCTTAAACCCTAGCTCCCTCTATCTTCTTCATTTCACCTCGATCCGCGGCGCGGCGTTTTCATCAGGTAACTTCTCTATCTCTGTTGCTACTGATTTTTTATTTGATTTGGTAAATTGGAGTTCATTTCTTGTCCGAATCTTAAACTTGTTTGTCTGACATGGTTGGGCTTTGGTTGGTTTTTGTTATTAGGAAGAAATGGCAGTCCCTTTGCTGTCCAAGAAGATTGTGAAGAAGCGTGTCAAGAAGTTCAAAAGGCCCCAAAGTGACCGCAAGATATCCGTCAAGGTTTTGTCTTTTTTCAAACAAACATTCCCTTTAGTCTGTCTTACTTTTTAGTAACCATTTATCCAAAGATAATAGTCGTAATTGGTTTTACTTGAGTTCATATTATCTTGTTCGTGAAATCTTAGCAGGTGGGTTTCCCTATCTGAATAAGTTGTTTTTCTTTTCTTAAGGTGCTCTAGTGAACTATGGTTAGAAAGATTAACTTTTTACTAGTTTTGTGATTTGAGAGTTAGCTATGAAGTATTCGTGTTGGAATACTAGAATTTATTACTGGGGATGCTAATGGGACTCCATTGTGTTTGTTTTCCTGCTAGTTTAGTTGGGATTTTGATAGGTAGAAGCCTAAAAGTCCCGTAAAGGTCTTTTTTCATTTGGTGATGATGGTAACTTGGAGATACCCTACTAATTTATAGCTGTTTTAATCTTTTCTGCCTTAAGAGGATTATTTTGTGAAGAATTTTTTAAGTTGATGGATAACTGGACTTGCAATCTCTAAGGTTACCTGTTTTACTGGGTGGGTTTGAGTGATAGAATGTTAACAGAATGAGTATGCTTTTTTGCTAGAATGTCTCATTCTCTAGGTGATTTAAGAGTCTTGCATCCTTCTTGGAGTGGTTTTTTTGGATGATCACTGTGCACTGTTTTGATCACGAGGATTAGGTGTGGTTCCTTTATGTGTGCATGCGAATTCTGTAATGGCAATTTCTGAATCAGAACATTTGTTCCTCATCATATGGGTGTTGGAAATGGTATATGTATAGAAGCAGTGTCATTCATCTTTTTTATGTACTTTTTTCACACCCTATGAGCCTAGCATCATACAATATTTTTTATTAACCAGGAATGTGTTTTGGATCTGATGTTTGAGCAATTTGTCACATTGTATCATGTTTTCCGATGCAAGTGGTATTCTGTTCACTATCCGTTATTTATGCCCCTTTGGGAGTTCTTGATCTTAGTTTATTATCTTTATGAACAAGAAAGTGAAACGTACCCAGAATTACTTGGTGAAGCTTACAGAAGTGATAGAAATCATTTTGTCTAGTGTTATACAAATACTTATGCAGAGTAAACTGTTTGAGTACATTCTTATGCAACATCCATATGAGCTCTGGAATATTTCTCGTCTGTAATTTTTGAGTTGTAACTTGGATGCTTGGTTGTGCTATTTGCTTCAGTGTAGTGCTGAAACTAAGCTCTTTATTTCTTTCATGCTTATATCCTATTAAGATGTCATGCTTCTGCTGGTATGTCCTGTGGTCTTGAAATATGGTTTTGACAAATTTTCATGCATCTTGGCTAGTTGATGTCTCATTTAGGTAAAACACACACACACACACACACACGCACTCTGTCTCTCCTGCAATATTGTTAACAGGTTGTTTGCATATTGTCAGACAAACTGGCGAAGGCCTAAGGGTATTGACTCCCGTGTCAGGAGGAAGTTCAAGGGGTGCACTCTGATGCCAAATATTGGTTATGGCTCAGACAAGAAGACTCGCCACTATCTTCCAAATGGGTTCAAGAAATTTGTTGTGCATAATGTCCAAGAGCTGGAGCTTCTTATGATGCACAATAGGTATAACATATGATTACCCCCTTCTTTCCTCATTTTTGTTGATCAATATTTTCTTGCTTGTTGCTGATTGTTGATGCATTCTCAGGACATACTGTGCTGAGATAGCCCATGATGTTTCAACAAAGAAGAGAAAGGAAATTGTTGAGCGAGCAGCACAGTTGGATGTTGTTGTCACCAATAAATTGGCCAGGTTGCGCAGCCAGGAAGATGAGTGAAGATTGCTCCTTGAAAGTTGATTTTGCTTTTTGGTATAATATTTTATCATGTTGGAAGTTTCAGCTCTTTTGATCAAATGCTTTTTAAGTATTATTTGAGTGGAATAGTATTTTTCTTTTTGGTTGCTTTTGAATCTAAACCCTTTTATCTAATTTAAAGTCTTATAAGTAATCTTTTGAGGGTTTTTCTCTTTTGACAATGTCTTGGTTTATGATGCCGGGTGCATTTATGACTTAATGGAAACACCATACAAGGAATGTCATCATTCCATCTTATTTCTTTGAAGGAGGTGTGATTGGGTGGCTTGGCCTATGTTCTTAATAGAAAATTCTTTTGCCTTTTTGCATGCATTACAATGCTATCTGGATTTTATGAGCCAGTTTCTTTAGATTATTTTGAGTTTTGAAGCATCTTTTCCTGCCCTTGTACTAAATTCCGAAACAGGAGAGATTCCAAAGAGAGTTTTTGGGTTAAGACTTTTTGTAGGAAAGGGGGGTAAGGAGAGCGTTAGACTTTTCTCTATGCACCAGGGAGGGGCATCGTGGGAAGTGGGAATTGACAGACTTGAGATCCTTTCGCTTGGTACTCTTTCCTTTATTCCGTGTATCATCAAAAAATAGGTTCTTCCTCGTGGTAATGTTGGAGCGAGCGATTATCACAAATCAGTTAAATATGCATGTTCCTTTATTATTCCTCATATTAAGTTGCCTTTTATAGTCTTCACTGAGAATTGCGGCTTTTCCTTAAAATTTTTCTGCTTTCATTTTCGAAGAAAAAGTTTAAATCGGGTATCCTTTTGAGTTTGGCTTTGGCCCTCTCTTTTTATAGCCTGCGCATGTGGCAAAGAAGAGGCAATTAACTTCCATTCTTCCACATTTGAACACTTTGGTATCAAAGATGCCTCTAATTAAATGCCAACCTGAAATCTAAAACAAGAAACCAACAACTCTTGTTATACTTAATTTAGATAGAAAATACGAAATTTAGAAGAAAAAAAAAACTACAGGGCTGAAATTTGTATATTGAAAGTTTAAAGCGTAAAACGAGGGGAGGAGTAGCAACATGCAATGAAGATATTTGATTATTGTGTTCGTGACCGGGGAATCTATTGAGAAAAGTGTCGTACAACTTGCTTTTCGTGAATAATTGGGATTAAAACGCCCAACACCCTTGACATGAAAGAGATTAGGTCATAGGGTTGGCCGAGAGAGCCTAGCCACATGCTGATATTTATACAAATAATTGATTTAGACTAATATTGTGTACCGGAAATTTAAGAAATGATTGCATATTAATGAAAATCATGTGACAATGAAAGTTTGATTTGAGTTGACAGATAAGTAAAGATAAGATATCACATGAATCTACATGTTGGTAGCTTTAAACATCATCATTAATATAATTGTTTATTTAAATGATTTAATTAATTTCAAATTGAATTAATTAATATTGAATTAATCAAATTAATTTTTTTTATTTTCATTTACTATACCAAAATTATTATTTTTAAAACGTTTCTTGTGCTCTCAGAGTAGGTCAGTCATGCCACAAGCCCTTCCAACATGCATGCTCCCAACCTCTGGATGGGCTCACCAGAAACTACTAGGAGAGCCACAAATCACTTAAAATCATCATCAGTTATGCAAGAACCATTGATAAGAAAGCCATAGGTGTTGCCGGGAGAGTGATGCAGGTTAGATGGATATGACTGAGATTCTTGCTAAGACATTGAGCTTCCATTTGGTGAGAAACTGACAGTAGATGAAGAGTTGTAGGCAGTATAACTGCCATTTGCAGAAGATGACTCCAAAGTGCAATAGTGCTCACAGGATTTCTGTGTTGCTGGGATGCGCTTTCATCGATGAATAGTTTACATTAGGCAACGTTTTTGTGATTTGTTGAGGGTTGAGGGCTGAGTCGTGTGGTCAGGGAGGAGGCGGCGGCTGAGCCACGAAAATATAAAATGACATGAGGCAAAAAGAAAATAAGGTAAGATTTGGCATGTGTTGCATGAAAATATCAATAGCTCGGGATTCAGTTAATCATTTGGTCAATTTGATTTTTAAATTGAATTAATTAAAAATTCAAATATACCCAAAATTATTTCAGAGATCAATTGATTAATCAAAATATTTTTATTTAATTGACTAATCGAATTTTGAATAACCCAAATCATCAATCATATTATAATAAAATTGTGTAGAGGAAATACCAAAATAGTTAAACCGTTGCATCTGCATTGATGGATGAGATTTTTTTTTCTGTTTACTTTCGACAAAGATGCACAAACAAGAATTTCACCAGATGAACTAACTTTCAAACCAAAAGAGAGAGAGAGAGAGAGAGAGAAAATAAAGTAATAACCTAACAGCAGGACGCTATTTTGATGACAATACAAATTACTAACGGTGATGATGATGAAGGTACATACGTAGCCAAAACTATTCTTAATCAATGTATAGATTAGGACACAAATTAATTGGTGTACGTATTTCTTCCCCAAATCATTAGCCACCGTGAGGTAAACAATAACCGAAACAATTCTTATTAAATAATACTAATATAATTAATGATCTGAACTTGAAACATAAAATTTGTGATTATTATATATATAATTAATGAAGAAAAAAAATAAAATTAATTAAAATAAAAAAAATAAAATTAATTAAAATAAAACACAATTATTAGTATTTATCTGCGACAAAAAAAAAAAAACTCTTTAAATTACCATTTACTATAATATTATTTTAAATATATATAAAAAATCATTTTTATATTTTTTTTACATCTCACAACTCACAACCTTAACTTTAATTGCATCGATCTTTTGCATAAATATAGCAACAAAAATAATTAATGGATAATAGAGTCTTTAGATTTTTTGTTTAGTAATTAAAAAAATTTTAAAATATATATTTATAAGATAGAAATTGAAACTTCGCCATCTCCATATCTTATTTTTATGGATAAAAAATAATTAATAAGAATTGATCGAATGAATAATTATCAAATATTTTATTTATAAAATTTAAATTTAATTTTTTAATGAATAATTTATAAATTTAATATAAATTATTTCTTAAGCATGCCATTTATCATGATTTTGGATTGACGATCGTCCTTTCAAAAAAAATTTTTTACGACAAATAAAAAACAACAACAAAATATTATTTCCGCCGCCTAACTATTCTTTCAACCCCTTTCACATGGTTTTTTCGTTGAAGTCCGATTCCTTGCAAAGGCGAAGACGCGGTGCCATAATTAGCAGTCAGTTAGTTAGAATAACTTTTTCATCCGGTAGTTAAAATAAACTTAATTTTTTAAGTTACGGTCTAAAAATTTCATTTCTTGTATATTAATTTTATGAGTAAACATTGATCATTTTTCAACAAATATTGATATTTTTCTCAACGATTTTGAGTGTCTTGAATCTTTATTAAATTTAAAAATACATATTTAATTAATCCACATGCATATCTACATAATCAAAGTCAGAAAAAAGCCATTAGAAGTCGAGGCAATTTTTTTTTTAGAAAAAATAATAAATGGGTTTTTTACAACCCTCACTGGAAATTTTCAACCTTCTAGAATCTGAGGCTAAATTGCCCCTATGAGAGGTCACTCTTTGAACCAGTCTGGCGTGTGTTTGACTAATGCTGTTGCCTGCCACTAAAACTACTAGGCTTTAAAATCTACTAGCCTTTAACTTTATATAAAATACTTTTTTATAGAGAGAGAGAAGATGAAGAGTTTTGATTTTGTTGAGAATAGTTAATCTTTGGATATTTTTAACAAGTGTTGGTGACCATGAGTTCACGAGTTTGTTGTTATTCGTCAAATTCCCAAGCTATTACAAATGGAATGATCGGTCTTTGAAAATCCTTTAATAAAGATTACAAAAGTGACTATATAGGCATGTTCAACGGTTCGATTTCATTCGAGACGAAATTTATGGTTGGTGAGGCAGCCAGAAATGGTGCACTTCTCAATCACAGGATTGGACCCATTTTGCAGCAATCTCTTTTGTTAGCACCTCATCCACTGAGCCCCCAACTTGATTAGTTGTGCTGTGCGACTGCAACAAATATGTACAACACATTCGATGTGGGTAATAATTTCGCCTTGAAAGAGGGAACCGTCGAAATACTAGCACATACCCCACCTCCACTTTTCCCCTTTGAAGAAAATTATGCCAATGAGGTGCTTTTTTTTATTTAATAATATTAAATATTAAATTTAATTATTATAATTAAAGTTTTAATATTTTATCAACCGATTTTTAAATTGTTTACATGAAATGCATTTGATACACTATTTGTTGTAAGAAAAAGATCCGATGAGGGTTTTTTTTTTTTTAATTAAATAAAATGAAAATCGAATCTTATAAAAAAAAGGTGAAAATTCTTATTCAACTCCAAATTGAATTCCTAGTCTTTTATACGTGTTATCCCAATATTGAATATTTGAATATAATACCTCAAACAGCACCAAATGTTCTCCAATTTCTAGTATGCATGCTCAATATTTCTCTATTCTTTTCAATCTACCTTTCAACCAATCTCCCTTGCATTGTCTTTTTCTTTTTTTAATTTTAATTTACATCAAATAAGATTAAAGTTGACAGCAGATTTGAATCAGGATAAATTTTTGTTTGTTCCGAATCAATTTTATATTAATCAAACATGAATCCAACCTGATTCAAAATTTTTTTTTCATACTCGAACTTGATCCAATACTATATAAATTATACCCGATTCGACTCATAAATTAATAAAATATTATTTTTAAAATATAAATATTTAAATATATAATTATAAATATATAAATAAAAAATTAAATAATTAATTAAAAAATAATTTTTATATAATATCAAATCGGATCAAATTTACTTAAAATTTGAATTTAACCTAATCCAAAACTTAAATTTCTTTTTTAAATCGATTTTATAAAATCAAATTAAATTAAAATCTATCGAAGATGAATTGAATTATTGACTCTAAATAGGGCAGCTCCCTTTAATTTTTCAGCTCTATACGAAATTAGCAAGTCTCATAAATGCATTTATTCTACTTTTACAGTTGAATATCATAATTATCATATCCAACGGTTCCCTTATTGCCACCCGTAATAATTGTTTAACAAATGATACTAGTTTTAGTATATGTGAAACAAAAATATTTTTTCTTCTAGTATGTTGGGAGATGATTTTTTTTTTTTTCATTTCGTAAATTTTATCTATTCATTTTAATTTTAGGCTACTAAGAATCCCTTTTCGGTAAAACAAAATGAAAATTTGGAAAAAAATACATATTAAGCATTCTTTTTTTATTTCTTAGATCAATAGATGCCATTCCTCCCAAAATAGCACTTATTTAAAAAACTATTTAATAAGTAATTAAAAAACCTATGGTACTATCTTTTACCTGCTTTGAGCAAAAGATGTGACACATGTCCTAAATATAAGGTAAATAAAACTACCAACCAAACACAGCTAAGAACCGATTAACTTACATGGTTTTTGTGGGTGTTTTACAATTACGAGTCAATTCTACACAAATATATATATATATATATATATACGCAAAAAGTAAATATTTAATTCATTGCACAGATTTATTTATCTACTTTATAATAAAAAATCAACAAAATAATTAGAATAAGTTAGAAAACAGAAAATGGATTAGCTTCGAAAGAACGATGATTTTGCCCTCTGAGCCGATCGTTTTTGTTTACATTCTCTAAATTATTATTAGTATTAAGACTGTGGTCGGGTTTACCTTTATTCTGCACACCACCTTCACCAGCATTTTCGAATATTCCTTGGACAAACAACTCCACATCAATTTTGTTAATTACTTCCGTTCCCTCTTCCCAAAAATCTTTCTCTGTTTGTACCGGAATATACGGTGGCCGTTCGATTCCGAGAATCAATTCCCAATCAATCCCCTTAAAATAATTGTGTCCCTTGATTCCTTCCAATGATATCCTTTTCTTTGGATCCTTCTCTAATAATTTCCTTATTAAGTTCCTCAAGGACGTCGGTTCCCCCACGAGATCGGGCGATTTCGTTAAAATCCGGTAAAACGTTTCTTTCCTGTTTAATCCCCTAAACGGTGTCGTTCCGTACAGCATTTCGTGAAGAACGATCCCTAGGGACCACCAATCCACCCCGAAATCATGACCTTTCCCTGATATGATTTCAGGCGCCACGTACTCTTCTGTTCCAACGAACGAGTTCGATTTTTCTACTGAGTCTGACTCAGTATGTTCCGAGTTGACGCTCGCTTGAGATGCAGAATCGTCAGGGGAGATTCCCGAGTTGCAGTACCTTTGAAACAGAGAGAATCGCTTTTTCTTAATTGAGTTCGACGGCGTTTGATTGACCGAGTTGGTAGGCGTTGAACTTTTAGGTGATATGGGAGAAAGTTTCGCCGAAAGATCGAAATCGACAAGCATGATATGGCCATTTTCTTGAATCATGATATTTTCAGGCTTCAAATCTCTATAAACAATGCCTAAATTATGAAGATACTCCAAAGCGAGAACCAATTCCGCTGCAAAAAACCTATAAAAAAAATGACAAAAATAATTAAGCTTTATTTGGCTCCCGAGAAATTTTCAGAAAATGAGACTGAAGAGGTAGTGGTAAACTAGTAGTGCTTATTATTATTATTTTGTTTACCTTATAATACCGTCGGAGAACATTTGCTCGGTCTGTTTTCTTCTCAAAGAATTAAGATCACGACCGGGACAATAATCAATGGCATAACCGACGACTTTATCGGTACCTAAAACTCCTCGTAACCTCGGAAAAAGCGGGTGGTTAAAATTCCTCAAGACTTCCTGTTCAAAAGTAACTCTTCTATACTCGTTTCCTTCATTTCCATTGCCACTCTTCACTGTTTTACTACTCTTCTTCTCGATCGAATCTCGTGATATGACTTTCAAAGCTAAAATCTCATCCTTCACTTCATCTCTGGCAAGAAATACCACTCCTTTCGCTCCACGTCCTAGAGCCGTAACTGCTTCAAGGCGATCTAAAGCAAGGGTTGGGACCGAATGCTGTGGATTTCGATTGAGTTCTTCATCGTTGATCATGGCGGAGGTGGACTGGTGACTCGAAGAAAACTGGTTGATTTTATTGTTTGCTCCCTGGTGTTTGGGAAAAATGGAGTTTCATCCGCGTGGAAAGCTTGGTGGCGACAATTTATGAGGGAGAAACGGTTTTCAATTTCTTTTCTTTCTTTTTTTTTTTAAATTTCCTTGCTGTGGAAGGATTCAAAATTCAAAGATGGAGTGAATTTCTGCGAGACTGGATTTGGCCACGTGAGCAATTTCGGCGGTGAGTCATGACGTGGCGTAATCAAATGCATTTTTTTATTGAAATAAAATAAAAAATGAGATGGTGATTTGCGTGATTACGTGTGGGTGTTCTGCTTCTAGAAAAACTTGGGTACCAAGGGAATATTGAGGTGCGGGCCAAATTGCCCAAAAGCGGTAGACGTGGCAGCGGGTGGGGCTCTTTCTTCTGCTTCTGCTGCTGCTGGTGAGGCAGCGGGCGACGAAGTTGCCCTGAAGTTGCCTGTTAAAAGTAATATTTTCTTTTACTACTAGAACTAACTTTTTTAATCATTTTTTAAATGTCAGCGCGTAACACGTTTCTCCTTTGGGGTTTCAAAGAAGTTACATACTTACGGAGGAAAAACCGACGGGTGAATTTTGGACCGGAAGAAATTAAAATATAATTTCGATTTTAATTATACTTTTTATATAATGCACCATATGTAATTTTCTCAACGTTTTTCTTCTGTTTACTTTTTTTACCTAATCAATTTCTTAAGTTTCAACAATATGAATAATAATTACCTAAAAAAATATGAATAATAATATGTTAGTTGTTCCTTTAGAATATATATCCACGGTTAGAGTCACGAATTTATCTTCTATGTTTTGAGTTTAACTTTTAAAATTTATGATATGAAAAAAAAAAAATCTCATAATTTGAAGGGTGCGATTTGAATGAACAAAAGGGGTGTAACTTGGATGACTAGGTTTTAGACTTTGAAATATTTTCAATGAAAATATTTTAAAATATATTAATTCAAATATTAACATTTGCAATTGTATTATTTAGGTGAATATTTTTTAACAAAAAATTTAAGTACTGAAATTTATTGAGATAAGCAAATAATTATAATAGAAAATTAATGATATTAAAGATAAAATAAAATATGAGTGTCATTAGATTTATAAAAATATATAAAATATTACTAATAACATGAAAATAATAAAAATTTGAAAAATGAGTTTTTTTAATTAGTATTAAAAATAAAAATTATTTAAAAAATTATAAATGTTGATGTTTTATTCAAAAATAAAAAAATTTACCTCAAGAAGTGTAATTTGAAAAGGGCATTTGAGCCATTTAAAATTATTTTTTTAAATTCAAATATTTTGATAATTTAAATTTTTATTTTATTCAAATAAGATAATTTTATTTAAAATTTTAAAATCTTTCTCTTTAAAATCTGACTGTCATTCAAGAACCGGGAGGGCGCATTTGAGCCAGCTTGGGCCAACTTCAGCCTGGAACTAGGCCCCATTGGCAAAGTCAATCCATGCCATTGATAAGAAGAAAAGTATACATGATAATTCAGGTGATTCATATGAAAGCTTAATGTTGCATCTAATTAAATACTTTCAGAAATAAATCAATCATCCAAACCAAACATTTTTTTCTTTGATATGAATGGCAAGAGAAGAGACCAAGACAGAACCTTCAAGAAAGTAACCGGCAAGACTTTGTCCAACCACGTGACGATCCAGGCCAATGCTAGCTGTAGCCTCTTTTCCCACTTGGCTAGTTTAATATTGGTGGAGCTACTGCATGTCATCTGGGCCTTATCGCAAGGAAGTCTAGTTGCACTAAATTATGAGTCAATGTGAGCATAGCTATTCCCATGGTTTTGCAAGAAGCTTCGATATTGAATTTGAAATCTTCAACTTTGTTTACATTCGATTCATTTCAATGTGGAATTGGGAACCGCAAAGCCCAAAAGCCTTGGGCCTGTAAAGCTCCATCCCAATTCCCAATGGCCATAGGCAACTCAGCAAGCAGTGTTTTCGAGTCCCCTACCTTTTCCCAACGACCGAGAAACCAGGCTTGAAAGTTTTAGCCCATGCCCCAATTAGATATGGTAACGGATGAATTTTTATTCGTTCCGACTTTAATTTGATTTAATATTAAAATATTATTTTTATATTTGAATTCAAAATTATTATTTAAAATAAAATTGATTCGATTATAAATTAATAAAATAATAAAATTTTTAATAAAAATATTTTTAAAATATATATTTAGTTGAATTAAGATAATTTTACATAAAATCTTACCTTAATTTTTTTTAAATACTTTATCCAACCCAAAATTTAATTAATAAAAATCAATTATAAGATCAAATCAAATTAAAATTAAATAAACACGGGTTAAATTACCAATCTTAACTCCAATATCCGTCCAAACTGATCTTAATTTTTTTCTATATTCTTATCATTTCAAAAAATTATTAATTGCCATTATATAATATAAAAAAATTGCTAACCGCCTAAAATACCATTCTTTAGAAAATTTAAAAAGTTAAAAATCCAAAAATCTGTTGTTTAAAAGACACTTTTTTTGTTCAAAAAGTATTTTTAAATCCTTTGACAATTCAAAAATATTTGTCAATAATTACTTAAAAATATTAAAATACATAATTACTCTTACATAATTGGAAAATAAAATAAAAATGTTAATTAAATAATGATACAAATATTTTTTTATTCAAGTTTATCAACTAATAAACAAATAAAAAACAGACCCATATACGCTTGGCATTGCACTTGACTTTTTGGCGCCGCATGTTGATAGTACATTGCTATTTGCATACTGGTACTTCTCTTTGACGTTATAGTTAACTAGGTGTATAACATCTTACGTATAAAACTACATCTTGATTACTTATTCGGTATGCATATTTCCTGTGGTGCAACCTAATTTGCAATTGCGAAGATTAAATAATTATCACCCTTTGATCCAGCTTCTTTTTTTTTTTTTTTGCTAGTTTATATGAAAAGGAAGAAAACTATGAACAAAAAGGAGCCAAGGCGTCCAAGTTCGACTGCATGTTTTATGAATCAAGGCAAGTCTAAAATGTTATTTGAGCTTAGATCACACTATAAAAATGAAAGGAGATTTAAATAAAAATTTAAATTCAAAAATTAGTATTTATTTTAATTTTATAAAACTAAAAAAAAAAAAAAAACTGCTATAGTTAGTTTTAGCTTCTCAAACTCAAGTCCAACTCAAGCTCCTACTAAAACTAAATCTAAGTTGAAAGTTAAGACTTATCAAGGCATAGTCTATTTTTAAAAAGAAGTCATAATTTAAAAATTAAAAAATTATAGATATTAAAATATAAATTAAAATATATTAAATATTATTTTATAAAATTATTTATATAAATTAATTATACCAAACTTCGAATTTGATATAATAAGTTTTTAAAAGATAAATTTAACTTGAATAAAATTTAAAACAAAATAATCAAATCTAAATAAGTACAAAGACCATACCAACAAACAAAGATCTGGGTTGGTGATGGTCATGTCTTGAGTGAGATAATCCGTTTGTGAAGCTCCAGTGCAACCGTTTCCAGTTTTATTAAAATTTTAAACTTCAAAAGAAAATTATGAGATTGAAATTTTACGATTTAAAATGTCAAATTATACTGTAAATTTTTATATTGATGAAAATTTAAAATTTAATTTATTTATTATAATTTATACAAATTTAACTTTTATAATATTCTAGTTTCATAATTTCAATCCAAACAATAATTCCATCTTATCTTTTTTTTTCCTTCGTTATGTTAACGTGTCGTTAGACCATCATGAGTAGGCATTTTAATTGATTTAAATTTAAATGGTTGCTGACATGAATTAAAAACATACACATGATTATATGCTAAAATTTTTTTTAATTAAATTTAATAACCTAAATTTTTAATTAACTAAAACAATTAAAAAACAAAACTTTTTCAAAAAGAAAAGACAATTGGATTGAAAAGAAACGTAAACAACCCTAACCAAAAACCCCCAAATCAACAATCCCCAAATCTATTAAACTTCTCCAAACACGTACCAAACAGGTTTAATAGTTGAGATATCTCTTTCTTTGTTGGTCTTACTAATTTTGAGGTTGGAATTAGGGTGGTTAACTTTTAGGTGGGTGATATACGAGGATGGTTTCTTCAAATATAGGGTTGGTTGGTAGCTGTGATGCTTCTATTGTTTTTGTACGTTGGAGGGTGCAGATGGATAAGCCCCTTGGAGTTTTTCAATGCCGACAATGAAAAGTCCTCAAGCTTGGTGAAAATAAAAGCTGTTAGTGGAAACCTCAGAAAAAGTTTGGGAAAGTTGGGATTTGGGAATTTCGGGTTCGAGGGCTTTTTATGAAATATTTTTCAAATCTCTATGTTTTTAGGATTTAGATTCTTTTGGCTTTTCGTATTGTTTTTAAGAAATCTAATCATAAAAGATAAAAGAAATTTTCGAAAGGATTTTGGTGACATTCCGATGTCGATATACAGCGACCAGTGAAATGACCGGTTCTCTGGTTGTTTAATGGATTTAAAATTTTTTTGTATAGTTTCTAAGGTTTAAGAAGTTAAATATGAATTATTAATATTTTAAAAATAAATAATTTCTTAAAATGACATATTATATAAACATTTTTTAAATTCAATGAAATAAAATCACGTAATTTTAATCGATAACCACATAAAATAATTAAAATGTGCCTCAGTAAAATTAACAAAAAAATAAAGTTAATGATCTTAAATTATTAAATTAAAATAACATGCAAATTAAATTTATATAACATTATAATAAAAGAATTAAATTAAAATTTTCATACAATACCAGAATATTCGACAATTAATTTAAAAGAAAAAAGAAAAAAAAGAAAAGAAAAGTGATTGGTACAAACTAGAAAGCAGCAGAGACAAAAATCTCACGTGGCTGGGGATACGGATAAGCCAACCCAACAAACCCCGGCGACCTCGATAGTCCACCTCCTTTTCCTCTCCCTTTCTTCTCAGCTCTCTTTCTCCCGTCGAAACACACTTCTTTACATACACTTCTACTAATTAAAGCATAAACAAACAAACAAACAAAAAACGATGCCATAACCAACTTCCAAATGGAGGCTCGGAGGCTTGCCATTCTCTCTTCCCATCTTTGCCCCTCCCGATCTGGCTCCGTTACCGCCCGCTTCTCAGCGGTTTCTGCTTCCGGTTGTTCGTCCGAGAGGCAGTCAGTCCTTGATTCCAACAAGGAAACCTTTCGAAACGACTGCGTCTTCTGTCAAATTATTCGTGGTGAATCGCCTGCTCTTAAGGTGAGAGTTTTAACTCTCTTCTCTTGTTTTTTTCTTCTAGATTTAACTATTTGCAGCTTAATTATCAAGTTTTCTAATTTGATTTTTTATTTATTTTTAATTAAACAGCTATATGAAGATGACATGTGCTTGTGTATATTGGATACCAGACCTTTGAGTCGTGGGTAAGGTATCATCTTTCCTATAATTGTTGCAATAAGATTTGATTATTTACTGTCTTAAACTCAACGTTACTTGCTAAGAAATACCAATATTAATGAAATTATGTTCCCAAAATGCAAAGTAAAGAAGAGCGAAGAGATGATAAATCCTGTTTTCATCCATTTAGTTGAGATTGAAGCTGTAACGTAAAAGTACAATTAGTGGAATTGGTGTTTGCGTATTTGGTAAAATAGTGGCAGTAGTTGGAAATTACAAATTAATGGCAGGTGTAGTTGGGAGAGATAGGTAGATGAGGTTTTCACTTATTAAGAATTCAGCATTTGAGTGCAAATGAATACCGAGAAACCAACTGATGGTTGGCTCAAGTGGTAGAGAAATTGTGCTTCTATCTTTGTTACCTGGGTTCAAATCTGCTTGGAGGCTGTGAGAAGGTAATTTCTCATGAATTCGTTAGGTCCGGTGTAGATTAACCTGCTTGGACTGGCTCGGAGAGGGGATGTACTAGGCAAAGCACAGAAACCACTTGCCAGTAAATCAAAAAATGAATAGCAAGAAAAAAAATTGTTTAGGCCATGGTCTATAGGATATAGATAGATTGGGGTGCATTTTCCACAAATGTGTGGTTGTTCTGCCGGAGGCAGCTAAGTCGAGTGCTTTTTTCATCGTATAGTTGATTTTGTGAGGTTTCCATGTTGGTCTTAGATAAGTCTTAGGCTTGCTAACATAACGGTAATAATCATCAATTTTTAGTATAGATATATTATCACTTCCATGATGATGTTTACATTATGGTTTTTTTTTTTGGTTGAACTAATCTGTTGGGCTACTCATTGCATGGTGCATTTTTTGTTGTTTCCTAGGCACTCTCTTATTATCCCAAAGTCTCATTTTTCTTCCTTGGACACAACTCCACCATCTGTAAGTTTGCTAGATGCTCTTTGTTTGCTATTTTTTTATGAATTGCACATGTTGTTCTAGCATTTACGAGCACTTTTCAGTATTACTGAACATTTTGCTTAGGAATCTTGATAGGATAAATTTTTTTTATACTTATTGGTGAGCAGATGAAAGTATCAACGTGTATGTGTTGGTTAAAAATCATGCCTGAAGAGACTAAGCAATAACATAATGTCCCATCATTTAACTTCAAGACTGATTTTGCTCCTTGTTATTAGACAGTGGATTCAGTGGTTGTTACACATAGCCTCCAAGTTAAGCTAAGCTGCAATAACTTATAAATGCTAACTGCTAAGATCTAAAACTATTAGTTTGGCTTTTGTGCTAGCTCTATGCAGAAGAAGTGTTTATCATGCATGTGTTTATGTGCACTGCTTTATGTATTTAAACATGCTTCCCTTTATATAAACAATATGGACTAAGTACCATGTTGTGCAAAATTGAGATTGTTTGACAATTTTCTTAGAATAAATCATTTTTAAAGTCTCTTTTTATTTGTCTTTTGAGGAGCATTCAGGTGGTAGCTGCGATGTGTTCAAAAGTGCCTTTTATTGGCAATGCTATCATGAAAGCTACTGATTCTGGTATGTGCTGAAGTGTCTTCGTTGCAGTTATAATGTATACATCTCACTTTTCTTTTAAGTGATTAAACCATGTTATATTAATGTGTCAAATTTGCCATCAATCTTGCTTGAAGATTTATGGCCTTCAAAGTGCAATTATTAAACCAATGACACAAAGCTAGATGTCTTATCTTATAGATTTAGAATATCAAAACTAGCAGAAGCCACTAAAAGCAACATCTGGTCTGTGTTTGTTTCCTGATCCTCAGTCATTCTTTGTAAAAATTATGTTGGAAGTATGGATGATCAAAATATATAAATTTCACCACTAGATTATTACCCATCTGCAAATAAGTATCTCATTAGTACCCATCTGCAAATAAATATCTTAGTAGTGTTGGTTTTCCCCTATGTTGTTTCTATTACTTACTGCAATCTATTTAACGACAGGAGTTATATGCTTGAAGTTTTGTTTGATGCAACTTTATTCAATCTAGAAAATAACTGACAGGCATTACTTTGTTCAATGAAGCCTTGATCCAATGTTATTTAATTTGACCAATTGAATACTTTTATGCTATTTATTACCCTGTTTAAAGCTCCATTTTCACTTCTTGGAAGCATTATCTATAGAAAACTTTGATACAAACTTTATTGTAATTTAAAAACTACTTCTTTACTCTCTCATTTCAAATAGTTTTCTGAAAGGTAGATTATGCACTTGATATAGGCACCTTCACTAAAATTTCTGTTACTTTTAGAAAAACTAATTTGTCAACAAAGTCACTGTGTTTACTAACTTGCTGGTTTTTGTTAAATTTCTCCTGTAAATGTGCGGATGAAAACATATTTATACTTGTTGCAGTTTATGTAAATGCCATAAATCCTATCATGTAAATCAACTTGGAATTTCGAATTGTGCAGATTCATTCAACTTGTTGGTTAACAATGGTGCAGCTGCAGGTCAAGTTATATTTCATGTAATTTGCTAGTTCTTCATTTCCCTTGCTTTTTCCCTCTTGTGAATGTTTGTGGCTAGGAGCAGGCAGAATGGGTAGTTTATGTTTCGTGGCAACTAACTATGTGATGTTTCTCTAGTTTCCATGTTGTGAATCTAATAGGATTGTCTTTGTTGGACTGAATCTGTCATAGCCTATTGATGGAACTAATTTTGATTTTGTCTAGAAGATTAGTTTAAATATCTATATTGAGTGAGAGCAATTTTAGTGGTTTGTTTATGATATCAAATTTCAGACTCATATTCACATAATCCCTCGTAAAGCGCGTGATTGCTTGTGGACTTCTGAGGTATGCTTCACTTACTTGTTTACTAGTTATCTGGAGTAACCTCTCAGGGGATAAAAATGACCTGTTGGAAGTTTTACAGAGTTTGCACCGGTGTCACCTAAAGTTAGACCAGGAAACATCAAGTCTTGCAAATCGTGTTCGAGAGTTGCTGCTAAACATATCCGGAGAGAGCAAGGATCAAGTGTCGAGTATGTCTTGAAATTTGTGGGATCACCGATCTGTTGTAATTTATATGTGGCACATAACTTTACCTTTACCATACAAGTAGATAGTTCATTCTTTCAAGAATCTCATAGGACCTGCATATTGTTGCTGTACTTATGATGGAAAAATTTTGGACTGCTTGTTCTTTTAAGCAGGGAAAGTTTCAAGCTGCATGATAGAAAAAGAATAAAAGGTGTGTGTTAAATGGTGGCCATCTCTTTGGTCAGTGTTTGCTGGCCATTATCTCATTCTTGCTTGTTCAAGAAACGCAAGAACGACAAAAAATTCCCAATAGCGATCAATGCTTTGATTCTCTGTGTGATGCTGGCTTTGAGTGAACCCCTCGCAGCTTCATACGAAGTTTTCTCGGATTGTTTGGAAGAATCTGTTCACAATCATTTCCGTTATGGAAAGCCTTTCCCTGTAAATCCAACAGGGGTTATGTGTGTGTGTGTGTGTCTATATATATATATATATATATATATATGGATTGATATATTGAATCTTGAGTTTTTTTGTACTGTAGATGATTGATGATGATGATGGCTATTTTATTTTTATTTTTTATTTTATGCTTGTGTAGTTGTGTATTGTATCTGCTTCATGGTTTGTCTGACCCTTCCCCCTATGATTGTCTGATTCAACGAACCTCATCCGTTATTTCCAAATGTAGTTATTAGAAGTAAGAAAGTAAAGCTTATCAAAATGGAATAAGATGCCCTCTTATGATTGTTGTATTCTAATTATAATTTTCTCAGCAAGGATTTTCAAGAAATTAACATTGTTGTTTATGCAATTATACGTATGCACCATGACGTTGTTCCTCATCTGAACAGTCAGGTTTGAAATATAAATCTTATTTCCTTGTTTTTCTTTTGAAAAAAAATAAAGAAAGAGATCATTGCTCACATCATGTATGGTGATTTTTTTTTATTGGAGTATTGGTTTATGGTAAGAGAAAAATATTTATAGTAATAGAAAACAGAAATATAAAAATAAATTAATGCATCAATTAATTACGAAGTAAATACCTCCAACCAATGCGTATTTGTTATCAATTTGATTCTAAAAATAAAAGTACTCTTAAAAAATCTATGAAAAATATTATTCGTTCAATCACTTTTTCTTAAATATTTATGGAGATAATATATTAATTGGTTTAAATGTAATATTTCACTTAATGAATTAATTAATTTATTCATAAAATGATAAAGATTTTAATTTTTTTAAAAATTTGTCTAAATAATTATATATTTTATAAAAAATATTAATATTAAATATTAATATCATAAATGATTTTTAAATTATAATAAACATATTCAATATGATATTTATACTTAAAATTTTTTTTAATATAATACATGAATTCTAAATTTATTAATTAATATAATATTTAAAAAGTTATTTGTACTCACACTATTTAAAATTAATCATATCATATTAAATAATAAAATTATAATTTAAATATTATATTAAACTTTTAAAATTTAAATATTATATTAAATATTTTATTATAATTTAAATATTATTCATTTGAAATAACATTAGTGGAAAATAAGATGACTCAAAATTAGATCCTCGTTGTCAAATCAAAATACTCTTCGTAGAAGAAAACAAGGTAAGTGACATGGACCAAAAACAACATTTAATAGGATGGTATAGAGTTTGATCCAATCATCTTCAGCCAACATCATAGTAAAAGTTAAAACAGAAACAGTGAGAAAAGAAAAGAAAAAAATAAAATCCGGGAGGCTTGCGAAATTTCCAAAAAAAAAAAGCAAAAATCGCCTGCGTTTTGGTTGCTCCTTGCTGTCTACCTTCTAACGCTCTTGAAGCCTCTCGAAATCGCACTGCTTACTTCCTCATTTCTCACATTTAAATAACAATAAACAAAAAAGAAATTCCCTCCTTTCTAAAAGTATTCTTGCATAAAAAGAAACGCAGATTTCATTTGCGTTGCGAAGAGACACATTTCAAGAGAGAGAAAAGCAAAGCAAAGATCATCAATTTACGCTTTAAGTGAACAGAAGAAAACAGAATGGGGCCAGGTTCGGCATTGAGCGCGGCAGCCAAACAAGCGGAGCAATTGAGGAAAGATGGGAACAATTATTTTAAGAAAGATCGTTTTGGGGCTGCCATTGATGCTTATACTGAGGTAAAAAAAATCTTTTACCTTTTTTTCTTTATTTTTTGTTTGATTTATTGTTGATTACTTATACAATTTTTTTTTTTTTTGGGTTTAAAGGCGATTACTTTGTGCCCTAATGTTCCTGTGTATTGGACGAATCGCGCTCTCTGCCATCGCAGGCGGAAGTATGTGCGCTCACTGATTTTTTTTAACTATTTTATTTACTAAAAATGTTTTTTTTTTCCTTTTAAAAAAAGGTTTTTGAATGTGACTTGTTTTCTTGGATTCTATTTGTTTAACGAAGTGATTGGTTGAAAGTGGAGGAAGATTGCTGGAGAGCTATTCAGCTTGACTACAGTTCTGTCAAAGTAATTTCCTTTCCTTTCTTATTCTGTTTTGCTAATTCTTTCTTTCAGTGCGGAGAGTGCGTAATTAACATGAAAATCCTTGCACCCTTCTAATCTATATAATATATTAAATATGAAAGATAAATATAAATTAACTTAAGTGTATCAAAAATTGTTTGTATATATATAAAGATAATACGTTAGGGATGTGTTTGGTGCAAAAGATTATGATAAGATAATATACGATGATATTATGAATAAGATTAGATTAAATAATAACATCTTATCTTGTGTTTGATTTATGTAAGAATTACGATCGGATAATTTATTTATCAGTTAAAATTATCTTTTCTCAAAGTTTATATAATTTAAATTACTGATGTAAATTTTAAGAGTATAATAAGACATGTAAATTAAATTCAATCCCATGGATTAAAAATAACCCTCTACACTTTGGGAGGATTGAATCATCCTATATCAAGAGGATGATTAATCCTCTTTGCAATCATATCCTTTTCTTTAAATACAAACCAAATTTATTATAAGATGATTATCATTCTATCTTATCTATCATCTTATGCACTGAACATGACCTACAATTGTTTTTTATGGGTTTCCATAGATTAATTGCATTATTTTTTTCTGACAATGGAGCTTGATTTTGCAACATGGGGCATATGCATTTCTTCTGCTAGTTTAGTCTGGCTATTAATGGCTTGAAAGAAACTCTCTACTGTGTTAAAATTGTTTACTTAAAGGTTTCATACGTAACCTTCTAGTTTTGTTCAAACGTACTAACCTGTTTTCTGCAAGCTTTAGCTATCTAGTTATGTTCATTTTCATTTACTCTTCCCTTGGTAACAGAAAACAAGGGTTTGGCTTAGTTTATGCTTTACATGCATATCTTTTCTTTTACTATTACTACTAAAAGGGTTTAGTCACATTTTGCTACATGATAGGCACACTACATGTTGGGACTTGCCATGCTACAGAAGCAAGAATTAGATGAAGGGGTCAAGGAACTACAAAAGGTATGGGTGACATGATAAATCTTTCTGTTTCTTAAGAATTAGGAATGATATACAAATAAAATCATTTAAAATTTTGGATTATTTTGATATTCACCTTTTCCATTTTCTTTGGATTAATTGGATGGAAATCTCTATGTACTGGAATCAGGTATTTTAGTGCTTCACCTATAATCTCTTTTAATTAGGATTTTTAAAGTCAATACATGCAATCAGTTTTTGTGGTTTGTTTGTCATCACTTATAATATGCATTTGTTCCTCCATGTTATCGATGTTCCTGTTATTTTCTTCTCTTGTAGGGTCTTCATAATCAATGTATATGTACTTTCTTTGGTACATTCATAATCATATCTTTAACATTGCTGCAAATGCTCCAATAGGAATGAATTAATTTTAAGTAACAAATGTATTTCATGATTTCAAATTTCACTATTCTTATTGACTATGTGCCTATTTTGTCCAGTTTTTGCAATAACTTCTGTATTGTGGAAGCATAAAGTTCGGCAGGGTTTTTGAAAAATAACTTTAGTTTTAGAATAATGGCTTGTTTGGCTTGATTGCAACTTCTATAGGAAGTTCTATTCAAGTAATAAAGACTCATCTTTATTAAATCAAATCATAAGTTTTAAAATGAAAGAAAGAAATAGAATAAGATAAATTTAACAGAAAAATTGGACCAAATAAAAGGATCAATGTGAAAAAAAAAATATATAATTCTCCCTCTAATTTTATTAATTATTTAAGGGCTAAATGAGAGTATAAAAAATCTAATTAAATATTTTGTTACTATATATTAGTCCTTTTTGGAGAAGCGTTGATCTAGAGATTCATCTAAAAGCCCAAATGGGCTTCTTGCTTAAGCTAAACTTTTTAAAATTTTCAGAGTCAAGTAACTTGCTTCTACTTTTGCAATAGAAAAGTTCTTTCATAAGTTGGGTTAAATAAACACTTACTAAATATAAAATGAGCTTTTAGAGATTTGAGGCCCCAAGTTGGACCTTTTGAAAAAAAGTTGCTACAAGAAGCTCATAGACATATTTACTGAAAATTTTGAATTAGCATAATATTCATAACGTCAATATGATGGTACTTCTTGAAAAGTTCTACTGTCACGTGCACTTTTCATTGAAGCTCAATCTTGGTTAAATTAGATCTATGTCTAATTACTCTGACTAGAAAATGGAGCATTTTGTCCGACTGCCTATTAAAATGTCTTGTGCATCTTTGTTTCGTAGTGTGTTGAGTTTTTTTTTATTGCTATATTTTTGTGAAGGGCATAGAAACCCATATCGTCCAATCACATAAGAAACAGAGTGTCTTTGGTTTTTGTTTAACTTTTTTCTGCCTATTATATGGACTTGGGTCCTTGACTCTGACTATGTTGATTGATATCTTACTAGCTAAAGCTTTCACACCATTATGGTTTGGTCAAGGGAAGAGGATTATTGATGGGCAAGAAAAAGATCATTGAAAATGCATTTTGATTTAGGATGCATCTAAGAGCTTTTCTTTTTTGCTTCATCCTTTCTTGCAAGTAGCCAATCAAAGCATTAAGGTTTTGCTTGGTAGGGTTGATAGAAAAATAGAAAGATGGAAAATTAGAAGTGGAGAAAAGTGAAAGAGGGGAAATATATTTTGTTTGTCCATTGGTGTGCTTGGCTGGTAACATGGAAAAGTTGAAAGAAAATGTAATTTTTTTCCATCTATTGCTTGGTAGAGTTGAAAAATGAAACAAAAATAAAGAAAATAAAAAATATAAGATTTTACCATTATAACCTTTTATAGATGAAAAGAAAAATTATAAATATGATGAAAAATCTTGTAAATATGCAACAATTACTCACAAATCTCACATTTTCTGTCCTCTTATTTTTCCAATTTGGAATGATTTGTATGTGTGATTAAGTGTGCAAAATTGTAATATTTCCTATTTTCTTTTCTTCACTTCTTTTTTCTACCAAGCACACTCAAAATTCATTTTTTTTAACTTTTCCACTCTCCCTTATCCATACTTAAATCTTTTTCACTCTTGCCAAGCATACCCTAAAGGGAAAAAAAAAGTCATTTGACGAGGAAGATTATTTGTCAGAGTTATACTTTCACAGGAACCATTGTCTGGCCACCTGTTGTGTCACCAGCAATATTGGTGATTCTTTATTGGCTTTTGCATTGAGCAAGCTTGGTCTTAGCTCATATAGCATAGAGGTTAAGTGGATGAATTTGTGGTCTACTTTGTCGACCTTAGCGGGAAATTATGTATGGTCGATGATGTGGAAAAGTGATTCTAGGGCTAGTGCATAATTTTTGTTTTCAATGTGATTAGTGTTATGAGAATTTTTGCTTTCAATGCGATTAGCGTTGTGAGTAATACAATGAACATGTCTTCATTAGGCTGTGCTTTTAGTTTCAGCTGTTGCAGAGATGTTGGTTTATGGATTGGATAAATGCTATCGTCAGTCTCAGCTATTGTGCATTACTTTAGTGATTAAGCTAATGAACTAAGCATTGGCCTTTGAAGTCTGGTTATCCTGGTGAGTTGTTTAAACATTTTTGGGTTATGAACCAATAATGTTTGAAATGCTGAATGTGGAAGTTTGTAACATTTTCTGGAAGTTCAGGTTGGACCTGCACTTTTATATAGATTCCATTCTTCACAACAAAATTGCAGAAGTTATTTTTGCCTGGAATATATATATATATCAATGTGTGTGCAAAGATGATATTCACTAAAAGAAAATTTGGTTGAAAAAATTATTGACTCGTTTTGGGTTTTGTGGCAAGATATCTTGGGGTTTGGTTCTCATTGTGGTATATAATCTTATAGGAATTAGATTTTTAGACTAAATGACTTGCATTGAGCATAATATTTCCTTCTCCTAGCATCACATTCACTCAGAGACTAATTTGCTTATGTAGGCGTTGGATCTTGGAAGGGGTGCAAATCCAAAGGGTTATATGGTGGATGAGATATGGCAGGAGCTTGCAAAAGCAAAGTACCTGCAATGGGAGCATGCATCTTCCAAGCATTCATGGGAATTGCAAAATTTGAAGTATGTCATCCCTGTGAGTTTAGGCATTCACTTCAAGGGGAATGGTTAACTCTTTTCTTTTTTTTGATGGAGAAGTGTTCCAAGTGCTTAATTTTGCTTCATTCAATGTTTTCCTCTATTTTGCAGGGAGGCTTGTGAAACTGCTCTTAGACAAAAACATTTTCTGGATCATTCTCAACCAGAAGGTTTCTTAAATGAGGATAGTATTTCCCATATGAAACAACTGAAGTCTCTGAGACAAGTGTTTAGGGAAGCTGGTGAAGCTGACATCCCTGGTGACGTAAGAATATGTTTTTTATAATATTTATACATTTTATCTTTTCAATTATACATGCTATTTTATATTCTTTCTAAGACATGATATATAATTTCAGGTGCCAGATTTTTTGTGTTGTAAAATTACTCTTGATATTTTCCGTGATCCTGTCATTACTCCAAGTGGAGTTACATATGAGAGAGCTGTGATCCTTGACCATCTTCAGAAGGTGACATGTGCTCTGAAAATGTTGAATGTTTAGGTTTAGATAACTTTTCTCTTTCTTTTAACACTAACATTGATCATTGACTTAATGGAAATCAGGTTGGTAAGTTTGATCCAATCACACATGAACCGCTTGATAAATCCCAGCTTGTTCCTAACTTGGCAATAAAGGAAGCAGTCCAAGCATATTTAGATAAACATGGTTGGGCATACAAGACAGACTAAAAGGTTGAATGTTCTGATAATTTTACTGGGCATGCGATGACTTAGCAGGGCAAAGAGAAGTATTATGAAGTTATTCGTAAGTTTAGCGTACATCAGTCATGTTTGGTATAGTTATTTTTGTGCAGGCTTCAGTGTGTAATGCCATGTCAATTACTGGTGCATGTCGAGGTACTCTGCTTCTTTGAAATTTCACAGTTATTCTCATAACAAATAACTTTGTACAGATTTATAAAAACTAGTTCATAGTGGCCATGTATGGGTTGTATGGCACTAGAAGGAGACATTTAACATTTCTACTGTCGGGATTAACGGCTGCATGTTCCAACCTATTTTTAGGGCTTTGTTTTATAAGATACGTAATTTAGTGTATACTTAGTAATTATAGTCCATAGAAGATATGAATGAAAATTTTGGGCTTTTTATATCTCCTACTCTTTTTTGGGGTTAGGATCTTGGAATCTTATACCGGTCGGAAGATCCAAAGACATCTATCTGAGAATGTGTTCTATAAACTTCTGATCTTTCACCAAGACACAAATCCTATATGTCTTCCAAAACAACAAATTTTATGAGACATTATAAAACTACACATTCCACCACCAATCTGGTGCTAGAACACGCCTGAGTTGCCTACTATCCTTACTGCTGAAACAAGGTTTTCATCAAAATACTTCCCCATCTGCAACTGTATATATGGTAAAGATTTGTAGCTCATATGCTAGCAAACGATGTTCCCAATGTGAATATTAGCAGCCAAAGCCCGTTGAAGGTAATCACATGGAACAGTGTGATGGATAATGATGATAGTTGTGGCCATTAAGCTATTGGAATTTATAATTGTCTTTGTTATCAATACTTTCGAGAACATAACATCCTAATTTTTTGAGAGTCCTGGCTCTTCAGAAAATTAGGCATTCGAGTCATAAGCTCCTTATCTGCTCAACTCCCTTTCATGCTTTATTGCAAGAAACTGGCAACATAAATCATCTCTTCTATAAATGGTCAAGATTTGAGTAATAACTAAAACGTATACAATTTTTGGCAAATTTGCTTTATATTTCTATAATGCACGTATCCAAAAGGTTCATTATCAAAGCATATATTATATCATTCAACATGTGAATTGTGGAGATAATGGCTAAACGAGAAGGAAATTGTTTGGTGTTATCACATCAACGACAACAACACAAACTTCGCCATCTGTCATGCATGCAAATGCAGTGCCACAAAAAAATTGAAAAAAGCCAAAGCTGCACCGTCTTTTCCTTGAATAATTGTGGCTTATTATTTTAAGAACTTTTAGTCATGAATAGTCCAGGAAATTTCTTAAAATAAAGAGCTGTATATGCATCATTGCATTTGCATATCTCCATTTTTTATTTTGGACACTTTCTTTTTTCTTTGTTTTTATGGGTTGTCCTGAAAATAACCCATCAGCTAATCATCACTATAGTTTAAGGGCGCAATGATGCCACATGAATACAATATTATCCCGGCATCAAGGGAGAAAGGAAAGCTCCTTGTCCTAGTGTCTTTGCCCACCAAGGAAAAATAAAAATAAAAAAAGGGAGCAAGAATCAAGTTTAAAAATCGAAATGATTAACGTTTTGAACTTCAATCCTTGTCAAAAGAAAAAAAAAAGTGTCAACTTCCTGTTTAACGTTTATGTTGGCTCTAGACATTGATTGTTCTTAACTTGTCACCGAGAGGAAAAAAATGGGCTTCATCTTATTAAATAAAGGGTTTTGAAAGTTAAAATTAATGAATTTTAATGATAGAAAGATCAATGAAAGTTAATATTGTTGGTTTTTTTTTTCCTTTATCAATTAATATTTGATGATATATGCCACCTAAAGAAGAAGATAAACTTTGGTCAAATCAAATTAGGAGTTCCTTATTCTATTTTTCCATAATTTTAGGATCCAATTTAGGGGTTTTTTTTTAAAAAAAAAATCATCTGATAGCATTATGAATGACATCTTCTCTTGATTTAGTCAACTTTTCAAATAAATAATACAAAATGTGGACCATTGCCTTTCATCCAACCACCAAGTATGCAAAACTCGACCTAATATTAAGAAAATACAATAGTATTAGTTTGTCTAATCCTATCAGCTGAAACCTTTGGAAATGATTAGTATTAATAGTACTAGAAAAGCCTAATATCCTTGGCTATTCAAGGAATGGTCCAAAAACAAAAATTTACTATGACCACCAACCTTTCTTGTTCCGATAAAAATTATGACAGATAAAGTATAATAAACGAATGAATAAAAGAGCCTAAAATGGTGGAGGGGTTTCAATTTCTTTTTTCCATCTTTTTGTCGGTAAAGAATATTTGTAACTCTATGCAAACAGTAATTTTGGTAGCCTGATAAATTTGACTAAAAGCCAAAGATTGCTTAATACTGTTCATTATTAGCATTGACAAAGGCGAAATGAAGGTCAAAAGTTAATGAAATTTGCATATATGTCGATGTAAGTGAATATTTATGGCAAGAGAGGCCATCCGCCGACTGCCATCCTAATTTTCTCATTTTCTTCGCTTGCTTATTAGCATAGTTTTTAGAATAGGTCAAGTCTCGGTTGTTTTCAATAGACATGATTTTGTTTGTTCTAAAGATAATGCTATTTATATTTCTTTAATTTAAAGATGCGTTCAATTTATTTTTAGTTTCCAATGAAAATTTTTTAATTTCTTTCTTCAATTAATTCAAGCATTTAAGTAAACGAAAAAGACTATCTTCCTATAACTTCCGAAAAGAAAAAAAAAAGCGCAGCATAAAGATCAATTATTCAGTTGTCTTATCACATCAACAGCAATAATTCAACAATCCCATTTTTTTGTTTATTTTTTTTTAAATATCTCAAAATTATATTTTTTTAATATCTAAAATTTTTATTTTTTATATTTTAAAATTATTTTATATAATTTTATATAATTCTTTGACATTAAAAATGATAAAATTTTAATTTTATAAAAGAATTTAATTTCATAAAAATTAATACCGCTTAAATAATTTGAAATGAAGAGAATAATAATATGTAACCTATGATTTTTGTTCTATTTAGGAAAAATATAAAAAAGGGTTTGCTTCAAATTTAATCAATTAATAAATTTCTTCACATGTAACTTATGAATTTATGGATCTTAAGTTCTTAACCGGTGTTTATATGGATATCTGTTAATGAAAGTTCTTTTATAATTGAAAATTGAATGCCCAAAACCAGAAAAAGAAGAGATGCTAAAATGTAAATAATCACTATTTTTTATTTTTCTCTTTATGGATGAATATCATTTGGTGGAATATTAGAAATGAGTAGAAATGGCACTCACCACTCTGCCCATGTGTAAGATACAGGCTACATCACCAGACAAAGCATGCGCATTTCCCCTTGAAAGGTTGCGAGCTAGCATGAGCCATTGCAGTCGGCAGTGGCACATGGTAGACCCATTTCGGGGGTTGAATTTGTTTGATTTAGCATAAAACACTAACGACCTCTCTGTACTTGACCCCCGTTTCCAATCTCCCATGCAAATGCAGCTATAAGAACCTTCAAGTGTTCACTTTCTTGAGTTTTCTCTTTTTTTTTTTTTTTCTTTTGACTATGAGCTCCAACATTCGATGGTTAAATGATTCTGGTTTCTGTCTTTTAATAAGAGGTTAAAGTTAAGTCTATCCTTGCTTTGGGGGTATGTTTTTTGTAGATCTAGGTCAGACAGACGGCCACATATGATCTTGTCGAACATTCCATGATTGTTCCACTACTTGGCAATGGTTAAAAATGCTCAAATTTCAGAAAAAAAAAAAAAAAAAAACTGAACTAAATGTTCGAATGTAATACTGTTATTGTTTATTCAAAAATATTATGCATCAGTTCACATTTTAACACTGTGAACTTGGACTCCGAATGCTTGGGTCTTAAATCATAACTTTTTCTAATATTATAATCGCATTGACCAATAAATTAATAAGTAGATAATTCAATTGAAATATTTAATTTTTTTGATGTAAAAATTTTAAACTTAAATTTAATAGATAATTATTTATTAAAATTATTTTAAATACATAATTTTTAATTATTTATTTTAAATTATTAGATATATCATATCTTACTTTAATTAATTTATTTACCTTAAAATTTTTTATTGAAAAAATAATAATTGCGTTCGAATTCGTGACAATCCACTTAACGAATTAGGTAAAACCGTGTCCATCAAAGTTTGGGCACCAAAATTTCAGACTGTAAACCGACACACGCTTTGAAAGTAATGTTATGGAATGTTTGTTACGCAGTTGTTTTCTCGAATTTAAATTTTATCCACAAATCAGACGTCAGTTGTCATTACTTAAACAGGGGTTAGGTGCCGCAGCCGTCGGCACCGTAATACGAGTCTTTTACATAAGATAATAGAGATGGATACGAGTCATTATCACATCTCAGTTTCAACTTTTACTCCGTCTCCTAACATTCATTACTCATATGTCTAACCGCCTGAACGGGAGTAAAAAAGGAGGTGAAGGAAACCAAGCAACTGTTGCTAATAATAGCTTACAGAGAAGTACAAGAAGAAGAAAATAGGCTCCTGCTTTTCTCGGGTCTGAATGGAGAGTAGGGATTGGGGCAGAGACTGTAACATTGAAGACTTTGGGGGATTGGGGAAAGAGGCAGGCAACAAATTGGATGGACCACAACATCAGAAATCACCGAGCCATTCAATATGGACACATTCTTCCCGTTCCACACCGAACTCTTTTAAGGACCATTCATGCAACTTTTGGATTCATTTATCAATCACTCATAGTGTGATAGATTGGCTCTTTCCTCGGTTGAAGGTTGAGTGAAAGAGCCAGCCCTTTGCTGTTGCAAGAAAACTTCAAAGTATCTACGTCGTGTGACGCATAGTTTATGGACAATACGAAGGACAAAGCCGAAGTTAGAAGATTGAATCTTTCTGGTATAAATCCAAGATTGAAGGATGAAGTGCGACTGGTAGAAAAGGGGAGAAAATTAAATGGAAAGTAAAATTAAAGTAGCTGCAAAAAGGACATGTGAATTTTGCAGGAATTAGGATTAAAAGAAAAGGAGAGAATCTGATGCATGACTGAAATTCGAATTAGAACAGGAGTGGATGCTAGGAAACAATTAAAAAGAGCCAATATTCTGCTGCCTGTAAAATCCAAATGCTGGTAAAAAATTATTGGAACAAACAAAACAGAAATCTTATAGACATAATCTTCCAACGTGATTATTAACAGTGGTTAACTCATAAAACTGAGATTAAAACTTAGATTGAGGGATAAGACTATACAAAATCGAAATGATGATAAGCTGCACTGATCACCAGGTGTTGGAAACAGAATTTACAAATGATGCACTTGGTAGTGTTGCCTTTGAGTAGTATCTTCATGCGGTATGAGTAATATTAACGGCCCTTCTCAATCTCTCAAGAATGCCATTAGCCTTTCTCTTGGCTCTAGAAGTTCCATCTTGAGCAAGCTTAGATATTGTTCCATGAGTATTCTCTTCTTCTCTTAGTGCCTTCCATTTGGTTCGATCATTGAGACAGACGGTGTGGAGGATTGCAATGCAATTTTCCTTGTTGCGTTCGCAAGTGCTCTCCCTTACAATGCGGAGTAAGCAAGGAACAGCTCCAAGCTCCCCTATTTCCTCAATAGCCCTTTGATGGGTTGAAAGCATTGCAAGGATAGCCAATAACTCATCTACATGCACGCCATCCATAATTTTTTTTAAAATGACACTTACTGCACCGTCCCTGACAGCTCTTGCCTTATTCTCATGAATAATGCATAGGTTAAATATTGCAGAAGCAACATCTTTCATTGCTAATGGATGACCCTCATCTAGAAGGTCAATGAGAGGTTTTAAGGCACCTGATTTACCAATAAGTGCCTTGTTAGAATCTAGAGCAGATAGAGTAAAAAGAGCTGCGGCTGCATTACTCCTTGTTTCAATAGTTCCAGTTCTCAGCGCTTCCATAAGAAGAGGAATAACCATTGGAGTTTCAGCAACCATCTTCTTATTGCTGTCATGTATTGAAAGGTTCAAGAGTGTCGTGATCACATCTTCCTGGAGATCAGGGTGAACACCACTCTGAGATTTGCTTCCAGAGAGTGGGGCGAGCAGTTGAGGAATGGCATCAACAAATTCGCCAAAAAGAGCCCGGAATGAAGGCATCCTTTTTGTCAACAACCGAAGCTCATTTGCTGCTTCCTTTTGTTCAGGAAGAGCAGTGGACAACTTCTCAAGCAAAGAAAAGAAATGGTCACGCTCTGCTTCCGTGACGCCCTCCTCTTTACCATACTGAACAGGGTTTGGCAATTCTATTCCCTGACTCTTACACCACTGCAATATCATCTCCCTGATAAGGTGATTCGGAATGAGAACTGTGTGCGAAAGAACTTGTTGGGTTCTAGGGCAAGTCCTATTGCCTGCATTCAGCCATTTCTGAATAAAGGGTCTATCATATGTCTGCACATCAACAAATGAAACCAATCAGGAACCAAGACCAGAAAGAAAGAGAACACATCGATGCTTAACGCAGACTAGAACAACCAATCCACTTGGTGAATTTGAATCCAAGGACATCGAATTAAAACAAACCTACTAAAAAATCATCATAAAAAATATATACATTTCTACAATTTAAGAGGAAGCAAATCTCTTTTTACTTTCCCAAAACATTCAAGTCTCTAAAACAGAAAGATAAAGCAACAACATCCACAATATAGAAAAATGTAAATATACAAGGAAAAATAAATAAAAAATCCAAATCACGGCCAATCAAAGAATTGAAATCACAGTACATTTAAGACTGTACTGTCAACTCTTCAATTTCAACTATTAATCAGAATCACTCCTAAATGGTCATAAATTTCTTACCGAAACCGAAATGCAGAAAAAGAAATTAACTTTGACTGATATACTTCCAGGAGAAAAAATATATACAAAAATAAATCTCAACTTAAATCCGCAATGACAAAGAAAGAAGGAAAAATAAGGTGAACCTAATTTTCATGCACCCACATTTTCTTTAACACCAAACAGTAAAACAAATAAACAACCTTCATCAGGAAAACGTCCTAATTTCTCTTAAAACATTGAGAAAGAGAAATCAAACAACCCAAAATTATTGGAAATTTTACTACATATTTGGGGAAAAAAAAGAAAGAAAATTCAAGATAACGTATTGCTCACTATTCAAACCACTCTGTTTTCCACCAAATTAAAATCCCACCTTAATCATCTCAAATTGTTGCTTAAAAAAACTCCAAAAAGAAAACTTTTTAAAAAAAATTTTTCCTTTCAAGGTTCAAGAAACCAACCCAAAATTTTCATAAATAAAAAAAAAAAAAAATTGCAGAAAGAAAGGCCTTTACCTGGCCAGAAGATAAAATAACGGGATCTCTCATAAGCTCTTTAGAAAGAGGACATTTAAACTCTTGAGGACACGACAGGGCTTCATGTAACTTCAAGGACGACGTCGTAGTGGTGGCCGTTGATCGTTTATTGAACTTAAGCTCTCTCAAACAGCAAATAGCATCTTTAGCTTGATCGATGGTTTGGATGCTATAATCCTCATCGTCGACGATAGTCCTAACCAGCCTCTGCAATTCTTTCTTCAATTCCGCCGCTCTCGCTCTCACCGTTGGATCAGAACTCAACACCCCCGTTTTCGCCATCTGGTTCTATTCGCCACCACCACCCAAAAATAAAAATATCAAAATCAGCCGCTAATAGTTTTCAAAAGAGAAAAAAACAGAGAATGGGAATACTCTGTTTCATTCTCTCTTTTATTATTATTTTTTCTATTTTTTCCTTCCTCTGCTCTGACTAATACTCATCAACTCACAGAATCTCAGTTTAATTATACTGAACTGAGGGAGAAAAAAAACAAGTTAATAATTGCCACTCCTCCCCTTCTCCTTCTCACCTCACTCAATATTTATTATTATTTTTTTTTTTTTGTGAGGGGGTTGGATTTTTTTTAGGCGTCGGAGGTTTAATTGGGTTTTGTATTAAGCCTTCCTTCGCATTTAATTGGGTTTTTGCCACGTAAGAGCCTGCTTTTATTTTGACATTAAATTTGTAGGAATTTTATTTTATTTATTTTTTACTCTAAAATGAGCCCACCGTTACATAAATTTCGATATTGTATAGATAAACAATAAATTATCAAATGGGCGTCATGTGGTAATTGCATTTTTTTTACTTTTTAATTTTTACTTTTTTTTAAACTTTTTTAGTATCTATTAAATCTTTTTTTAAAATGGGACTAATCTTATATAAAGCTTTTTTTTTTCAAATATTTTAAATTTATTTTTTTATAAAATCCAATTATACTAAAATTATGCCTGCATGTTTTTTATTTTTTTTATTCTATACATTTAATAAAAGTTTTAGATTTTAAGTTTTTTTCATCTCATCAACTTGATACCAATGACATGTCATGTCAAAAAAAAATTTTTTAATCATTTTTTCTATTAGCTCTTTCTTTTATTTTTTAAATATTTATAATTTTATATAATTTTTACCTTCAGACGAATCAAATAGATATTTGATTATTTTATCTTCAAATAATATACTTTGAGATGAATTAAATTTAAAAAAAAAAAAGCTCAAATTGAAACAAATTTAGAGTGTTTTATCCTTATTTGTTTTGAAATATATATATAAAAAATATTTTTTATTTTTATTTAATCATGTATGCATATAAATATTATATTAATTAAGTTATTTTTATCTTAATTTAAGAAAATAATGTTTTAAGCTCAATATGGGTTGTAATATGTGACACATTGCAATCTTTTTTTTTTCTCATTTTTGTATCTTTTTTTTTACTTTTCAATTTTTGGGTATTTATTTTTTATTAGACAAATCTTATAAAAAAAAAGACCAATTAAGGTATTTATTTTTAATTATATAAATTTTACAAAAAAAAAAATACAATGAATGTAGATGGCAAAGGAAACAAATTTTAGTTGTAACAACGCACAAGCATTTTTCTACTTACCATTGTCTTTGAACATACATATGAAAAATAAAAAAAAAAATTATATTTGATGTATTATCATTATGTAAATATTACACATTTTCAATGAATTATAAATTATAACGATATTTTATTTAAAAAATTATCATTTAAAATTAATTTTTATAAAATATTATTATATAATTTATGATAAATACTAACATTATACACTAACCAATATATCAAATAAAAATTTTATATTTTTGAACATGTGGAAAATATAATCGTTCCTAGTCTCCAATTGTATAATTTGAAAGATAATCTTTTATCTTGTAACCTTCTTTACTTTGTTCTTAATTTGAATTTTAAATTTAAAAAACAAATCTTTTAGTAGAACTTGTTTGAATAATATTTTTAGAAAATTGTAATTAATACTTTTTCTCTTAAAATTGACAAAATAATGTATTAAATAATAAAATAAAATAAAATAATTGAACTTTTAAATTAAAACAATTTTAGTCAAGTTTTTATATTCTAAATGTAATTAGAAAAATTTTTATTAGTTAAGAAGAATTGACAAAACTATATTATGATTAAATTTAATTTTAATAGGAATTTAAATATTTTTAGTAATACAATAAAAAATATCTCTAAATTTGTTCTCGACTTAATTTTTTTGGACAAAATTTTAAAATTTTTTTATAGAAATAAATATATCTCCTATCCAAATAGTTTGTTTCAAATTTCACATTGCCAAATTTATTTTTAAAAAATAAAAGCTTATATCTTAAAAAACTTCATATGTTGGACATAAAAAAAAAATTCAAATTTGTATTTTTTTTCAATTATGACTTTTAGATGTTGAACTTATTTTTCTTTAGAAAAGTTCATGCAACAGTGTAGCTGGTTTTGAAGGTTGTCTCAATGTTAACGCAAGTTCACCTTCTAGAAAAAATAGAAAAACGGAAAGGGTAAAATAATTTTGATGGAGATTATATATCATACTTTATACAGTGAGGGAGATAGAGCATAAGGGACCCACATGGTCCAACACGTAGTGTAAGAAATCACGAAATCCACGTGCCTGTACAGCTGGCACCACCCTTCCCAAAACTTGCTCATCAGTCGACGGTTATCACTCGTATAATTTGTCATCTATATATATTATTGACAAATTTTTAAAATTTCAAATAAAATTATAAAAATATCATGTATATTAATTTATTAATTAATTTAATATTTTAAATTTTTAACGGATATAAAATTTGAATATTTCAGCAATGTTGTATGCAATTATTTTTTATATATCAAATTAAAAAACCATAGACTATTAAATTATAAAATTAAGAATTCGTGTTTAATATATAGATTGTAGACTGTCAGTAGAAATATTAAATTTTGGAAACAAAATTAAAAAATAGATATATGTTTATAAATTAATTAATTTGCTATATTAAATAATTTTATTAAAATTAATTTTTATTTTGAAAGATGTACCCTTATGTTTGAATACAACTACTAAGGGTTTCTAGTTTGATTGAAAACGTGGCATCAGCTGAAATGAGCAAGATGGGCCCGAGTCGGAGACGTGTGTGTTGTAAAAGTAGATGACAGCATGGACACGTGGCACTCATCGGCAGGGGATTGGATATGTGTCAGACCATGTAAGAAATGATGGGGATTGAGGGAACAATAAGGTGGTCTGAAGAGCACATAGACTAATTAGTCACAACCAATTAGTTATGGCACTTTTGGTCAAAGTCAGGGATCCTAATTTTCTCAACAAAAATTAAGGGCTTAGGTGTCAAATCTCAAGGACCACCTGAATATTAACCTAGGTTGGATTAGCAGTTATGAAGAAAAAAAGGTTTCAAAGAAAAATTTTTTTAAATTTGAGTGGAAAATTCTGAAGGAGCACTCAAGAAAAAGGCAAACCCCATTAGTAAATAGTGATGATGGGTCAGTTGAAACTATCTAATCTAAATCCGGTGAGTTTTTGTGAAGTATTTGTGGTGACAATTATACCCTTAACTTACCAATTAAGTTCTAGGAGGAAAAAGAGTACATAGGCTTGATACAATCACCCTAGTAAAAATATTAAAATTTTAAATAAGAAAAATTTTTAAATCTTATCATTTTATTTAAATAAGTTTTTATCCTTTTTATTATGCTTAAATAAGCTTTTGAATTTTAATTTATACTCAAAAAAATATTTAATATTTAATTTGTATTTAAATAAATTTTTAACTTTAATTTATTCCTAAATAAATTCTTAACATAAATTAATTTTTTATTTAAAATAATGACTTATTTTAATATAATCAAATAACAAAGGCATATTTAAATATAATAAAAATATAAAAATATATTTTAAAAATAAAATAATTTAAAATTTTTTTAATATTTTAACTAAAAAAAACTTTAAAAAGCTTAGATTCTTTGTAGTTGATATCTCTGTAATCAAGCAACCTTTAGATTCTTCATCAAATGGTGTGAAAATGTATAATGGGTTAGGCAATATTAATGATATTGATTATCGATGCTTGATCACTGATTACGCTTAATTATTTGCATTATTATATTATTAATGTTTTTAACACTTGTATATATTACATCTTAAATACCAAACAATAAACAGTAATATATTTTAACATTTAATTTAATAAATGATACATATTTCTTTTTTCTCCAAAACATAAAAAATAATGTGATAGCAATAATACCCAAAAAAATTAATTTACAATAATAACAATCAATTATTGTTATCTGAAATACTATTTTATCATACTTCATTTAAAAAGTAAAGTAAATTACTAGTGGCATCTTGATTTACTAATAAAGAGAATGTCCTATAATTCTAAAAATCCTAAAACTTTAAAGCTTTAAGTTTACATCTTAACGTATATGAATTTTATTATTTATAAATTAAAAAAAAAAAGCTATATAAAGGAAATATCAATTATCAAATTGATTTGAATCAATCTAACAACCCAAGTCCAATCTTATTTACTTATTGCCAAATTAGGTTCATGTCTTTATATGCATTACATGTACGTACAAATCATATTAAAGAAAATTGTACAATGTGTCAGATGCTACATTTAATCAACAAAGTACCACTTTATAACATAAAACACCAAAGAAGATTAAAAAGCGTATGGTAGTTGTTAGTTGCTACAATCTTTTTTTTTTTTTAAGTATTATCTATAATATTTAGCAACATTAGAAAAAAAAAATAGTGTTAGTGGTATAAGTGTCGGTGATCAATCAAAAAGCAAAGACGACGGCAAGCATCATAGAAAAGGCGACGACACCTAATTTGGCCAATCTAAAAATGCTTTTGGCGGGAGACAAGGAACCCCTAAAAGATGAGCGTTTGTCGCAATTCGCCCACTTGCTTTTTTCGCCGATCTATGCTGATTAATTAACGCGGATCATCCATCGTTCTCTGCCTTTCGTGGGGAGTAAGGTGCGTGCGGGTCCCTCCTCCGCTTCTTTTTCCTCTCTGCCAATTAGGATTCCCTTCCACAAGCAGGGGCCGCTTTGGTTTCCACGTGTCGTTAGACGTTTGCTTCCTACATGTCCCAAGGCACCGTCAGCATTTTTCTGTTGCTTTCTTTTATGCAGTTCCCGCAATTTGAGCCCACATAAATGGTGATATATATTAGATGTTTAACACTAGATTTTTATCTCCGCGAAATCGGATAATTTTTTTGTCAATTTTAATTTTTAATATTGTTATTATTTTTCCAAAAAAAAATTTATTACTTATGTTAAAATAATAAATATATTTTATTATAATTTTTATGAGATATTACTCTTAAAATATCATATAAATTTATAGTAACTTAATATGTAATTAAGTTTTCTATAATCAATTTAATATATAATTTAATATAAATATTATAATAATTTTAATAAAATGTCACGTCAAATTTTTATTAAACGATGAGAATGATATTTTAATAATTTTATATGTAATTAATTTTATATTTTATTAAAATTTAATATTTAATTTAATAAATATATTTAAAATTTTTTAAAAATTATAGTAATAGGGTATTCTTATAATT